TTTAGGCTGCAGGAGAGATTGTTCATTGGCTTTGGTGAACGCATAATAATTCATTCAGCACCATTGTAACTTAGAATAGCCACTGACTGAATGGTCATAGGTTGAGAATTACCTATATCAGTGGTGGCGAACCTGTGGCACGCGTGCCAGAGGCGGCACTCAGAGCCTTCTCTGTTGGCACACGCGCCATCACCACCAGCAGCAGGTGCATCAGGCCACCACTGCCGCCCAGAGCCGGAACCCTGCCCAGCACAAAGGCAAAGCAGCCAACTAGCAAGCTCGAGTAGAGGTGATAGAGCAGAGGTCACCAACCATTGTCGATTGGTGGACTGGAAGAAAAGGGAGGGGGAAGCATTTTACATGCATGCATGCGTACATGGGGCCACAAGCACGCACGTGCTGCAAATGGGGCAGAGCTAGTACCTGCATGATACTAGCCCTGCCCTGTTCTTGCATGATGCAGTGCCTTGTATCTGCACCCCATGGCATGGCCATTTTTGCGCCTTGCAGCACGGTGGCCCATTTTTGCACCCCCGGTTTTTGCGTGCCAGAGGCAGCACTCAGAGGCGCCTCCCTGCCCACACCACAATGCTGATGCGGCCCTGGCACTTTGCAATATATAAGTGGGTTTTGGGTTGCGGTTTGGGCACTTGGTCTCTAAAAGGTTTGCCATCACTGACCTATATAGTAAACACTTGTTGGAGATGGCAAAATTTTAATATAACAAAAAGCAAAACTACTCAGCACTTATTTTTATTAAGTGTTCTCTAGTAAGAGGGTATGTGTACTTCCAGAAAATTATGAAATGAAGGTACAATATTAAAGTTAAGACTGATAGGTATTTCTTGATCATGTTTCTATTTACTCTGAAAATGTTATCATCTCCAGGGCCAGATTAATGGCCTCCTAGGATAGTGATGGATTAGACAAACATGAAGGATTCTGGGAAAGAATAAAATGCTAAGCAACTGAAGGCTGACTTATTATTGTTTCTATTTGCAAAAAGGGGAGAAAGGATGATCTAGGAACCGGATTCTGAAACTTAAAATTTTACAGCAGATACTCAAGTTACTGAGCTATAAATAGCTTGAAAACAATATGTCAATTACCAGAAGTCAGTATGGGAATGCTATAAATATATACTGTATGCAGTGATTTTAGAAAGCATTTGACATAATATTCTGATTAGAAGGCTGGATCACAGGAATATTAAATGGGTAGAAAGCTATCTTGAAAACCATCTTTGGAAAGGAATAACAGTTTTGGTGAATTTTCACAAGGTTTATCTTTGGGCCCTTACTTTCCAGCATTTTATTTAAGATTTGTAAGAAGTCATGGAATGAACCTTATCAAAGTGTGCATGATGTCTATATGGAATTTGGTGGGATTCCCTTGTAATGAGAAGGAAAATTCATCCCTATCTTAAGAAATTAAGGCAATTTAATTATTAGTAAAACAGAATACAATTTAATAGAGATAAATGCAGTTTTTTCAGTTAGGAAACCAAAATCAAATGTACAGATACAGCATGGCTCATGCTTGGATTAACCATTGTGTTTGTGAAAAAGATTTTAGAATTATTGATTACAAACTGAGTATCAACACTGCAACTTTGTTTTCAGTTGCCACAGTTTGGAGGGGGGATGTGTGCTTTTAAGGTTAGACAAAACAATAAATTGTCCTGTGGGAACCAAGGTCATTGCTGCTTAGCTTTTGGCGTCTTGATCCAAAGAAAGCCGCCAAAGTAGTTTATTGGGGAATGTAATTAATGACATATTACTGGGGTGGGAAGTTCAACTTTGTAACCTTTGGGAGGGAACTTCAGTCTTGATTTCACTTTTGATCCTGCAGATACTTTATAGCCAATAAATATGTTCTTTAAGGAAACTTCTTGTCTTGGAGTTCTGTATCTGTCGGAACCATGACACTGAGTCAGAAATATGAGTCATTGCTGACTCATATTCAGGCAAACATTATTTTAAGCTGCATCAATAGCATGGTTTCCCATTTTATGAGAAGTAATGGCTTCACTTTGTTTTGGATGACAAAACAAATGACAGAACATTGGATTTTCACAACATGGGTCCCAGCCAGTCTTTACATGTGTCATCTTGCATGAATGTATTCACACACACACACACACACACACACACACACACACACACACACCACCACCACCAGAGCTAGTTGTGTTAGCAGAGTGGCCCGTGCTAATTGGTGGTTTTTAAAATGTTGCAGATGGTTGAAACAGAGGGACATCTTGCTCTGGGTTCCTCCATCTCCTGGTCCTGGACTGGGTTGTTAGTTCTTGCCATTGGGCTTGTGTGCTTTGTAATCCCAGGCCTGGCTTCACTGTGGTTTGGGATAGATCTATAATAAAAAAATTGATAAAGCATGAAATAATAAATCAAACATATTAACAAGATACTGTATTGCTGACTAAAAACCTGAACATCATGCCAGTAAATATGTCCATTACTCATGAAGATGAATCAGTATTAACCCCCTCCCCAGGGTTATTGTTGAGGGGAATACATTTATTTGTTCATCAGAGTGTTCAAAAATCCTCCCCATGCATGGGGGACATTTTCAAAATCAAGCAGAATTTGCAAAGCGCATTTAGTTAAATACATTGAACGTTATAGCACAATTGTTTTCTTTCCACAGAATGCTTGAAGCATGACTCCAGGGAAAATACCCTGAGCAGTGCATCTAAACATACTTTAGATCAGGAGTGTCAAACTCAATTTCATTAAGGGCCGCATCAGCATTGTGGTTGCCCTCTGGGGGGGGTGGATGGGTGTGGCCAGGATGGGTGCGGCCTACTGGGTGGGCGTGGATGGAGTGGGTGTAGCCTACTGGGTGGGCATGGCCAGCTCTACATCGTTTGCGTCAAAGGTGCCTGTGGGGGCCTGGGCAGGAGTGGGACAGATCTGAGGGTCTCTGGCAGAAGGGAGTGGGACCAGGGCAAGCCCCAAGGCATGGTCCATTTCTTCATTCCTCACAAAGGGTGACACCTCCCCAGCATGCACCCAGGGGGCGGGGCTGATGCAGAAGGGGCTGGTTCCTTGTTTCTAGACGGCCTTGTGGAGCTAAGACTGAATGCGTTTCAGCATAGATGGCCACCACAAAATTGTACATTGGCTCCTGGCCGGCCAGGGCCAAAGCAGCAGGGGCCGTTCCCTCACTGTTTCCAGGTTCGCTTTGCGGGCCACATGAAACTACTTCATAGGCCGCATCTGGCCCCCGGGCCTTGTGTTTGACATGTCTGCTTTAGATAGAAGCTTTGCATACAAAACACCAGTATTCAGGCTAATAAATTGCAAATAAATATTTCAAATCCCAGATTGGCATAATATTTTAGGTGGTTTCAAATAAAGTTTTGCTTGTGTTCTGTTTGTAGGGTGCTTAATTCACTGCTGTGACTTTTAGAATCTATTATTAATTTAATTATTAGAAAATATAAAGCAGAAACATTTCGTACACTACAAAATAAATTTTAACTGAGTAATAAATATTACTGAGGAAAACCTACAGTACTGCACTGAACTTGTACAGTTTCTGCACAATTCAGTGCTCTTAGTGTACTATCTCAAGTTATTTTCTCCAGTGTAAGCATAACAAAAGACATAATTTTAGCCTAAGTTAAATTCATACACCAATTAAAATTGTTCTCATCAGGGCTTTATGATGTGAAATTTAGTAATCAAACTAGACCGCAATGGTCTTTTTATACCAGCAAATAGGTTTTAATTGGTTTAAGATCTAGGAAACTGGTTTTGAAAATTCGGCAACTTACTGTTTTTATTTAATTTTAAAAGGTTTGTAGTTTTAAAATGAATAAAACATTAGCACATAAATATATAAATATAAAATAGATCATCATTTCAAATCAGAAATTTAATTCATTTATAGATAATTTTATAATTTATTCTTTAATAAATTATATTAATTAGTTAAGCTTGCATCAGATGTATAATAAATGTTATTTTTCTATGCATACATTTACATAGCAATAATATCTTGTTCTGTATCAAGCAAGGGGTTTGCTGACTATTGCTTGATGCAGGCAGATTAACTCCAAGACAGCGTTTCATGCAAATTGTTGTTAAGTGAGGACATCAAATGGTTGTTGTTTGTGAAGGCATCCCCTTCACTTGTTGGAAGCCAGCAAAGAAAGTCACAAATGAAGATCACATGACTACAGGATACTGGTGTCATAATTGCAAACTGATTGTCTGGATTGTGATTATATGACTACTCGTTCAGAAAAATTATGGATTTGAAGTCATTGAATGAGGGGTTGTTAAATGAGGACCACCTGTTTACCTTTATTTTATCATCTTTACTAGCTTCCACTCCATTTTTTATTTTGATAACAATTTTTCACCAACCTATTAGAAAAATCTTGTCATATTTACAGACCTTCTCTGAATGCTCCTTTCAACAGATGTTTGCGTAGATAGTACACAAGATTATACCAGTTTTAGCTTTCAAATATCCAGGTTATTGCTAGAGGGCAAACAGCTAAAATGCTTGATACCTCTTTACTGCCATCTATTGATCATATGAATTTTTGCAAGGGAAAAGGGAAGAGGTGTTTTCCCACTTATAAAACACTGTTCACAGAGATTTTAATACTTTTCTTATAATCTCTTTGTTGTTGCTGCTGCTATTGTTATTCCAGGGCCCTGAATCTTGAGCATACTGAGTTATACCAATATTGTCTATCTTTAAATATTGTTTTATTTCCTTCTGAGATCATGTTGCTTTTTAAGTTATTTCAAAAACTATATGTAATGTTGTTGCTGCCTAGAGAATGCTATTTGTAAGTATATAAATAGACACAGATATTTTCACCTTAATTATTAAGGTGCTCTGTCATGGAATTTAATGTTGACAATGCTTTCCAGTGTTACTGCATAATCTCAGTATTATTTTTGTATCTACTGCAAGTTAGAACAGAAAAATTACTAAAATGTGTTCTTTTCTCCATGCAGATAACAATCTTTTCACCATTCGGCATGAAAACTCTAATAAGTGCATCCAAGTTAAAAGCCAGCACCTAATATTAGGAGATTGTAAGGAGACAGATGAGAGCTTATGGACATGGGTCTCTCAGCATCGCCTTTTTAATTTGGGATCCCAAAAGTGCCTTGGACTAGAGGCTGCCAAGTCTACAAATACCTTAAAAATGTCTGCTTGTGACTCGGATCTCAATCTCTGGTGGCGATGTGTTGGTGATTCCATCCTCTCCGCATCTCAGAACAAACTAACATTAAAGAATGGAATCCTCACTGTAAGCCTAAACTCTTCTGATGCTTGGAGAAGAAGCAATTCCAGCGATACGATTTGTAAATTTTCATATAGTGGTATGTATTTTCTTTCATTTATAGAAAGGAAAGAAGGGTTCCAGCAAGAATGTGGTTAAATGCTGACTTCTAAGGAATTCAGAAGAAAGGGGCATCCCCAGTTGAGTGTTGCATCAAAGGATGATTAAGCAGTAGTAATCATAATTAATACTGTCACGTGATGAACTGGAATTCAGACATTCCTGTCCATGTTCTAACATAGATTGTTTCCCGATAGAGGGAGTGCCAGAATTCACAGCTATGCTGGGACTATGCTGGTTTAGAATTTGGGAAGTTGAAATCCATAGTTGGGAATAACTAATAGAATGTTAATTTGGAGGATAACTATGTATTTTGGAATGCATTTGGGGGAGCACTAAGACCGTTAATAGAGCCAGTTTGGTGTACTGATTAAGGTGCTGACCTAGAAATCAGGAGACTGTGAGTTTTAGTTCCACTTTAGGCATGAAAGCTAGTTGGGTGACTTTGAGGCAGTCACCCTCTCTCAGCCCAACCCACCTCAAGATTGCGGGGAGAATTGGAGGAAGAATATATGGCATATGCCTTGAGTTATATATAAAGTAATAAAGGCAGGATAAAAAATCTAATAAATAAATTAAGGAAAAAAGCAATGCAAATAATTGACGTTCCTTTGGAAAAACATATATAGTTCTCATGATTTTTAAAACGGCTCAGATTATTATTATGATTTTGCAGGATGAAACAGATTATTTCCAGATGAAAATATCATGTGGAAAAATCAGTGAAATATTAGACATTATGTTGGGGTTAATCCAAAGTGGAAGTGAAAGTTTCTGAACTTTACTTCTGAATAAACCTATTTTTTCACTTTTGCAGAGGAGAAAGCTTTGAACATTTTTTTTTATAAAAATGGGGAATTAACCGTAACAATGAAATCAGCTCGCTCTCTCCCTAATTTGATACCAATAAAATTATTTTCAAGTTGAAGGAATTCTGGGGAAGTCCTATGAATTCCTTTTTAGCTATCCTTTTTCTATAGTTAGTGCACAGAAAACAAGAAGTTCCACTAGTCTTAAGAGAACAAAACCACTCAGTCTTCTGCTCGCTATAGAAAACACTGGGCATGCCTAAACAAATAAATGGAAATTACTTCAAGGCATCTTTTGTATTTCTGTCTTGTTCTGTGGAGCTGTTGGTTGATGAGGCCTGTATCATACAGTTGTTTCTAGCCATATTTGTGTTTACATAACTATGAATGAATGTATTTGTTTTTCTCTCTTTCCCTTCTTCCACCCCGCCCTTTAGATCTTTATTATAAAGTTTATTAAATTATAAACTCATGAGCAAGAACTATCTTGTTTTTTAACTTCTGTTTAACAGATCTAAATTTAAATGCTGTTCAAATTAATTATAATTATTACAACAAAGTCACCAGAGATCCCTTATTCATAGGCCTTTTCTCCTGACGTAACCTAAGCCTCAGCCAGTTCAGGCTATTTTTATCTACAGTAGCCAAAACCCTGTTAGCACAATTAGTACAATGTTCTTCCTGGTTCTTTTCTAAGCTTTTAGAACCAGTCCCAATTTTTTTCTTTTCAGCAGGGCAGTGGAGAAATGTATTTGTTTTATTTCTATTTATTAAATTTGTTGCCATACATCTTGCTGCGGTATTGTGGCTTTGTGGATTAGGCTTTTTGTTAACAAGACCAAGTTAGTAATCTCTGCTGGGATTATCAGAGGACAGTCTTTAATTTCTCAGGGATTTGGTTCATTACTGTTCGTTCACTTCACATGAGAAGATTGTACAGTCTTTCACTGCTGGTATGAAGAGATGCCTGTTCTCCAACCCCAACAAAGGCAGCTTTCATCAGTATAATATGCAGCCCTTGGAATTAGAATGTTTGCCCTGTGTCTGCTTGATATTCACAATAGTTTTAGCAGAAGAATCAGAACAATTAAAATAATAATACTCCACACAAGATAAATACTTCTGAATTGTCATATTTCCTATATTTTGTATTTAATAATTCTGACGAATGCTCTTCCTCTGTTAGAAAGCCAGCAAGAGTAGCCAAACAAATCTTGAAACAAACACTAGTTTTATTTTGACTGCATCCATTGAAAGTTATTTTGGTGAAAATTATGATATCTCATTAGCCAACCTGATTGTTTCATGTCAACCCTGAAGGCTAAAACCTAAAGGGAACTTAAGATCCTCCAGATTTTACCTGGCTATCTAGTCCTCCAGATGTTACCTACTATCCAGTGATCAGATTTATATAGTTGTCCAGCTGCCAGTGGAACTCTAGGCAGTGAACAAAAGAAGGAACATAATACACAAATCAATTAAGTTGTTGCTGAATTAGCTTCAGCTGCTGGGAACTGTAGTTTAGCAGCGTCTGAAGAGACGCAGGTTGCTTTCCCCAGTGCTATGATTTTGAAATCCCTTTTTTTTTTTTTTCTTGGCAAGAATTTTTTTCACTTTCTACATGGATAAGAAATGTGGCCACGTGTTTTTACTTATTACTTATATTGCTTTTAATATTATTTTGAGCAGAGAATGTAAATGAATATATATTTGAAAGTAGTGACCATATTGAAAACAAAAAGCATTAGACTGAGACTTCATTGCCATTTTTTAATTATTTTTTTTTTAGAATTTCCAGCACAAAATTTTCATTGCAATAACAGGCAGCACTTAACAGTATATGTTAATTAGCATGAGAACAGGACTGAAAGCTTGGTATGCCAGTAAGTTATGAAAGCTGTGCAGGCGAAAAGTTTGTATCAGCATATTGCTCTGGCATTAAAAATGTGGCTTGCTTTTGCTGGCAATTTTGAAGTTTTTTTTTTTTTTTTTACTTTCCCTTGTGGATAAGGCATATTCTCCTTGCAAAGTTAATCTACTGGCTTATGTATTGACTGTTATAAAAGTCTTCCTCCAAACTTAAAGCAGGATCCTTAAAACCAGCAATTCAAATATCTGCTAGAAATCGACATAGATGTTCAAGCATTTTAGCTAAGACAAGAAATCACGCACACAGGCTTCATGCCCTGGATCAAAGATGGTTATGGTTCACTGAGGTCCTATTTTCACAGTACAGTCATCACTATATTGCTATCCTGCTTTTGAGGCAACCGAAGCCCAATCAAGGCAATTTAGGAGGAAAATACATGTTTTCCTTTGGAAAACATGAGAAAGCCTCCTGTGTGAATACTTTAGTACAGAGGTCCCCAACCTTTTGGGCACCAGGGACCAGTTCTGTGGTGAAAGGTTTTTCCACGGTTCGGGGAGTGTGTAGTTTTGTGTGCTGCCTGCATCCCCCGGATGGGGCTTTGCTTGTTTGTACGGTCCGGTTGCTGGCATGCCACGGACCGGGCATTGGGAACCCCTGCTCTAGTACTCAGTTGGAAACCTGCTGGTCTCCAGAAGTCCTGCTGTAGCATGTCCCACTACTTTTTGCTGAAGACCCAATCCTTCTTTGGCTATTTGTATTGTTCCTGAAGTTGTATAGTTCAGATCATCACCTTGTGATTTTGATGCTAGTTTTTTTTCCCCCTAACTTTTTATGACTATTGATGACCTCTGGCTCCATTAATAGTTGGCTCTACCTAATGTAACTCTTAAGATCTGTGCATACATGATTCTTCCCGTAATCATACATGTCTTAGTAATATTAGTAAAGTAATATTTTAAAAATATGTTTATTTTTACACGATATAGACTCATTTCCAGATTTTTTAAAATGTTAAATCTGTTTTTGGTTTCTTTCATGCAGAAATTTATACCAGGGATGGGAATGCCTATGGAAAACCTTGTGAGTTTCCTTTCTTAGTTAATAATACATGGTATCATGATTGCATTCACATTGAGAAGTATTCAGGAGGTGAATGGTGTTCCACAACCACTTACTTCAATCAAGACACAAAATGGGGCTTCTGCTTAAAAAGAGGCAAGTAGCTTTCCTAAAATAGCATCCTGAAAAAAATAATGTTTATTAATGCATATTATATATGTTGGTATTTCATGAGAAAAAGGATGGACAGAGCTTTGCATCTAATAATAGCTTTATACAGATTAAACAATACTGTTGTATTATATACAATTACAATTATAGTAAGTTAAGATATTAAAATTATTTGCCTGAGGTTCCGGTTTGTGTTATAAAAAACATGTTCAAAAATGCGGTTTCATCTTAAACCTAGAACCTAATTAATACATGTTTCTTCCTTGTGAATTCTTGTTCTCATAATTTTACTAGTTCCTGTTTTTTTTCTGTGTGTTTTACAAACCTGTTGCAGACAGCACAAGGAGAAACGTGTGTGTGTGTGTGTGTGTGTAAAACTACATCTAGATCCCAGTCCATCTCCTTTGTAAGTCTGGATAGCACAGAGAGTGGAAATTGAATGCCAATATTGGAGATGAAGATAACATGTGTATATGTATATTTGCTCTCATGTTGACTAAATTAAGTTGATAAGGCAACATGTTCAAGAGTTCTAGATTATGGGTATGGTACCTGTAGATCACAGATATGAATGCTTGTCTTCAACAGAGGATGGCTGTCAAAATACATGGGTACAGTTTAAAGATTCTGGAAATTGTTACCAATTAAACACACAGGCTGCTCTTTCTTGGAAAGCAGCATATCTCTCGTGTAAGAAGCAAGGGAGTGATTTGGTCAGCATCACAAGTGCATCCGAGCTAAATTATATCCAAGGTAAGTACAACTTTATACTGAGTTCTAGAGGAAAGCTGTCAGTGGCAAATGAGAAGTAAGCAGATTGATTTCAAGATAGATGCTGATGACTCAGTTAAAACAAGCTCATGCAGAGACAATTGTGACTTAAAAGCAGATAATAGTGCCAGAAAAGTGGATTCTAATCTGGAACCTAAAAAGAGAGTGAGGAATAAGCTAAAACAGAGGTCCCCAATCTTTTGGGCGCCAGGGACCAGTTCTGTGGAGAGAGGTTTTTCCGCAGACTGGTGGGTGCATGGTTTTGTGTGCTGCCTGCATCTCACGGATGGGGCTTTGCTTGTTTGTGCGGATCGGGTGCTGGCATGCCACAGCCCGGTACTGATCCACAGACCGAGGGTTGGGAACCCCTGAGCTAAGAGTTCTAAGTCTATATCCACCAGAGCGTATAGTCAGCTTCTACATTGTGAAAAGCATTTGGTTGATTTGCAAAAGTTGAACGGCTCTTCTCCCGGAGAGTCTTTAAATTGAATGCTTTCATTCAAACACCCCACAATTGCCAGCATGTTCTTCAAAATAAAGCCTTTTTTTTGAGCAGGCACCCAAAGGGCAGACAAGGAACTGATCAAGGATAGATTTAATCTAGAAATAAGGAGAAATTTTCTGACAGTGAGAACAATCAACCAATGGAACAGCTTGCTTTCAGAAGTTGTGGGTGCTTCATCACTGGAGGCTTTAAAGAAGAGACTAGACAGCCACTTGTCAGAAATGGTATAGGGTCTCCTGCTTGAGCAGGAGGTTGGACTTGAAGACCTACAAGGTCCCCTCCAGCTCTACTGTTACTCTGCCATTTTATTTTTCCCATTATGTGTGTTTCACTTGGGGGATTTAGCCCATTAAATAACTCATATTGACAGTAAGAGAGATCCTCCTTTAAAGTTTAATTATAGCATAAAAGTTGGTAACTCCAAGGACGTTTTCTCACCACAGTTCTTGAGAAGAGAGAGCCTGAATAAATCATCTATACCTCCCATATCAAGTCAGTTTTCTGAAGAACCTTAGAGATAAACTTGATTAACTCTTTCGGTACTCTGTCAGATACTGAACAAGTGGGTATTGTAAAAAGAATTTGGTGATCTGAGAGAATTAGCAACAACACTGCAAAGTTGTTAAACCTCTAACAGAACTGGTCATCCCAAGTGACCATGAAAATAATGCTTATTTTGAGAAACTATATGCTGATTCATGCCTATTTCAACATGGGGTATAGATGTGGAAGAGAACAATAAAGAGTCCTTGTGGGTGTTTCCACCTTACTCCCCCTTTGCCCTGATAAAACATCACATCATACAGAAAGTGTAAGTAACATAAGTAAAATAAAGGCTGACAGACAAGCAGAAGTAAAATGCAGCCAAATCTTAATGAGCTGCTAATCAAGGGTGGTCTTGGACTGAGTTACAGGTGGTTCTCACTTAACAACTGGTCACTTAGCTGTTTGAAGTTACAACAGACACCCCCCCCCCCAAAAGTTACTTGTGACGCGTTTTGAAGTTGTGGTCACTGCAGCCCCACAGTCCTTCACCCTTATGTATTCAGGACAAAAATGGTCCCAATGCTGACTTGGGGGGGCCTTAAAAGCTACTTCACTTGAATAAGTTCAGACACATTTTTAAAGAAATATACTGGGAACTGATAAAGATACCAGCTCCTGCAGGTATCTGCTCCATATTTAGCGTATTAATAATTAAAATTATTGCATACTGGCTGAGGATCCATTCAGTGAACCTTGATAGGCTATCCAAAATATGTTTAGCAGAACAGAAGTATGGTTCGGCCCAATTACTGTGTAAGCCGATTTACCAAAATTGTTTGACAGCATGGGTTTTCTACCCAGTATTTACTCTCAACCGTCTCCTAGGTAAGGGAAATTTTTTAAACAGAGTCCTAGATATCAGTGCTCAAACTGATAAGGAGTTCTTGGCAGCAAATAGATGTTTAAGGTGGTTGAAAAATATTTGTCAGGTGAGTTTGACCCAATTATCAAAGAAGCCTGTTCTAGAGTAAAATTTGAGTTGTTGTATTCCATGGCCAAATATGGATGTTTCCATCACTTGCCCATATCATGAGAGGACATGTGTATATGGTGCCCCAGCCATCAAAGATATTGGTCATGTTTTGTTTGATTGTCAACTCTGCCTCTCTTAGGCTTAGATATTTAATATCTCCACTTGAAAGTAAAACTCATTGGGACCTGAATCGCTGGTTGTCCTACTTCCTCTGGGCTCTAATGTATATAGTGTGAGCAGAACAGTTTATAGACTATGCTAAGTTTATTCTCAAGGCAATTAGAACCTGTTGCGTTGAATACATTGGGGCATCATGTAAAGATGAATGCTGTTTCTTTCTACTTACAACATACGTGTTTCATTACTGTATTTTTCCCTTTATCTATTTTACCCTGGAATTATATCCTGTAATTTATTTTTGTTTTTTATTTTGATATGGTCAATAAATTATCTAACTACAACTTTGTACTGAATTCTAGAGAAAAGCAGTCAATGGCAAATGAAGAATAAGTGGATTGATTTCAAGATGGAATCAGGCCACCAGATTTCATGGCTTGCAGGACAGAATATTTTTCCTAATCTCTAAATTTGATAAGTTGAATGATGATTTTAAAAACGTTTGGCTGAATTCATAATATTAACAATCATCCTAGTCATTGGGAGCCAGCCAGTATGCAATCAAAATAATACTAGTATAGGTAGGTTTGCTTTATGGATTGCCTAATTCAGCAACCATTCAAAATTACAACAGTACTGAAGCAACTTTATGACCAATGTCTGCATTTATGACTGCAGTGTCCCTCAACTACATAATCGCCATTAGTCAGTATGCATTGTCCTGTGCCTGACCTGTTCTTTTTCTTCCTTCCTCCCTTGCAGAGTAGGTAGATGGGAAAGGGAGGGATTAAAACATAATGATATTTTTTTTAAGAGGAAAACGCCATTTAAATTAAGTCTTCAAAATGTAGTATCTGGATCTTTACATTTCTATTATTGATTCTACCGGGATACCTCTCAGACCTCAGTATCCCACATAGAAGTACATGGTACTGGTTATATTTAAATAAATATATATTTAAATAAAATTAAAATTAACATTGGTTGCATCTCGTATATGTATAACATTAAACTAGGATTATGTTAGCACTAGTTCGCAATCTTAGGCATCCATTCTCAGCCAGCAATAAATAAGCTGCAGTTTATCATAGCTTTATATTCAAACCAGTTTGAAGATGTCAAAAAAAAGAGTGACATTTTCGTACCACATGTTTTTTTTCACAGAAACTAATAAATGCATATGTTTGTGCAAACGCATTCCACATACCATACAGAAAACAATGAAAATACAGGTTGTTGTCTTAGAACATAATATTGCAGTTGAGCTCAGAGACAAAGGATAAAGATTTGTGGTTTTTTGTTGTTTGGTTTTACTGTAGTAGGTAAATCCCAACTATGACTTGATTGATTTGAAATGTTCTGTTCTATTATCATCTACTTTGTTTAAAACTCTCTAGCTAAAGATGGTATCGCAGAAATATTTTGGATTGGATTAAATCAGTTGGATGTTTCTGGAGGCTGGCAGTGGTCAGATCATACTCCATTGAACTTCGTGAACTGGAATTCAGGTAATTGATTTTTCCTGTCTTCTCTGTTAATTCATATTTGATGAGCTTTAGAGCAGGGAAAGGAACTGTAACAAGAACTGACTGAAAAAGATGGAGCTAATGCCGAAGAAGATTTAGATGATAGCATATCTTTAGTTCACACTGTCCTTGGGTGGAGAACTTGGACATCTTGGCATAGATACTGGAATCTGTTTATCTAGCCTTTCATATCTGTCCACCTAGTGATGTTACCCCTTCCCACCGCCATGTTTATATACAGTCTTCAGCCATTTAGCAAGATGTTCTGTATTCTAGTAATGTCATTATTTGATTCCTCCTACTTGGAGTAAGATGATAGGTAACTCATAGCAAACAAATAAGCAGTGGGTCTCTACAGTTATATTTGTAGGCAACAAATAACCATGTTTGCTGGGAACAGGGTTGCTCTTGTTTTTGTTTTGTTTTGCTTGCATTGGCAATCAAGCCATGATTTGGAATACTGAAACTAGTTCAGGCAGGCAGTGGATATAGGCACTGGAGGAAAACCTACCTCCCATATAGTATGTTGTATCAGCTCTACACACAGCCATCTCAGTTCCTCTCTTCAGGAAATCCCGTACCACCATGATATGCTTCTTTCTCAAAGAGCTTCTTAGGTTTTTTCAATCCAGGGGTTCTGGTTTCTTCCTCTGTGTTCTATGGCCAGGTTGCACAGGTGCTATGAATTATCCCTTAAAGAAAGAACGACTCCTCTAGCACTGAGTACCTTCCAGTCTTCTTGTTTGTTAGGATGGCAGGCTTCCATGTATCTGCTTCTACCAACAGGAGTTCTGCTCTTGGGTGTTCATTTGTCCACTCTTCTTGGAGAGCTTCAGTTGCCCTGTCCAGGAAACCTCATCTCTTTCTTCTCAAGCCCTTTAATTTTTTAAATCTTTGTTCATAATGCACAGTCTAGAACAGGGGTAGGCAACGTTGGCTCTTTTATGACTCGTGGACTTCAACTCCCAGAATTCCTGAGCCAAAGTTGCCTACCCCTGGTCTAGAACAACACTCTCCAACCTTTTTGGCTTTGTGGACCAGCGGAGGAAGTGAGAGGAGAAGGTTCTGCACGAGTGGCAGGTGGGCACACACTTAGCTCCATTCAGGCAAGCAGCGGGCACATGCACACACATGGAGCTGCACATGTGTGCTCATCCATCCGCTGTGCGCAGAAGTGGAGCTGTGTGCACATGCTCACCCGTTTCTACGGCCCAATTCCGAATGGGCCGCTGGTCTAGAATGCAGGGTAAAATCAACAATGGAACTCACTGTGTTGATTTTTTTTAAAATAAAAATACAAATTCTATGATTTTAATCTCATCCTTTGCACTCCAATACCTGTTATAATCCATGATGTGGTGTATCATTAGCCTAATAATGAATCATTACTCTTCTGCAGAGATGCAGAATGTATCTCCACTAGAGGGAAATGATTGTGCAGCTATGAATGCTGAGACAGGTGACTGGAAGAGTTATCCCTGTGACACTCCAATGCCTTATGTCTGCAAGAAACAAGTTAATGACAGTCAACCGGATTTCCCAGGTGAGTCTGAAATGCACTGTGAATTCAATTTGGGTCTGGTTTTTGCAGTTAAAATGCCAAATTCTTACATAATGGTAAATAAAGCAACTTCAGAACCATTTCAGATTTTCCAAATGCTTGCAGTTATGTTCACACAACATACCTAATGTGATTACTAAATTAAAACTTTATCAGGATTCACAGTGTACTTTGAAGCAAAAGAGCTAGTTTAGATGTTTGTAAACTTTGTATAGCTTTTTCCTCAAGTTGAAATTACAAGCTCAGCATGGATTCAGTCACTAAGTTTTTATTTAAATACTTAAAGACATATTCAGTTACCTTGAGGTAAGATGGGAAGCATATTAAATGAATGAATGAATGAATGAATGAATGGTATGTGCACAGCCATATATGATTATAGAAAATAAGATGGGAAGCCTATTAAATAAATGAATAAATAAATATGCCGTATGTACACAGCCATATATGATTATAGAGAATAGGATGGGAAGCCTAATAAATAAATATGCAGTATGTGCACAGCCATATATGATTATAGAGAATAATGTGTAGTAAAATTTGGATTAAATTATTTTTAAGGTAGGAAAATGCAGTTTTGTAGAAAATATTAATTTTCTTTAATTACACATGGAAGGCTTCAGAGAATTTTTGTAATTTCCATTCAAAAAGATCTCAGAAAAATTTACTTGAAGGATTTAATAAAATTTGTTCCCTGTGTAAATGTGGTGCTGCAGTCTCTTTATGACTTGATTGTGAGTAGGGGCAGTTGCAGAAATAACCAAAAATACAAAATCTCTATTCTGGCATTAATAGAATTTATTCTGGGTCATTTGTTTAAAAATATATATATCTTGAAGGCAAATGCTGTAAGAGGGACAATTCATGCAGGCTAATTTTGACTTCTACCAACTGAGCCTTTTTGTCCATCTGATTTAGTATTGTGTACTGTGACAATAATTCAGGTTATTTTTTTATTGGAGATTTTTTTATTTTTTTAACTGGATATGCCAAAGTTTAAATCTATCACATCTAAAATTTGTTCCCTTTGAGCCGTGATCCCTTCCCTATGGTATCAGTTTTGTATCATTGCTTTTAGAAATTATCGTGTTTTCTAGCAAATTCTTTTCAAGTTCTTTTTTTTTTTTTAAGATATTCAGAACAATATTGTGTGTGAATCTGGCTGGTATGCATACAGTGGATTTTGCTATATGCTAAAGAACAAAGCTGCTTCGTGGAATGATTCATATCAGCTATGCAGTGAACTCAACAGTAGCCTGATCAGTATACATTCCTTAGCAGATGTTGAATTAGTTGTTACAAAACTCCACAATGGTAAGTTGGAATGGATATGAGTTGCTCCTGTTTTTCTTTTAAACAGTACTCTCAATTTGAGGTTGGAACCTACAGTAAAAATTATTTTATTAAAGATTAATGTAAATCTCTGATATTACTAAATCTATGACCACATGTTCATTAGCTTACAGATAGTTGTTGCTTAATGACCACAATTGGAACCAGTAACTCAGTTGCTAAGCAACATGGTTGTTAAGCAAGATGTCCCATAATGGACTTAGAGTCTCACTTCTACCACAGTCATTAAGCAAATCAACCACAGTCGTAAAGCAAGACTCCACATGACCTTGACTTGCAATTTTATGGCTGGCTTCTCCATTGACTCTGCTTATCAGAAGCCAGCTGTGAAGCATGCAAATGGCTATTATGTGACTCCAGTGATACTTCAGCAGTTGCAAGTGCAAAGAGCTGAAGTTACCTTTTCAGTCCAATCATAATTTTGAACAATTGCTAAATAGGGCAGTTGTTAAGCAAGCATATTTATTTGCCATTCAGCATATTTATTTGCTATACAGCAACAGAAAACCCAGTATATACTATTTACTTTGTCTGCTGGCCAAACCTCTTTAATTCCATTATTATTATGATACAAATGAGAAGTGGCTATAGAAAAAGTTCTGTTTTTTTATTATATGGTTTTATTTTGTCAGAGAGAGGCTGAGCCAGGGGGACGAGTCAAGCAGGGAATTAGTTTGGAATCCTTAGGTAGGTAAAAGAAGGCAAGGCAATACACACACACATTCCTGAACGCATTGAGTCTTACCTAATGTGGTCCAGGTGCAGATTGTCAGTCTGGGAAGATTCCTGTGAAATAAGCATGAGCAACAAAGTAGCTAATTAAACTCTACACCAGGGGTCTCCAACCTTGGCAACTTCAAGACTTGTGGACTTCAACTCCCAGAATTCCTCAGCCAACCAAGCTGGCTGAGGTATTCTGGGAGTTGAAGTCCAGAAATCTTAAAATTGCCAATGTTGGGGACCTCTGATCTACACCCTTGGATCTGGTTATCCGTGCCTGACGCTTTTGTCTCTTGATTTTTGAATTGCTTGAATTTCTGCTTCGATTGTAGATACGAAAGACAAAATATGGATAGGATTAATAAATAAAGACATTCCAGCCTTGTTTAAGTGGTCAGATGATTCCAAAGTGGTATTTACATACTGGGATCAAAATGAGCCAAAGGTTTCCTCCAGAAGCCCTCCAAACTGTGTCTCTTATTCTGGAAAGGTAAGGAACTTTTGGGATGTTTTATAATTACTTATGTAAAACGTTTTGTAAACTTCATAGAAGACAAAGTATATGGCTTATTTTATCAGAGAATATTTCTTTTGTGCTGAAGAATTAAATTACTTAAAATAATTAAACAAGAAGGCTGCAGAGTTTTGATGTGATAGTGAAAGTGGTCATTCACATACATCCTTTGGTCATTTGTAATCAAGTGTGACTATGCAATCCTTCACTTAACTAGAATTTTACAAAAATGATTTACTTCTTTGAAAGAAATTTAAAATGTAAATAATCTTGTATGAAAGTGAATGAAAAGTATTTAAAACCTGCAGAAGGATTTTTCTGTTTAGCAATCCTAGCCATAATTAAGCCCCTCTTATTTCAGTGAAACTTATATTCATTATTGAAAAATTTAAATTTGGTGCAGTTTCTCAGTCCAGAAAAATAGGTGGGGTTTTCTATATAACTCTTGTCCACAGCAGTAACAGGTGAAATAATTAACAATTAAGTTTAATTATATATTTACCTCATTTATGCTACCCTATTTTATTTCAAAGTTCTATGAGAAGTATATCATAGAGTTATATTTCAAGAATTTAGTGAGGAAATGGTTTTCTTCTGTGTATTTTTACAACTTATGAAAGATAAGTGCAAAGTACATGAACAATTGAAAAAACCATTCATTTGGAAGATTATGTCTTTGAGAGTTCTAAAATTATTGGTTTCCTCCTTTTTGTAGTTTGGCCGATGGAACATCCTACCTTGTAATAGTAAACTTAAGTTTGTGTGCATGAAAAAAGGAAAAGTTTTAGAGGAACAAAAATCTGATAAGGATTGTTCGCCAAGTAAGGTAAAGATAGCACAAAAATTTATGTTCTAAATGAAAGATGAACTTTAATTTGGTATACCTAACATGATTGCTGCTTCAAGTTCAATAATAAGTTACATTATTATTGAATGTACATTTTATTATTATTGAGTACATTTTAATAGATTTGTTCCATAATTCTTCTCATTTCTGTGTTGTGACTCTTTAGTTTTGCATCCATTTTATCATACAGTTCTTTATTTGCTCAGTCTCCAGGTAACTGATTATATATATGCCCTAGTAGTTGATATTGATTCTGAATGAGCATTTCAAATTCTGTCATTTTTCTTAAAAGTCCTCCCTCATATTTGTGGTCAATTTCCCCCCCTCCAGCAATTTGTAAGTACATCAACCTTGATATGTTCCAGCCTTTGCCAAGTAGTTATTGGTATGTTCATGGAATCTAAATGGACTGTATATGCATAATAAATGTACTTTTCTTACTATAGTTAGCTCCAAAATGGAAAGTATTTAAAGGAGAGACCAACATTGAGATTGTTGGGCTTATTATTTTTCTCATAACATTTTATTTATTAGATTTGTTATCCATCTCACTTTGAGGTGACTCCATATTTTTATCAAGCTTTGTTTTATATAATGTCCTTTTAAAATTTTCATATCCTTGAACCATAAGTTTTTATGAAGCCTGTTAGTTAGACAGGCTCCTTCTAATGTTAATGTTCTATTGTTTGTAGATTTTATTCATTCTGTTAGTCATGGTAAATATTTTGCAATATAATACACTTTTAAGTTTGGAAGAATGAGATCACTTCTGTCTTTTTGAGTCTTGTAAACTACTAAATTAAACTCCAGGATTTTTCCACTCCATATAAATTTACTTACAGTTTTTTGCCATTCTTGTACATTTTTTCTGGAATTTGAATAGGTATCATTTGAAATGAATAGATTCTTAAATCACAATTGATTCTAACCAAGAAAGCTTTAAGTTTTTCCATCTTTCAAGATTTCTTTTAATTTCTGTCTATAATTTGACTTGATTAAATCCTGTGAAATACAACCCAGATATTTCAGAGAAACTATTATTTGGCAGAGAAATTTCTCCCACTGGAAATTATTTTCTTCCTGCATTAAATCTCATGCATTTTTTAACATCGATTTTATATGCAAAGAATTCTCCAAAGCCTTGGGATATTTTCAGTAACTATCTTATTGTATTTCATAGTTCTATGATTTTTACTCTCATTAGTTTTTTACAGGTGCTAGTGTTTTGACTTGTATATCACTAGTTTAGAAACCCATATGAGGATTCAAGAAATGGGTTTTACACACAGGATGGCCATACGTCCATTGGAAGTCTGAAAGGATCAAATTAGGGACAGATCATCAGGGATCTATCTCTTTGGTCACTCAGAGTTTATACCAATTTTACCATTCATAACCAATCAATGTTGATATCCCTCAAAAAAATCAATAAATCTAGAAACTAGATAGTTACTTGTCTGAAATAGTATAGGTTCTCCTGATTGAGCAGGAGAGTGGAATAGAAGTCCTTCAAGGTCCCTTCCAGATCCTATCCTATGCTATCCTAATGGGTGAAAACTAACCAAAGAGAGAAGCAACCTAGAACTAAGGAGAAACTTCCTGACAGTTAGAACAATTAACCAGTGGAACAACCTCCCTCCAGAAGTGGTGAATGCTCCAACACTGGAAGTTTTTAAGAAGAGACTGGACAGCCATTTGTCTGAAATGGTATAGGGTTTCCGGCCTGAGCAGGGGATGACTAGATGACCTCCAAGGTCCCTTCCAAGTTTTTTATTATTATTATTATTATTATCCTATCCTATCCTATCCTATCCTATCAAGCTAGGATAACTATTCTCTAGCAATTTTTCCAATTATCTTCCTGTATTTAAACAAGCATTATATCACTGAAAGTTCCAGTTGAAAGTCTGTCTTGAAGTTTCGGCTGCATATGAAAGTATGTGTTTCAATTTTACATTTAGTCTCTGTTTTAAGTAAATTGTTATGTAAAACTTACATTTTAGTGATATGGTTTTATGGCAAGATCTTAAAATGAAATAAATAGCAAGCTGTTTGTGGAAAAATAAGAGGGCAGAAGCAGATAGACTATTTACACTAGTTCACCATTCCTATCTTATGATTAATGTGATCACTTTATATCCCATGTTGCCTTTACCTTTGAATAAATGATTATCATCCTTTAAATTAGGAATGGAAGAAACATGGAGATTATTGCTATAGGATTGACAAGAATGAAGTCTCCTTTGGAAGTGTGTGCAATCTTACTATAGCAAACAGGTATTGTACAGTAAATGCATAAAATTGTTCAGGCGATGGCTGATTTGCCAAATATTTTTTAAATTAAAAGCAATTTAAATTTAAGAAATTTAAATTTTCTTAAAGTTTAAAATATTGTGCTATACCTTGCAGAAATATTCTCTTTAATCCTAGCTAAATACATTTTGTACATCTGGTGATAATTATTCTTTGTATTGAATTTCTGGCCTTTACAGATTTGAACAAGAATTTATAAATAATTTAATCAGAATGCATAATAAAGTTGAAGAAAAGTACTTCTGGACTGGCTTGCAAGATATCAGTTCGTCAGGAGAGTACAAATGGGGAAGCGTGAATGGAAAGAATGAAATGCTAAAATACACAAATTGGGGTTTCTTTCAACCAGGTAAAATATTGAACTTAGTGAAATACTAATACTTGCTTCATAATACAGCCTTGGGTGACTGTTTTCTTAAAAATATTGCATAGATAATTGAAACAATAACTTTTTAGAATTTCGCGGAGGATGTGTGGCAATGTCAAGTGGAAGATACCTTGGAAAGTGGGAAGTCAAGAATTGCCAAACATTTAAAGCTTATTCTATTTGCAAGAACTACATTGGACCAAAGAGAGAAGCAGAGATACTGCCAAAAATCACTGACCCTTGCCCGCAAGGATGGTCCAGAGGTTCAGGTCTTGCTTGTTACAAGGTATTACATCAAGCTTATTAAATTATTATATTCTTTCTGTTGAATTACATTCTCTCAGTTCTTAAGAAAACATACTCTTGTATAGAGCTTCCTTCTTGAGCAGGAGGTTGGACTAGATGACCCCTCTCCCTCCCTCTCTCCCTCCCCCTCTCTCCCCCCCCCTCAGTTTTGAAATCCCCTAAACAAGGGGTAGGCAACCTTGGCTCTTTTATGACTCGTGGACTTCAACTCCCAGAATTCCTGAGCCAGCATGGCTCAGCTTGGAAACCTCTCCCTTTCCTCTCAGCATGGTTGGCTCAAGAATTCTGGGAGTTGAAGTCCACGAGTCATAAAAGAGCCAAAGTTGCCTACCCCTGCCCTGAACTATGTAAGCTTTAATATTAACTCATTGAGGAATGGTTTTTCTTTAAAAAAAACATACAAATTATTATTTGTTACATATTTTCCCAAAGCAAGATTTTAAAAGTATTTTTACATTTTTAAAGCCATAAAAATAAGCTTTTTTAAAAAAAGAATGCTTCCCCAAATGCAACTTTCAGATACATACTTTGTTTTTCAGAAATATTTCTGCAAGCAAATCAGTTTTGTGTTTATGGATCTTTGAGCAAAGAAAAATAGGTGCTGGTGGGCTTCGTTCAGTGCTACCCTTTCTACCGCAACAAAATCTATTACATCAAATGTTATGAATTTGCCCTAATACAGATCCATGTTGAATTCCTTTGGCAATTTTAATCTTGAATTATTTTGAGATGGCCTGAGCGGTTCTGTTGGCCTAACTTGGAGGAATTCTGTGGAGTTCCCATTTTTCCTGAAGCTGCCTCTCCCATCCTTTATGTTGGATTCTTCAGAGATAAGAGAGGCTTCGTGGGGAAAAAAAATAAGTGAAAAAGCATTTCTTTCAATTAGAACTTCAAATGGATGGAATAGTAGTCTTGGGACTTGATAACCAACCAAAGAAATGAAGTGATGAAGTTCTGATAAATTTGAAATTAAGCAAAACAGAAATGTTAATAAGCAGATTGGAAAGTTCATTAATCTGTAAAAGTAATAGCATATATGTCTAAAAAAATAGTAATATTGTACAGCGATAAAATGGATTTTTTTTTCTATTTCCTTACAAAGTTTTTTCACAAGGAAAGAGTGCTGAGAACCAGAACGTGGGAAGAAGCTGAGAGATTTTGTGAAGCTCTTGGAGGACATCTTCCTAGTTTCAGCCACCCAGAAGAAGTTAGGGAGCTCCATATAATACTGAGGGAGATCATCAGGTAACGTTCTCAAGAGTTTAGCATTTTAGCGAATTCAACTGATGTCTAAATATATCTTCATGTATTTTACCACAACAGAGGTGATCGATAAAGTAGCATTATAGCTTTTAAAATGCTTGAACAGTCAAGCAATCTTAACCAGTCTCTCAGCGGCATCTTGAGACTGAGGAAAGGAGGCAAATGGTTCCTGGGCAGTCCTTTTCAGTGTGAAGGAGAAGTTCCTCTGTTTTTTTCCCCTAAAAAATTTAATGTTATTACAGTATGATTTCATATCACTTTTATTATCAACTACAGAAAACTGTTTCAAGGATCAGTTAAAGGAACTGTCAAGTGTAGAATCTTTCCAACATTTATATGTCATCTCTTTTATATGCTGATTAACACTAGGAGTAAGTGTGTCACCATCACCATCATCAAATCTTTCATAACAATCAAAGACCAGCATAAGGAGACTGTGTATTTGAGATTATTTCTAGAAGAAATAAAGACTGTTGGAGATGATGATGGTTGGGCAGAAACTGATATACTTTTGGGGCATAGAGGGAGGACAGCAAAAATGTAGATAGGTAAGATTAGAGATATTTCTGGAATGTCCCTGGAAGAATTGCAGGTTTTTCACCAAGGCCAGACAGGTTAGAGGACATTTGTCTCTATTGAGCCCAACTCAAGGGCAGCTGATTAACTAATTTGTTAAAGAAAAAAGATTTGTGGCTGCCAAAGGATCTGCTGAGTTATTGTATTTTTTTTATCTACCATATATTACTTTGGATAAGCCAAGAATTGTAGGTATCAAAATACATTCCAAAAATCAGGCTTGGTTTTTCTGCAGATGGGCTTATCCCCGAATATGTACATAATACTTTTTAAAAGTACCCCTAATTCCCATATATTTTCCTGGATAAGCCAATCTGTAAATAAATAAATCCACAAAATGTTAACAAAAATATCATTTAAAAAATGCAGCGTGCTATCAGCAGAGAGCACATTTTTCATGGTATTTTGCTTTAAAATTCCAGGGTTGGCTTTATTTACAGATGGACTTATTGTAAGTCTATATAATACAGTATATATTTATTTACTGGCATTTATATCCCCCTAAGTGCTTTGCCTTTCACTACATAATACCACCCAGCTTCTATTTTTGATTTTTTTTTTTTGTGGCTTCTGAATCTAGATCAGTGGTTCTCAACCTTTCTAATGCCGCGACCCCATAATACAGTTCCCCATGTTGTGGTGACCCCCAACCACTTATACATCACCAGGTGCCAGGGGCGTGGCCAAAGAAAAGGGGGGAAATGGCGGACAGCCTTGTTTGGCGACCCCCGTGAAATGGTCGTTCGACCCCAAATGGGGTCCCGACCCACAGGTTGAGAACCACTGATCTAGATTCTACACTATTGAAGCCAAGCCCATTTCTTTTTTCTTTGTTTTCTAACTTTTAATCACTTATATGTTGCAGGCTTTATATATGCAGGTTCTCAGGAGAACATTTATAAAAAAAAGTATATGCAATGCTGAGCCAGCAGATTAGCAAAATAATCTTTCACATGCTTTCAGATTTGAGCATCTCAAAGAGCAATTATCTTAAATGATGAAAGTGGTCACCAAATACCTAACAGTAATAAAACAATTGTTGAACATTCCTTTTCATTTTTACTTTTTTATTTACAGTGATGACAGATGGGTCTGGATTGGACTAAATAAGAGGAATCCTGATCTTCTGGGATCATGGCAATGGAGTGATGATAAGCCAGTAAGTTAAGCTGACCGTACCTAGAATGCTAAATGATCCAATCATAGGTGGGAGAATATTGGTGAAATTCTGAAGCTGAAAAGCTTTGAAAGAAAAACAGGAAAAGTAAAACAGGCTTTAAATAATAATTTTAAATAATGTACTGTAGCTTAAATTGGTTATGAAAATGTTCAGAAATTCAAAACCTATGCCGACTATTATTCTATGTAAAATTAGACATAATTACACACATGGAAGACCTCATATAGGGACACTACTGTGGTCATTTCTTGGGGAGGGACGGAGGGAAGGAGGGAAGAAAGAAAGAAAAGAAAGATGAAGGAAGGAAGGAAGAAAAAGAAAGAAAGAAAGAAAGATGCCTACATAGAATCAGGCTTTCATAGAATGAATATAAAGTTCTGGATTATGATCAGTAACCAATTCATAATGTGACCTTTAACAAATTAGCAAAGGCTTTGTCATGAAATTTCAGAAGATAACCTGGTTCAGTTTATATATCTATTAATGAGTGTTGAAAGTACTCTTTTTATGTTCTCAAGTTTCCTGACCCTACAGAACTGGGATATTGTAGCTGTTGTTACTAAAACACACTAATTAAAATTAATAACATAACAGCTTTAAAATCATTCTTCATCCATAGGTCTCAACTATTGTTATGCCCCTGGAATTTAGAGAAGATGACTATGATCTTCGAGACTGCGCAGCCGTCAAGGTGCATTATGACATTTTTTGATTACTAACTCCTAAAGAGAAGAAAATACTGGAAGAATCAGTTATTTTGTAAAATAATTCAGTTGACCTAATACTTGCAATTAATCCTGCAATTTAGACACTTAGACTGCCCTAACCGGATTTTTAGTCTGTGCTCAGTTAATTTTTCTTTTTACTATGAAATTGCTTCATCACATTTAGCAGGTTTTAGATTACAGCCCTTAAAAAAAAAAGGTGTGTTTGTGTGTGGGGGGGAATACTGTACTGCTTCCACAGCCTGCCTGTTTGAACTGCCTAGGAGAGATGTGTAGGAGGCAAGCTTGCATTACTCTGATGATTTGGGCATTCTTGTTTTCTCACACACAGTCACCTTGATTTCAAATGGAGGAAATTAATATATCTGTTCCAGATGGAGCCAGTCCTGGAATTTTTAAACAGAATGAATCCAAGGTCGTCCTTGTGACTTTACTGTCTCATCCCCAAAACCACCCTAATCTTATTTCTGGCAGGAACATAGACATAACTAAAACCTCCTGAATGCTTGCAACCTTGCAATGCCCTGGCATGTCCATCTTACTCATATCCTTCCTGAATATCTAATTCAGGGGTCTTCAAACGTGGCAACTTTAAGACTTGAAGACCCCTGATCTAATTGGTTAAGGCTGCTGTCCTAACCAGAATAAAACAGCCCCTTTCAACCATGTTATATTTGTAAATATTACACTGGAATGCAATAACATGTATAATATAATTTGTCTTGAAAAGTATAGTAGCTGTGATCCTTTCAATAGGTTGTTTTATTTATCTGGAAAAAAATCTAATTTAAAGTAGGTATGTACAGTTTTTGACAAATATTTCAAATATATTTGCTTATAAACCTATTAAGCATAGCACAGCAATCTCATACTTCAGTTCTGAGTTCCATTTAAAAGAAAATTCCTCTGAACACAAGAGATTTATAATAATTAATTAATTAATTAATTAAGGAAGGGAATCTTTTTTAACAGAATTTAGCTATGGACACTTACTTACTTGAGAGTTACTACAAAAAGAAATAATGCATATTATCACTGCTTTTCTTTTGTAATTATACAGACCCTCGGACAAAAACGCCGGCCGCCATGGCATATTTACCTATATGGAGATAAAGAAGAGGATTTCTACTTAAAACCTTTCCATTGTGATGTAAACCTTGAATGGGTGTGCCAGATCGCTAAAGGTAAATTTGGGTTTCAGTTGTTGTTTTAGAAAGGGGATCTATTGTGTTCAGCATGGTTCATTCTAGATAAAAACGTGCAGGATTAAAGCATTAAATTTAGGGTTAGTTTTTCCTTAATTTTATTCAACATGTCAGCATTATGACTGGCCAATTTCCTGTAACTCTGAAAAAATCTGAGCTCTGAAAATACCATATTTCCCCCCCCCCCAAACTTTGAGTTAGTTTCTATCTGACTAAGGGTTAAATCAAATGTAGAAGTCCCATCATTGGCATACATTATTTCAAGAATGGGTGTGTTACATAAAAGCCTTTTCTTCCTTTTTCTGTCCTACTGTTAACCAGTATCAATATCCCCCAACTAGGATTTGGCAGTGTATCCCAGACATCATGATTTTCCCTGAGTAACCTTATTTCCCAGGCAAGGCTTGGCATAAGTCAATTTGGCAGACCCGATTTGGCTGAATAAGAATTTTTAGTGCCAGCAGCAACGAAACCAAACAAACGTTGATAGAAAAATACAGATGCCTCTCATTCTTATAGTGGTTCAGATCCGTGGCTTTTTCTTCCTACAAATTAACAGACTCGCATGGTGTCTTTGAAGTAGGGCAATTATTAAAGGTATGCTTAATTGCCAACTCTTGATCTGAGAACCACGGGCCCACCATATACTTTCTAAATGGAAAACTACTTTTTGACTTCCCATCCAATTTAACTAAAGGGCCAACAATGCTGTTAAATGAAACAAAAGCACCGCCTGACAGCACAATATGGATGCATCTCAAGCTAGATATTCAAATATTATGTTTTAGTTTAGTATTCAGCCCAGGGTTTCTCAGTTGGAGTTTTGCAGAATCCTAGGATTCTGCAAGAGGTCGCTAAAGGTTCCCTGGGGAACCATGATTTATTTTTTTAAAAAAGCGGAGACTAAACAAAATCCTTCCAGCCTCCAACCCTTGATTGCCCCCCTGGAGCCCACATGAACTGATGGCTGGGGCAGGAATTTTACACACAGAAACACACTGGTAGCTGAGGCAGGTGCAATGCTGGGGGGCAGTGTTTTCAAATCATAAATTCTTTTTATGTTTTGGAACAAGATTTTACAAGTGAAACAGGCCAATAGATAGAGAAGTGAGGTAATTTCTTTGCATTCTCTCTGGCTATTAGTGGATATAAAATTAATTCCATTGTATGAAGTAATTGTCCTCTGAATAATCATATGTATCTTATTCCATTTGCTGCTATCTGCAGTCCCCTCTTGGAGTATGATAATATCATGTCTTTATACAACTCTTTCCAAGAACTCTTTATGGATTTTTGATCAGTTAAATGTTGGGTTTTTTTTTTTAACCACTTGAGTCTGAAAGTGTAGTATTGATAGCAAAAGAAAACCTGCCTTAAATAGAAGGAAGCAACCCTTGAGATTAGAGTTGCTTTTTAAAATTTGGATTCATGCCTCAATTAGATTCAGTTTTTTAAAATGACTCGAGACACTTTATATGTATGGAAAGTGTTAAATTATTGTTGAATTCAGGTTTGAACATTCCTGTGACAAGTGACACAGCCGAGAGAGACAGAGAGATTAGATATATAGATACATTAGATATACTAGTGATAGGCTTTTCCTTTATCAACAGGTACTACTCCAAAGACACCTGAATGGTACAAACCAGGTAAGATTATTTCTTAGTTTTCATACACTTCATTGTAGTTGAACTCAGGGACTTTTCTTTCCACAGCCTCATGGCGGTTTTATTGTTCGCTTAATCCCAGTTCATGTATTTCAGATAGCTGGAATGTGCCTGGGAGTTTTTGTGCATTGCATAAATAATATATTTTGTAAAACAGTAGCATTCCATATTGTGTGTGTGTATGATTGAAACGTGAAATAAGATTTATATAATTGAAATTTGAAATAAGTACTACCTTTATCCAGAAGAAACTTGGCCAAGCTTCAGGAATAACTAGGAAGTTTTTCCAACTCTGATTCTGTGACATTGAAGTGTTGACACATCATGATGTCATTGCATAAATGGTACGCTCATATCATGATGCAAGTACATCATATTATTTGTATGTGGATGGCATGAGACCTATGTCACTAATTCCTACTCCACACAGACGACCATAAGCCCTAGAACAATGGTTCTCAACCTGTGGGTCGTGACCCCATTTAGGGTCGAACGACCATTTCACGGGGGTCACCAAAGAACGCAGTCCGCCATTTTTTTCCCCTTTTCCTTAGCTGTGCTACTTCCTTTTATTCTTTTGGCTTTTGAAAGCCAATAGAATAGACTCTCTTAAATAGAGTCTAATTCTATTGGCTTTCAAAAGCCAATAGGAATTGTCCAGGCTGTCTCTGCCCTGCTGAGCCCGCCAAAAGTCCCAGTCTGCAAACGGTGCTGTACCAGTTGAGTAGTCCTCAACTTACGACTGGTTGAGTAGTCCTCGACTTACGACCGGTTGGGGGTCGCGGCATTAAAAAGGTTGAGAACCATTGCCCTAGAATGATGTATTTATTTATTTATTTGTTCGATTTTTGGTTGATTATAAATCATTAAATCATCAGGAAATTAAAGGCAGAAGTTACAGATAGTGATAATTACCTTCCCGACGTGACCATTCATGAAAAGTTTTAGGTGTAACCCAGTCTTTCTTGCACTAGAGAGTTGACCAAAACATGTAATTAGTAAGAAAGTTGGTCAGTTTAATTGTCAAAGAACTTGTTAACTTAATAAACTTGTTAACTTTAGTAAAATGATTAATGTGATGAAGTGAGTTGTAATGTTTTTGTTTGAAATCAGACCTGGAGGAATTGAAGTCAGATTCAGTCATTTGTTTCTAAGTCAGATGCCCAGCGTTTTTAATTTTGATTCACACATCCTCCCTCCCCCCACCCCGTTACATCATGATTCAGATTGTATGGAGTTGCTGGTTCATGTTAGGTTGTACTGAGTGTAAGCTTCGTATGTGATTTTCTTTCTTTGTAGACGAAGAAGGAATTCATGGGCCAACAGTGAATATTGATGGGTCAGAATTCTGGTTCGTGGCAAATAAGACTTTGAGCTATCAAGAAGCTTCCATGTATTGTTCCGAGGGTGGAAGTGACTTAGCTTATGTGACCTCTTTCACAGCGCTGAATGGAATTCTAAACACAATTTTAAAAGTAATGTATTAATTTATATTTTGGGTGATTTCTATTGAATGAAATGACTGCCAACATCCCTTTTCTTTGTGGATTTTGATGGAGGGTATTTTTAGGGGTGCATTAACCCGATCAGAGACAAATTACTTTAGTTTTCCATAAAAAATGAGCAAGAAACCATGCTGCTGCTGTTCAGTAATTTGTTACTAAAATTCAGCAGTGAGATCTGGGTGACTCGGGAGATCATGTGAAATCTGTGGATTGCTCATATCTGCACTATGTGGTATAGCATGTCATGTGCATCTCTACTGCTCTATCCATGAATAGATACAACAATAAAAGGTTAATTTTGGGTTGACTGTTAAGATATTTTAATGGGGAATCTGACTTAGTTCACTTGAAAGAAGTCAGAGAAGGAAGCCATAACTGAAGCAAACTATGGCTACATCTTTTCTACATCTTTTTTTCTGGATACAGATACTCCTCGACTTACAACAGTTCTTTTAGTGTCTGTTCAAAGTTACAATAGCACTGAAAAAAGTAACTTAACGATTGTTTTTCACACTTACTACTATTACTGCATCCACATGATCAAAATTCAGATGCTTGGCAACTGCCTCATATTTATGACGGTTGCAGTGTCCCGGGGTAATGTGATCACTTTTTGGGAACTTCTGATCAGCAAAGTCCATTGGGAATCCAGAATCACTTAACAACCGTGTAACTAACTTGACAATTGCAGTGATTCACTTAACCACTGTGGCAAGAAATATCGTAAAATGGGGCAAAATTCACTTAACAACTGTCTCACTTAGCAACAGAAATTTTGGGCTCAATTGTCATAAGTCGAGGATTAACTGTAGTTAAGAGAGTATCCTTCATTCACTCTGAGGCAGTGGTTAACTGGGAAATCCAAGTTCTAGTGCCACATTAGTCACAGAGGACTGACTTTGGGCTGGTATATTCTCTCAGCCCAATCTATCTCACAGATGGTTATTAATGAGTGGCAAAATAGGTCTTGCACTGCATATGACTTAAATATGAGCTCATCCAAGTAAGATTACAGAGCTTGGGAAAATCATAGATGGCTTCTTAGTTGGATCAAATTATAGGTTAAGTCAGCATGAATCACATTTACCATAAAGCCAGTCTTACTAAGATACCTGGATTTAATTTCTCCCTCACTTATGATGTGCCTGAATTAAACCTTGCTGTTTTTTTCATTGTCTTCCTTCTAATTTCTTATATTATAATACATTGTCTTATGGCACTAGCAGTATTACTGCAGATACCGTGCTGCAGTAAACTTAGCATTTCTCTATTATTATGGTTGTAGAAAATGTTTTTACATTGGACATTAGAGCTCCCTAAAAAGCAGTTTGAGAAAAACATCTAACTAATCATTAGTCATGAGGGTTTTTGAGCTCTTCTCAAAGATTGCTTCGCTCTCGTGCAATTGCAAAACATTTTTTAGTATCGCATGGAAGAGAGTAACATTGGATATTGCATTTCACACTAATACAATCTGCTTTTGGCAGTTATCGGATGAGAATCAGAACTGGTGGTTCAAATACAGAATTCCAACAATTCACTACCGTTCGTCGTAAGTAGAAACATCCATCTGTGTTGTTCAAAAGATTATTTATTTTATGAAAACTATTTACCAAGTGCAATGCTGTATCTGCCGCATATGACTGAAGATCAGATATTGAAATGGTAAATCTCAGGAGTGGGGGTATTTTAACACTATGTTTGGTCCTTAAAACATATTTTTACAATGGTTCAAATGGAAATTTAAGAACAGTGGATTGGTTAAAGGTTTGCTACCTCTGTTCCATAAACAGTTGCATAGGAGCTAGCGGGAGGCAATATTTTGCAAGATTTAGTGCAAACAATTGTGCTAGTAGCCATGTTTTACACTTTTTATTTTTATTTTTTGGCTACATTAAGAAAAATCCTTCAATATATGTGGGAGCATATCTCTGCACCAGGTCCAATTTTTATTTTAAAATGCAAATGAAAAAGAAAAACGTGAAAGCAGTTTGTGTGTATAGTTATACGGGACAGCTCATCATATTAGTATTTATTACTAAATAAGTGTAATTGTATTTCTAACTGCGCCGTTCTTGCAGATTCTTGAGTAGCTTAAAAATAAAAAGTAAAATTTTGTTGGAGTTGAGCTTAACTTCTGTGATCTCAAGAACAGTGGCAATTAGAGGGAAGCTATAGAAATTGTATAAATAAAATAAATAATCGTCTTTTTCAAAATCTAGCCTTCAGTCATGGTACTCCCTAAGTCTCCCATTCAAGTTCAACTCGGTAGGCTTCTAAGCCCAGAAGTAATACCAAGTCTTGCAAAAAAAAAAAAAAAAAAACACTTCCAAAATAGGTTGAACTAAGAGTGTCTTGTCTAGAGGAATGTTATTTCATAAAAATTGAAGGTGTGGAGTTTTTAATCTGGATTAAAGTTGGAGCATTGGTTCAACCTTGCTCACCCCTCCTGTCAGTCTCAGCCTGGATTAGTCCTTTTTGCTAGTAGCATCCATCTGTGTGGGTTTGAAAGAGGAAAGACGATAGAAGTGTAGGTAGTCCTTAACTTATGTGCACAATTGGGACCAGACGTTTGGTTGCTAAGCAACATTGTTAAGCAAGTCATCACAAGACTGGACCCTATTTTATGATCATTTTTACCATGGTATTTATTGAACCACCATGGTGGTTAAGCATATCAAGTGGTTGGTAAGTGAATCACAGTCATTAAGTGAATTGATTAACTGATTGTCACAAGACAGTTGGGAAGGTTGCAAATTATGATCATAATGATTGCAAGATGCTGAAACTGTTGTAAATTGGAACCGGTTGCTAAGCACCCGAATTGTGATCATGTGTCCACAGTGCGACAGTTGTAACTTCAAGGATGAGTCATAAGTCACTTTTGTAAGGCTATCTTAACTTCGAACCATCATTAAAAAAGTACTTGTAAATTGAGACTTACATGTAGGATCATAATCCAGTCTTTCTGTTTTTCATACCTTGTACATATGAATAAAAGAGCAGGTCTTTGCATTGGAGGTGCCAAGAAAAGTTATCTTTGCTTCTTTCCCTTAATTTTACCATATTACTTTATCATATCATCGTACCATAGATACTGCAATTATGTACGTACATTTCATATTTTCATTATTTAAATATATTTTTTTATAAATATGTTTAACAAGTATTAAATGTAAGTTGCGACATTTGCATAAAATATTCATTGATCATGGTTCATCATTCTATCCCTGACTATACTGTTTGGATACCACTCTGTGGCTATATGTACCTTGTTTCCTTTTTTAAAAAAATAAATAATATTCTGTTTGTTTGTTTTTTCTTAAGCTTTTTTTCACACTATTTTGAACACCACCCCAGAAAATGTTGGCATATCTCTTATCGATCCTGGTTAAGAGGTAATAGCTATATTTTTGTAATCAGTTATATTTTTAGAAATGTTCTCAGACTCTCTCCTAAATAAGAAGAGTGTATTAGTTTTCCTTTGGGCTTCTTTTTGTGGGATTCACGTTTCCTACTACATAATTTTTAATCTTTTAATTCTGTCAACTGAGGAAGGAAAGTCAGAAAATATATGTGGTTGCTCTTCACCCTCATGGATCTTTTTGCTTCTATCCTTGTCTTGATTGAAATTGACAGTTTAAAATTTGAATTCTGAAAATAACTTTTCTGAGACTGTAAGCTTGTTGCCTTCTATAGGAATTCTGTCAGTCTCCATTGTTCATCCCCTCTCTATGACAACTTGTTTTCATCCTTTTGGATGTGAGGATTTGGATTGTTCTGATATTTAATATCCTTCTCTTAACATATTTTATTGCTGACCTTGCAGTTTCAGAACTAAATTAAATAATTGAATATAGTCTGAATAATTGGACATTGATAGCAACTCTTTAAATTTTCCGTCCAACTCTTATTATCTAAAGTACTTTTAACTAAAAATCCTCTGGTTGAACTTGGGATCATCTATAGACTTTGCTTCTGAACCAAGAAGGGATTCTTACCATTCATTAATATGAAGGGTCCTTGGTGCTCTCTGAGCTTGGTTGTTTTCTTGCAGATGTTTCATTACCCAAACTAGGTAACATCATCAGTGCTAATCTGGGTAACGAAACATCAGCAAAAAAAAAAAAAAACCCAATCAAAGACCATCAAGGACTCCTCATTTCAACCTTGATCTACAAATATTCTCCTTTATTGATTAATTAATATATTCATTCAGAGTATAATTATACTAACTGCTGAGGGCTCTGCTTGGTTCAAAGCATAAAACTAAATTTGAAGCAAAGGGTATTACAAACAGTCATCAATTAAAACTCTATTTTATTGCATACGTTAAACGGAGAGGTCTGTATAACAGGGTATCAGCATAACACTGCTCTATTTTTTATTCTGCAGGCAGTCCATTGGATTGCAGTTCAAAACTGCCTTTCATTTGTGAGAAATACAATGCATCATTATTGGAGACAAGCAAGCCAGGTTATAAACCACCTCAGGAAAGCTGCCCTGAAAATTGGATTTTTTTCCTAAATAAGGTAAAGCATAAATAATTTGGAATTCTGAATATTATATTTCAGTCCTCAGAACTTGCCATGAACTGGTTATCAAACTAGTTGGATGAACATGTAAATATCTGTAATACCTTGCAACTAACAAACTTGAAGATCCAATCTTGGTCAGTCACTGGGACCAGAGGTTTAGTCTTCCGAGATTTCAGACTTTTCTGCTGGAGCCTATCCTTAGGCTCTTCTCTCTATCCGCATACTAGTTTTCTCTCTACACATTCCGGTACAGAGAAGTTCCCTTAGGATGAGCTCCAGCACAAGTCCCTAAAGCTCAGAAGACTTAACCTCTGGTCCTGGTGACTGACACTGGGCTACTATATGAACACAGTTGAAATTGAGTATACAAAACATTTGTGAAATATCTACGTCAGAGATTATATTTTTTTTAAAAAAAATCTTTTACAGTGTTATCGAAAGATGACCCCTAAGAACATGACATTTAGAAAAGCAGACGAACATTGTCAATCTTTAGGAGGGTTCCTCCCTTCAATCAAAAGCCAGATTGAACAAGGTAAGAGAATACGTGAACCGTGGTGGCGCAGTGGTTAGAATGCAGTATTAGGCTAACTCTGCCCACAGCCAGGAGGAGTTCGATCCTGACCAGCTCAAGGTTGACCCAACCTTCCACTCTTCCTACTGAGGTTGGTAAAATGAGGATCCAGACTGTTGGGGACTGCAGAGCACCACGAAGTAGTATGTAAGTCTAAGTGCTATAGCTATTCCATGCATAGTCTGTATATCAGGATTCTTTTATGTATACATACATGTTGTAATTTGAGTTTTTGACATTGAATAACATGGACCTGATCCTGAGAAAGGCTTTGTGTATGAGATAATAATGGAAATTCTATTTGTGGGCATCCACTGTGTGGAAGACAAATGACAAAATCAGCATCTGCCCTTTTTGCACATGTGTTTTGACATCACAGGTATACAAATAAGGGGCAGACATTCTGAGATATGCTATTTGTTCTGCTAAATCTCTTTTTCTTGCATATCTTTCTCTTGGTATAATAGAAAACTCACATCTTCCAAATAAAAATTAGGGATAGTGATTATTATCATTAATTATGTAAGAATGCACTGTAATTTTACAGTTGGTATCATCTCTATTCTTTCAAAATCTTATGAGGTTCCTGTTTTTTAAAATTGAAACTAAGAGTTACGACAAACTGTGTGGGTGTGAATATAACCATTGTTATTTATTATATAAGCATTGTTATACTGTTATTTATTCATGAATTAATCATGATTAATTCATATTATTAGTATGATATTATGAATTAATTATAATATTTCTACAGCAGACTCCAAGTGGTTTAGAATAAATAAAACAAGAGCAATATAAATTCCTATAAAGCAGAGTATTTCCTCATTTTCATAGCTAACAAGAAGATTAGCAGTGATTAATAACACTCCCCCCAAGCTAACTAGAAGGCACTAATCTCTGAATGTCCTACCAAAGGAAGCAAATGTTTGCCATCCTTTGAGTAGAAAAGATAGTGAATAAAAAACACAGCATGATAGTGTTATCTTTATGAAAGAGAATAGAAATTACTGTTCTTGGAAGGAGGAACAATCTCAGATCTCACTTCCTGTGTTTACAAGTAAGTGAATTCAGGCAATGGATCCTGCAGGATCCATTTCCAGGAATGTTTTAATATTCCATTAATGAGCATGAGAAGATTGATAAAATCAGGAAATTAACAACAACAAAATAGGTTCATTGTGTTATATATGCCACAGGGCTGTGGGGGAGGGTCCAAAAAAATCAAGATGGCGGCCGCCACCATGCAATCAAAACTCTGTCCCCTTTTTTTCTTGTGATCCATATTAAAGGGGGCATGGCTTCAATTACACGGTTGCGACTGCCATCTTGAATTTATTTTTTTATTGCTTTTAAAATAAAGAAAAGGAACAAAATTCTAAAATAATTACAATGCAAATACATATAATATATTCTTTAAAAAACATAAAAGTGGAAAAAATTAAAAGAAAATATAATACATTATTATTACGGCAGCTATAGTTAGATATATATATATATATATTATCTGATGTATACAGTATATTGTTCAGGTACAGATTTATTTCTGATACACTTATATCTTTTTTTCACTGCTATAATTTCTATAAATGAGTTCCATATTTCATTATACAGAGTCCAAATAAAATCTATATCTATAGACAGTTGCCCCATTGGTGGCATATGTGATCAGGTTTTCAGTGCATTGAGTGAATGGGGCCATACATTTATCTTCCAGTACTACAGTATCAGTCTTTTTGCCATAGTAAGGGCCAAAGGATCCATTTACATTGTCCAGTTTTCAGATTCCATGTACATAGTAAGTAAGTAATTCAAGAGATACCATCCTTTAAAAGAAATAACTTTTGTTGCCCAGTCAGATTTATATAGTCAAATATTTCCTCCCAAAATTTAGATATTTCCTCCCAAGTATAGGACATTGTAAAAATATGTGTTTTAAAGAAGCATTACTCTTATTATAATTCCAATAAAATGCTATCTTATATAGACCTTTCTGTACCAATGTACTAAAGTCCAATATATTCTAAATATTAGTTTTTGTTGTTTAAATTGTAGTTTAAGGTCCATTGACACTCTTGCTAGAGAAGTTAATAAACTCTACTATTGTCCAGGCAATATAGAAATCTCTTAATTCTTTATTCAACTACTTTCTTAACATCTGTATATCAAATTCATTTATCTATAAACCATAGAAATGATACAGTTCAATTTCAAATACAAATTGAAATATTTATAAAAACTAAGTTGCTAACAAATGTTGTAGCTATTAATATTGCCATTGAGTTATATCTGAAGATGATATTTTTATTTATAAAAAATAAGGGTGGGGAATACATAAAATAACTACTTTATCTCTTATATATTAAAAATTCATCTTCAGCATCAGTTGTTCCAAAGTCAGTATCCCTGCTTTCATCCATTTTTTCTGTATCACTTTTTCTCAATTTTAAAGTTGAGTTTCCCCATAAAATCAATATAGCATGGAAAAAGAGATCAAATCTTTTTTTAGTCAACATTACTTTCCATAACATTGTAAGTTGACAAAATTGTTTCCAGAGACACTAGAATTCTAGTATATTTGATCCTAAAATTATACATCCAACCAAGATGATAGATAGATAGATAGATAGATAGATAGATAGATAGATAGATAGATAGATAGATAGATAGATAGATGGATGGATGACAGGTAGGTAAGTAGGTAGGTAGGTCAATTGGTTGGTAGGTAGGTAGGTAGGTAGATAGATAGATAGATAGATAGATAGATAGATAGATAGATAGATAGATAGATAGATAGATAGATAGATAGATAGATAGATAGATCGATAGATCGATCCAGCTTCGGATTTGGAAAACTGAATCCTCCCTAAAGAATTGATAATTGCAATTTTTGTAAAGATATTCTTGTAATCAAAGAGCCCCATAAAAATGCCTAAACAAGGAATTGATTTTCTGAAAATAATTTCCAGATATTTGAATAGGAACTCCTCTCAAAATATGGGAATAACTTATTGTGAGACTATTCACCTTTCTCCAAAGTTTGAGATTTAATGATTCCCATCTATTGAGATTCCCATCTATTAAGAAACATATGTATATATTTTATTTATATTGTATGTTACTAACTAGGTTTTATCTTTGGTATGCACCTATCTAGATGTTGAAAGGATGTGGGACAAATGCTGGAATGATATTCCTTATATGAATAGATATGCCAATTTCCACTGATTGGCAACAATTTCAATTTGGACCAGTTAATAGGGCATCCTGCTATTTTATTGAATGCATCTATCAATTGGAATAGTATTGTGAGGTTTAGAAGTAAACAAAATAATGTAATTTACAAACCAATTTATATTCTATTGAGTTATGTATTGCCATTTTGATTTTATGGACTGCCCTTATCTGCAAGTTAATTCCTTTACCTATTTAATCCTAATGTGCAAATATTTATCTTCTTCCCAACAGACTTTATAACATCCTTACTCCCCAGTCTGCCCCCAAAGATTTGGATTGGTTTACGTTCCCAGGTGCATCTGCATGTAAGCAAGTGGGCTGATGGCAGTGATTTAGATTATGTCAATTTCCATCCTTTGCTTCAAGGAAAGCTAAGAAGAATTCCTTTTGATGTGAGTTGTTGATGCTGTTTTTTTTACACTGTAGGCTTTCCCTGTAATTTATTTAGAGCAGAAAAAAAGTTGCTTTTACTAATGTAAGTTAGAGGAGAAATGAGAAGTTGAAAATAGGAAAGTACAGTATATCCCATCCATTTTGAATATTTTGTTTGTAATTGGATAGCTTCTTCAGAAATTTAGGTATAAGATTGGATCATTTATATTATGTTAAATATTGTTTGTGATGTAATTGTGACAGCAGCCTAAGGAATATGATTTTAGTAAAAAGCTTAATTATAGTCACAGTATGTAGCATCACCTAGTCCAGGGGTCCCCAACCCCCCCAACCTATAGCCCACTACCAGGCTGTGGCCTGTTTGGAACTAGGCCGCACAAGTAGTGGGCGAATCACATGGATGCAAAATTCCACTTGTGCAAGCACAATACACAAAACTCTGTTTGCGCGAACGGGCATACACATGCACCCACCACTCGCACAGAACCATCCCCCCCCCATCAGTCTGCCAAGCTGGAAAGTTTGGGGACCACTGACCTAGTCAACTGGAGCTGATCTTGGAAAAGCTAAGCAGGGTCAGCTGAGTAGGATGGAAGAATATTAGACTAAACTAAAAAAGTGGAAAAAAAATGTAAAAAGGTGATGGCACAGCCTTCTGTATTTTGACCAAGAGGATAATGTGGACTTTCCTATAATCATTGGTTATCATGTGGACCTATAATTATCAGTTTTTACTTAATTTCATTATAATGAAAAGGAAGATAGTGTCACTTAAAAAAAAAAACAAATCTAACAGTCATTTCTGTTCTGTGACTTCATCTTTCAGTTTCCTGGCTTAGATGGAATCGAAACAAAATCACTTGGTCAGGGGTTTTTTTGAGACAAGGTAGTTTCATAAATCATGATGTGAAAAGGTTTCTTTCTGTAAAATTATAGTTAAAACTGAAGTTTTGGATTCAGAACCTAGAGCTGTGTAAGAAGCAAACAAAAGATTATTCTGAAGTCAGAGTTAAGCTCAGAACCTTTTTTTGTGGTAACACTGCGGGAGAATTCAGAATAGGTCTCTTGTGTTCTCATTTTATTTCAGGCCTGCAAAAGTGGATGGAACAGTAGTCCATGCTAGTGCTATGTTCCATCTACCCTAGAACAAAATTGGGAAAGGGAAGGATTGAAACCAATGATAATTCTTTTATTAAAAGAATCTTTAACAAATGAAATTCATAGACAAAGGGGCTTGCCAGCCAAAGGATCTCAACGATGACGAAAGGAGCTAGTCCTCAGCTAACTTCCAATGGCTGGGTTGTAAAAGTCCAGCAATAGGAGGGTGATCTTGAAATCAGCTGTTCTACCAAGTTAGTGTCCAATGTGAACACGTGAATGCAATCCTATCACCTCCTCTGAACAACCTCATGCAGGACCGGGATTATCAGGAACATGATATATTGTTGGGCAACACTGCATAGCCAAAAGGGGAACTTTTTGTGTACTCACTTTCCCTTAGCTTGTAAGAACACATTATGGATGCCTCTCTTCTCCCTGAGAAGGAGCCAATTGGGAGAGCAGGGGCTGTGTGGTTTTGGTTGATAAAGAAAAGTCGGAGCCAGGCCCCTGGCTGCTGTTCCTGCTTAGGATGCAATTATACACTCAGTGTTTCATATCCCTTCAGGTGGCAAATGGTGCCAATTCTGATTCCATCAAAGCTTTTCCTTCCTGATTGTTGCCTATAGCAGGCGGGCAGATCATTACACTGCTTCATTAATTAAAAGTCTCCAGTAATGATGGGATGGGAAATGGAATCGTAGAACTTAGAATACTCTGTCCATTAGAATATGCTGTCCATTTTGATTTCAGCATATTTTCCACACCACTACTAGGTAGAACATTAAACCACAATAACTTTAAAAATAAAATAAAAAAACAAGACTCTGATCTCATTCCGGTAGCTATGTTAGATTGCAGGAGGAATGAGTATGCTGACAAGCCCATTTTACTCTTGTGAAAGCTAGAAGTATAATTTAGCAATCCATCCAAACATCCCTGTTTAATTTGATTGTGTCAAGGATTTCAATCATATTTGTTTATGGGACATGCCAGTACTGGTAATATAATGTCATATTTCTTTTTCTCCCCAGGCATTTAATGAGGAAGGGAATAACCAGTGTGGTGTTTTACTAAATAATCCCAAAGGTTATGTAGGAACTTGGAATTTTACTTCTTGTGCTGATACTTTGCCTTTGGCCATATGTCAGAAGGATCTAGGTACGTGAGTGGAGAAATACAGGTTTGAAATACCTGCTTTTCACTTTAAGTGGCATTTTAGATGACCAGATAACTCAGTCAGTACAAAAAATATTTAATGTTAGAAGATCGACTTGTAAATCTCCTGACCTTGTTGGATCCGCATTAGCGAACTAGATGGTAAAGATCTAAAAAAAATTAAAAAATAGCTCACTTTCTTTGGTAAGATTTGGTTACTTTAAAAGTAATTCCCAAATTAAATATATCTTGGATAAGAGCTATTATGTAACACTGTACTACTGGCTTTGCAAGCAATGTTTTACTTTTGAAAGCTTCCTGGTACAATCTTGGATGTCACCTTCTTGAAGGAAGGAGAAATATTCTTCCTCTTATGCCCCAAAGGAATGCTTTTTAGTATGACGCTTGTCATTAGATGTCCTTTATATGTATTTAAATTTATTTCTAGGAAAATCTGACTGATTAATCTGGATCATTGGCTTTGTATATGAGTTGGATTAATTTAAGTGGTTCATTGAGATGCAGCATTACAGTCCTAATCTTACTAAGGTTCAATCAGTCTTCAGTCAGAACTGAAGAAGCTTCTTGGATGAGAAGCGTAATGTCTTCAAGGAAAAACAAAGACTAGTTGCCTTTTGAAAAAGCACTTTTGGGACAACCATGACCTGGATGACTGAAAATCTCCATAGACACTTATCTTACTAAGTCGCCCAAAATACAATGTGCTTTAATACAGAGGTCCCCAACCTTTTGGTGCACCAGGGACCGGTTCTGTGGAGAAAGATTTTTCCACGGACCAGAGGGGACGTGGTTTGTGTGCTGCCTGCATCCAGTGGATGGGGCTTCACTTGTTTGCGTGGCCCGGTTGCTGACATGCCGCGGCCCAGTGCCGGTCCACGGACTTGGGGTTGGGGACCCCTGCTCTAATATTCCCTGAAAAGAAAATGCTGCTCTTGAAAACAAACTTCTTTATTGTATATTACTTCATTCCCTCTGTTCAATTGCTTATTCTTCTTCTGCAGTTGTTGTTGAAAACCAGACAATCCAAGTGCCTGAACGTACCATGAAATACCTAAATGTCACCTACACCTTAATTCTGAGGAACCTGACTTGGTTTGATGCCGAGGAAGAATGCCTGAAGAGCAATATGAGGCTGGTTAGCATTACAGAACAATACCAACAGGCTTTTCTTGGTTCTCAAGTGGTTCTCCACAACCAACAGCTCTGGATTGGGCTCTCTAGCCATGATGTAAGGTTCTGCTTTCCCTTTCAAACATACTCTTGAAATAAAAAATATTATGATAGAATGAACAAATATATTTTAAATAATACCTGCAAAATAGGAGCCCTAGGGCTGTTGATAGTGCTGAAACAAGTTACAGATACATGTCTCATAAATACCTTTTTAGAATGTCTTATTGGTCGTTGTAAATTCTTTTTGTTCCTTTAAATTATGGGCACAATGTATTTTTTTTAAAAAAAGAACACAGTGTCGAATCCAGCGTCCACATTGTTCAAGAGCAATTTTACCCAAAATGGTACTTCCTGGATACACCTTCTCTGTTGCTACCCTCTGGAATAAGATTCCACAAAAATCTGTGTGGCTCCACCCTATTGACCTTGAAGGCCTTGAAGGACCTGGTGGTTCTTCCAGGCTTGGATTAAGATGAATGAAACCCTGGTCAGATGTGCTTTTCACTCTATTTTTGTGTTAAGCAACAGGATTTTAATATTGTTTTGCCTTGTATTGCATTTTTATTGCATGTTTTATTGTGATCTACCCAGAATTGGTTTGGAGTCAGCCAATGTGTAAATTGAAATAAATAATAAATAAATACCATTAACTACAAATTGATGTATATAATAAGGGTGTGCAAATCAGCCAAGATCTGATTTTGTACCAAGATTTGATTGTAGTAAGATTTAAATCAAATTTGAGATTTAAGATTCAAAAGCAATAATGTTTGATTTTAATTGTTTTTGAGATTCTGTTCAGTAAATTGCTCGGAGGCTAAAATGGAGAAGCAGCAGAGCACTGAATGTGCTTCCTTTTTGGATAGAATGTCTAGACTCTAGAAAATAAAAGGGATGCTCAACTTCTTAGACATTTATATTAAAAATGACAAACTTTATGCTGCATAACTTTGGGGGTTTCCATTAAATCCTGGAAATATTTCCTCCCCTTTTTAAGGCAGAGATCATAGGAATAAGGGAAAAAATACCCAGCTTTCATATTATCCAATAAAGGTCTATGTGAGAAAATGTGTTGAACAATGCAGGAAGTATCATATTCCAGCTTAAATATAAAAACTTCCAAAAACAATTAATCGCTTATTAAGTTCTCAGAGTCCACCAACCCTGAGCTCTTGTCCTTCTAAGCTGTCAAGTATTTGGCATGGCTAATTTGGCAAACTTGACCTCCATGTTTTTGTAATATTTTTCTTGGCATCCATCCGAAAACTACTCACTTGAATTTTTAAGTTCATTATTTCTTGTCACAGCTTCTAGAACAGGTTAATAGTTTGTTTTATGTAGTTAATCTTTCTACTTTCTGATGTTACTAGGATGGAACACATTATCAGTGGTCAGATAAAAAACACATTAGTTTCAGTCGTTGGTCTGAAGAAGACAAGGATTTGGTTGATGACTGTGTGTATTTGGACACGGATGGATTTTGGAAAACGTCTGATTGTTACGCAGAAAAACCAGGAGCAATTTGCTACTTACCAGGAAGTAGGGCTTCTTTCATTACTCTATGTCATGAGTCTACAGTTTTGCATTGGAAATGGTTTTGAAGATATTTTAGGCCTTTAAATTAGAAATGAAAATATATGTATAGCTAAAGAAAAACATAGAAAATAAACTACTGTATATTACATATGTATAGGTAGTCCTCGACTTAACAATCACAACAGAGCCCAAAATGTCTAAGCAAAACATTTGTTAAGTGAGTTTTACTCGATTTTAAAACCACACTTGTTAAGTGAATCACTGCAGGTGTCAAGTTAGTAACCTGGTTGTTAAGTGAATCTGGCTTCCCCATTGACTTTGCTTGTCAGAAGATCGCAAAAGGGGATCACGTGACCCCGGCAGATTGCGACCGTCATAAATATGAACCGGTTGCCAAGCTTCCAAATTTTGATCACGTAACCGTGGAGATGCTGCCATGGTGATAAGTGTGAAAAATGGTCATAAGTCACTTTTTTTCAGTGCCGTTGTAACTTTGAACGGTCACTAAATGAATGGTTGTTAAGTCGAGGACTACCTGTACTTAAAATTCCACAGCTACCCACCAGCGCTTTCATAAATCTTAACTGACTGCAAACCACTTGATTTTTGGCTTTGGAATATAGAATAAGTTTTAAGGGATTTATTTATCTTCTCTTTCTTCCCTTCTCTGAAATAAATCTCCACTTCTTTGCCAATTTTTTTTATCATCTGTTTCCTCATAAATCAGAAGTTGTAATGTCTTGAATGCTGTGAATGTGTGTCTGGGTGAATGAACGTTAGTTGTGGTGGCAAAGGTGCGTTGTTTTTCAATATTTTGAAACAGTGTATTCTCACCCAGCCAGGCCATCTCTGCTCAGGCCTCTCTGTTCCCAAAATAAAGGTGTTGAGACTAGCTCAGCTTGTGCTGTTGGGTTTAGGCTCCATATTGTAAATATATTCAGGCTCAGAGGAAGAATTTATTTTTGGGAGAGAAGGGGAACTAGTACAACTGATTATAGTTTTATCTGCTGTGTGTTCCAGCCAAGGCCAATCTGGTTCTAACCTTCTGATAAGGCCCTGAAGGCCTTAAAAAGGAGTCTACAGAACTCCTGTGAAGGAGGAAACCGATGTGATGGCTTGGGAAAGGCTGATACAGCTGTTGAAGGGGAAAACAACTCTTACCTTGCACCCAGCACCAAAGGACAGCTCTGGAGATAATAAGTTAGTCTTATTGGAGACCTAGGTCACTCACATTTGTGAGCTATTTCATATAATGACCAATGAATCAAACATATGCTTAACGCTTCCTGGTTCTGTACTGATTTTTAAAAAATTTATTTTGGCCTCTGGCCTCAATTGTGGATGTACGTAAACTCATTGCCTACCTGAGAAATAGCAAAATGCCTGTGGGGAGGAGAGGCTAATGGACAACTTGATTTCTTCCAGAGCTCCTAAAACTAAATTCTGAGTAGGGAGCCACTGTGCTGGCACCCTTTTTCACTCGTATCACTTAACTCTTTATAGATGCCTAAAAAGAACAGAACATAGCATTATCAATATGTACAAAAGTCTAACCTGGTCAATTATTAGATTCTAGTACTGGGATAGGCAACCTTGTCTCTTTTTTGATTCGTGGACTTCAACTCTCAGAATTCCTGAGGCAGAATGGCTCAGCTTGGAAACCTCTCCCTTTGCCCTCAGCATGGCTGGCTCAGGAATTCTGGGAGTTGAAGTCCACGCGTCATAAAAGAGCCAAGGTTGCCTACCCCTGTTCTAGTACATTTACATTAAAATACTAACCTTTCCCCTTATTAGCGGATGTTGGGGCTTAATGCTTTTTATACAAAGGGAATCAGTGTAGCAAAATCTGGCAAAGTTGTAACATTTTGCGCCTTCACTGTTGCTATTAGAGAATGTTTGGTCTGATTTATGCATAGGAAAAGTGTTGACAGATATGCTGCTTTATGAAAACAGGTTGTTTCTTACAATTCTTGCCTTGGTTAAATTGCTTGTTTTGCTTTCTGTGTCAACTTTTGGTATGTGAGTATACAGCAGAAAACAAATAAATAAAATCTAGCTAGCCTGAGAAATACTAAAATAGTGGCATTTGGCGGAGTGGGGATATGTCGGAGAAGTCAAGATGACAGTTGAGGCAGTCAACTGCTCACCCTTTTATACATGCACATATAAAGGGGCTGGGTTTTTATCACAATAGTGTCACCACTCTTGATTGTGGACTTCCTTCCACCAGAAATCCTTGCATAAGGAATGCAAAGCCATAGATACAAAAAAGAATGAGAATACATTTAATTATTTTATAAGATTAGCTTTTTTAAGTCCATCTTTATTTTTTTAGAAGTAACTCACAGTGGCAAATATACATAACACTCCTTTCTTCTCCTACTTTCGCCACAACAACAATCTTGTGGGGTGGAGTAGCCTGAGATTAGATAGAATGTGTGCGTTTGTGAGCAAGTGATTCTCATCCCTTTCAAATCATCATATTTAGTAATTCTTTGAATCTCAACTCAAAATGCCCTTGGGTTTTTGGTATTATTGCCCAAGGGCCATTCCATCTATTGGAGAAAGATAAATAATACTTGATTTTATAAGATGAATTTTAACATTCTGATCCTTCTTGTTTTGCATTCTCATTCTTGGTAGTCAATTTTTTTTCCCCATGACCACAAAATAATGTCATCAATGACCATGGTGCAGTCAATGCATCCAGTAATTCTCAGCTGATGAAAGTTGCAGTATAGTATTAAATACTGAATGTATTTCAGATATTAAGACTTGCCTTTAAAAAAGGTTTATTTTTCAGATGATACTGAAAACCAAGAAGCATATCAAGAATCAATTAAATGTCCACACAAGATTAAAAATACGCCATGGATAGCATATCGAAACAGTTGTTACACATTCGTAATACCAAAAAATACATGGAGAGGATTGAGAGCAGTTGAAGCTAACCATTTATGCAAGATAATGAGTAAGCTGTTCCTCTTTAAAGTCTGTTCTGATTTTTGGGTGTGGACTTTTGGACTTTTTAAAGAACATTTTTGGACCTGAGGCACCTTAATTTTGTCTGTTACTGTGTTTGTAACTTGCTACATGCAAAACTGTCAATTTTCAACTGGGCAGTACATGGAGAAAGCTACCCATTTTTTTTTTTTTTATGTAACTATTTAGAGCAGTGGTTCTCAACCTGTGGGTCGGGACCCCATTTGGGGTCGAACGACCATTTCACGGGGGTCGCCAAACCACGCTGTCCGCCATTTTTTCCCTTTTCCCTAGCTGTTCTACTCCCTCTTATTGGTGGCCACACCTACTTGGGGTCACCACAATATGGGGAACTGTATTATGGGGTCACGGCATTAGAAAGGTTGAGAACCACTGATTTAGAGAATGTACATTTGTATAATATTAAAATACCCTGTGACTCATTTGACATAATAAAACTAATTGTTGATCAACTTACATATCTTGTTAATACTAACCTCAATCAACACATTTTCTTGCTAGGTATGATTAAAAGAAGTGACTTCTTAGACGCTCACTTCTCCTCTCACTAGCGAAAGAAGCTTCCTAAAAAAAAGTGTCCAAGTTGCAATATTTAATGAAATGTAATATTTGTATAATAAAAATGAAGCCAAAATTGCTGAACTGTAAGAATAATCATTTAGTTCAACATCCTGTTTCTAAGACTGGCAGGACAATTCCTACAGCCAAATTATGCACAGATCAACAGCACCTCTGCTGTTCATTCATTACTTTCAATTGGCGGTTATATCCATCGGTAATGAATAAAGTAATAATAATAGTAATAATGGTAGTGATGATGATGATTATGATGGAAGGTACCTTGGAGGTCATCTAGTCCAACCCCCTGCTCAGGCAGGAAACCCTATACCATTTCAGACAAATGGCTGTCTAGTCTCTTCTTAAAAACTTCCAGTGTTGGAGCATTCACCGCTTCTGGAAGCAGGTTGTTCCACTGGTTAATTGTTCTAACTGTCAGGAAGTTTCTCCTTAGTTCTAGGTTGCTTCTCTCCTGGATTAGTTTCCATCCATTGCTTCTTGTCCTGCCTTTAGGTGCTTTGGAGAAGTTGACAACTATTTTCTGTGAATTTCCCATAATGGCTTTTTAAAGTTCTATAAATGATTGCTCCACCTTCTGGCATGGAATTCCACATATTAATTACCTTCAGAATTTGCTCCCATTTTTTTCCTACTGAATTTTATTAAATTGTGGAATTTGGGAACAGAATGTATTCTTTCTCTTGTTTTGAAAATACAATCCGTTTTAATAATTGCTTGAAGCTATATTATTTTTCTTAGGAAAGTCCCTAGTCAGATGTTGCTTGTAAAACACTTCAGGTGTTTACATCTTTTCCAGCTGTACATATCTATGTTTAGCTACATGTTACAAATATTTAAGATGTTGTAATCCTGGTTATTGTTTCTTAACTTTGTCTAACATGGAATTTGCTACTCCCATTATACAATAAAGTGACTTTAAGATCTCTTTCATGGACAGTGGTACTCAGATCTAATCCTTTGCTTAAATCTTCTAAAAGATATTGTTATAAAGTTCTCCAATTGCATTCCATGATTTATTTTTTAATATTGCTTCAACAGATCCAGATGCATCACTTTTGAATATCAGGGATGAAGATGAAAATGATTTTATTCTTGAGCAGTTTCAGTCTTTCAGTGGTCTGGCTCAGTGGATGTGGTTGGGTTTGCTTTATGACACTAAGGGTATGTTGGAAGTTATTTATTGGCTCCTTGCTTTCTGAATTTACAGAGGGACTACAATAATTTTATATTATTTGCAGAAAATTGATGTGCCAAAAGAGTTCAGTGTTTCTTTTATTATATTGTAATCAGAAAATGTTAATTTTGTTTTAGTTAGAATTGTCAACTGGGTGTGAATGGAACTCCAAAGCCAACTTATTTTTAAATATTTTATTCTTATTTAAGACTCTTTTAATTATTGCATACTAGAACAGTGGCCTAAAAGAGCGAAAGGTGGATAAATAGTAATTAACTGGCATTTCTAAAAATAATTAACGTTCCTGTGAGTATTATAAGTGCAATTTAAGAATAGTTCAAATGTAAAAATGTTCTGTTTCAAAATCTTTCAGTAAATATGCACTTAATACAGGTAGCCCTTGACTTACAGCATTCATTTAGTGACCATTCAAAGTTACAACGGCACTGGAAAAAGTGATTTACGACCGTTTTTCACACTTACGACCATTGCAGCATCCACTTGGTCACATTTTCTAAATTCGAATGCTTGGCAACCGATTCGTATTTATGACAGTTGCAGTGTCCTGGGGTCATGTGATCAGCTATTGTGACCTTCTGACAAGCAAAGTCAATGGGGAAGCCAATTCCCTTAACAACAATGTTACTAACTTAACAGCTGTAATGATTCATTTAATAACTCTGACACGAAAGGTCATAAAATGAAGCAAAACTCACTTAACAAATATTTTAACTTAGCAACATAAATTTTGGGCTCAATTGTGGTTGTAAGTTGGGTGGGCTCAATTGTGGTTGTAAGTTGGGGTGTACCTGTAAAAGGGCAGGGCTACTGATTTTTATTGACCTTTGCCCTTTCAAATTGTGTTAATATTGCCAAAGTGGAGGTTTTTCAGTCCTTTCAAATTTTCAGATCCAGTTGATGACACTTGATATTGCTTATTTCCCCTCCAAATCATACATTTTCCTCCACAGATAATCTCCTGAAGTGGTATGACGACACATACTTGTCATATAACAACTGGAGAATGGGACGACCTAACATCAAGAATAACTTCTTTCTTGCTGGCATTAACATGGATGGCTTCTGGGATATTTATGAACATTCGCAAAACAACCGGTTATACTTGTACTTCAGTTTAAATAGCATCCTGGTCTGCAAGATAGACATGGGTAAGAAATACGTCTTGGACTGAATTTCAAATTCCACTGACCTTTCTTTAAGCAGGAACGGGAACGCAACATCTAATTTATTCATAATTTATTCTTTAGAGACCAAAGTCAGCCAACCTCCGCTTCCTGAAAAACTGCCCTACAAAAATAACGTCTACTGGATTCTTCAGAAACAGCTCAATTGGTATGATGCGTGGAAAGAATGCAAACAGAAAGGAAGCGATTTAGCCAGCATTCATAGTATTTCCGAACAAGTTTTTCTGGAAGACATTGTAAGGCGTGATGGATTTTCATTGTGGATTGGTTTATCTAATCATGGTGTAAGTTGAGTCAGAGATTCTTAGCCTATTTTTCACATATGGTTGATTCCTAGACCTGTTTACCATATAGAAATAAGCATGGTATTTAACATTCTTCCACTTGTGTACTCCCATCTTTTATTCTTCATTCTTATCATAGAATCAAACCCCCAAATAATTTTGATTTTGCGATTTCTAGTCTCAAATGATATGCAATTATACCCAATCCTTTTCAATGTTACTACCTACACATCTTTCATAAACTTAGTTTTTGTCAAAACTAATGTTCCATGTTCATGCAACTCACGTTCCAATCTGCATGTCGAGGTTCCAATCAATAAGACCAAATAAATCAGAACTCCGAGGCAAGAAAGTTCCTCAAAGAACATGTTTATTGGATAAATAATACAGCATGTTCAAAAGTGAAAACAGATCTAAACTTTCCCTCCATGAATCAAAGTAATACAATGTAACAATTCTCACCCCTCTATTCATGCTACCCAATAGAACACCTTGGCGGGATTTCTGACTTAACGATCCTCCTCCTTCCCTCCGGCATGGGAATGACCTTGGTTCCCACAAGAGTTGCTCATATTTAGACTAACAGAAATACCATCTCCCCCCTCCCCTTCTTGTGGCAATCTACCACCTCCCCGCCCCGCCAGAGATCACCCAGGCAGCCCAGCGGTGCCATGGTAGCCACACCCTCCACCCATGCCCCACAGCATCACCTGTGCATGACAGGGTGCAAGGGCGGAGTCTTGTCCCCACTGCCCGGCTACTATGTCCTTGGCTGCACTGCTTCGCATAGGCTGTGCCTGGGGGCAACTCTCCTCCAGGGGAGGCTGCTGGTGAGGGGGCTGTGAGAGGAGGCGGGGCTGGGATGATGGTGCGTGTGCCCACAGGGCTCCAAGTGCCGCCTCTGGCACGCAAAAGATAGGTTCGCTACCACTGGTCTAAAGTATGTTTTCCATATGTTAAGAGATCAGTGGGGAGATTTTAGAAGTTTAATTGCCACACTCTATGGTGAACCATATCTGATGGAGAGGAGGGCAGTCATAGCTGGGGAAGGATGAGTTAGCTCTTTAGTCACTGCCAACACAGCCTTGAAAACACACACACACACACACACACACACACACACACACGTGAGATGGGAGTGCTTTACTCAGGAGGATGGAAATGAGCAGAAGAGAACTTGTTACTGCTTTTCAAAGAAAAATTAAAAATCATGGCATGGGCTTTGTCTATTTGGTCAGAAGAGAATAATATATAACTGCTTAGCTCTGCATCTGAAATATGAATCTGACTGACAGATGGAGACTATGCTAAGAAACTCTTCCATATAGGATTGCCTGGTTGGTAAGTTCTCCAGAGGAGACCTTGTTCCCCAATCCACATTTGGAAATGAGTATAATCACTATGGCTTGCACTATTTTAAAATATTTCTTTCTTTTTTTTTACTTACTTATTTTACAGTATTTGTATGCTCCTCATTTTGCAGGTCTTTTGGCAAGTCACAATAGTAATCCATTCTCAACTTCATAGCATTAAAATCAGTTAAAGGGTTATTAAACTTAATTTCTTAAAACCAGAATAATTAGCAATTGATAGAAAATAGGGAATAGACACCTACCTTCCATTAACATTGCATGGGCTCATTATGGACTTTTTCTGCCAATAAAAACATGGCATTCTGCTTGAACCGGCTCTTAGAATTTATTGACCTGCCATCCTAAACTTATTGTAATCTTTTATGATTAAAATGAATGCCTCTTGCTATTGTGGGTGTGTTTAGGACTACAACAGCTCTGCTGTAGAAGCTAAGGTTTGTATACCTCTGCTCATGCTACTATGCCATTTTGAAGAGATTAAAAAGTGAGAGGGGAAAAAAAAATCTGATCCAGGCCTTAATCAGTAAGATAATGAAACGTTAACTCTTTGCCCTCCTCCATAAGACATATCTCAGCTAAGCATCTCCTAGTTGGCGTTTACCTTGGAAGAAGAGCAATGAGATGGGGTTACTCTGGGTTGGGTCTTTGAATCTCCACCCTACTCATTAAAACAATTGCTAATTGCACTAGTGTTGCCAAGTAAACTAATTCCCTGAGGGCTCAGTTCTCAGAATACAGCCAAGCGCAGCTGAGTTCATGTCTTACGGTGAATATTAGAAAAGAATGTTAAGAAAGAGTCTGAATTTGTCATCAGTTCAGGTCATAACCATTTGCTCTCTAGCGCAGTGATTCTCAACCTTTCTAATGCCATGACCCCATAATACAGTTCCCCATGTTGTGGTGACCCCCAAGTGGGTGTGGCCACCAATAAGAGGGAGTAGGACAGCTAGGAAAAAGGGAAAAAATGGCGGACAGCATGGTTTGGTGACCCCCGTGAAATGGTCATTCGACCCCAAATGGGGTCCCGACCCACAGGTTGAGAACCACTGCTCTAGCGTTTGCTAAAATCAAGTGTACCATCAGAATTGATCAACAGAAGTTGCACCTTCCCCAGGGAAATGATTCCGATTTTGAGTGGTCCGATGGAAGCCGGTTTGACTACCAGCCTTGGGAATATCAGCATTCTCATACTTTTGGAAACTGTTTTGCTATGGACACTAAAGGAATTTGGAATCGCAGGAAATGCACCTCTCGAGGCGACGGTGCTATCTGCTACTCTTCTTCAAATAGTAAGTATATAGGTATTCCTATGTTATTTGGTTCTTTTCCACTTAAGAAACTACAAAACAAAAGAATGGGCATTTTCTCCTATCCCGTGCTGAATATATTTCCTTGGAGGCCAGCAGATCTTAACCAGATAGCAGGACAAGATAATAGTTTTCAGCTTGTAAAGAGGCCTCGAAGAGCATAATAAAAATAAGACAGCTCTTGTTTTCAGACTGCTAAAAAGGACACGGCACAGAATTTAAAAAGAGGAGGCAAACAAGAAAAGTTGGCTTTAATAGTTTTTATTGGAATTTGCCAGTTAAGATGGAAATATATTGCTCAAGTGGCTAATTGCTTCCTCTTCCTTTGTAAAAGTAGGTATTCCTGCTATTCTTCCTCAGAGGTGGCCTTGCAGTGCTACTGAGGTAGGGTTGCAAAGCCACCTCAGAGGCTTTCATGTAACACAGTCATTGCTGATTCATTGCACAGTCAGTCAGATGTTCAGACTGGATTTGGCATTTTTATCCACCTATCAAGTCCTTCCCGAGGATCTGGGATAGGCAGATGTGGATGTTTGACGGCGTTAAAGGTATCGTTGCAGGATGTAAGCTGTTCTGAGTAAAGCTGCCTTTTGCATTTGACTGATGGTGAATTTTTCAGTGATGATGGTGTTAAAGTGGTGCTCCAGTTATTTTGGGATTGCACTCAAGGTGCCTATTAACTATTGGTACTATTCAATTTGTTTGGAGGATTACTTAATAGTATGAACAGTTTAACGGCCCGTTTTGAGCCGTGGTGGTGCAGTGGTAGAATGCAGTATTGCAAGCTAATTCTGCTGATTGCCAGCAGTTTGATTCTCATTGGCTCAAGGTTGACTCTGCCTTCCATCTTTCCGAGGTCGGTAAAATGAGGATCCAGATGGTTAGGGGCAATATGCTGAGTCTGTAAACCACTTAGAGAGGGTGTAAAGCACTGTGAAGTGGTATATAAGTCTAAGTGCTATTGCTATTTTGGCAAAGCAGGCCACCACCACAATCTGAGCACAGTTTTACCTCATGCAATTCCATCATATTAGCTATGTTTTCCTAATCTAGAGTCAGTTTTATTAACCAACATTTTCTTCCTACATATGCCTAAGTATGAAATGCATGACTGTTTATTTGATTTCATGGAAATGTTTGTAGTGCTGTTGCTAAAATGCTTACCATTTCAAATCTTCCCAGGATTTTAACAAGTTGACCTTTTGTGGGCATGCAGAAAATTCAAGCCATAAGAGATTCAGGCTGGATTCAGTTGTAATCTCCGTTCCCTTTTCCTGCAGTGTCTTTTATGTAAATCCACTTCATGAGCTCAGGACAGAAATTTACTAAGTCAAAGTGGTTGCACAAGCCTTAACTGCCAACTGGATTGTTCCCTAAATTGCTGTTTTTAAGTCGCTTAGGAAAAAGTACTCTAAGCTATTTAAGAAAAGATGTTCTGGGTTATTGATTTGATTACACCCCCACACACACTTGGGAGGATAACAGTATATTTGTTTGGGTGAAAGGCTAAAGAGTTAAAAGCAGTATTTCTCAACCTTGACCATTTTAAGGCATGTGGACTTCAACTCCCAGAATTCCACAGCCAGCACTGCTGGCTGTGGAATTCTGGGAGTTGAAGTCCACATGCCTTAAAATGGTCAAGGTTGAGAAACACTGAGTTAAAGCCAATTCTGGGCAGTACCATCTGCTTTGTAAAAAAGGGGGAGGAAAGTCACGACTAATGCAGGCATTTTCATTCCTTGCTATAGCTACTGCTTTCTAAGAATTAAAACATTTTTTTCCGTGAAGGTGTGCTATTACTTACTAGCAAACATATTTAGAACCTTGCTTTATTTATATTTTGAATTGTTATTACAATACTAAAATGTCAGTTGAATATTTGAATAAAGTTGATCATGCTATTTGTGTTTTCACAGAAGTGCAATTAAAGCAAAGCGAAACATCATCAAAGTGTCCAGACCCTCCTAATGGAGCATCACCATGGCTATACTACAAAGATTATTGCTACGCGTTTGATATGGCATTTTATAATTATTCCACATATACTGCAGACACAGCTAGGAAAGTTTGTAAGAAACTTGGTATGCCCAAATTATGCATTTCTTTTCTTGGCTAAAGAGTTATTTTTCGGTATTATTTTAGATAATGTCTTAAATAATTTCTTTTGGACATTTGAATAAATTAAGATTTTCCTCATTTAAGATAAATGTTTTCTCTTTAGATCCTTCTGCAAATCTTCTGACTATCAAGGATGTAGAGGAAAATAAGTTTGTGAGCACACACTTGAAAGAATATTATTTTATTACTGGAAAAGCATGGCTTGGAATGCAATTTACTGGTAAGGAAAAGTTGGATGTAATATTAAACAACATTTGGAAATGACAAAAACTATATAGTACTTGAAGAAGGTTTAGGTAAAAATGTCTAGGCTACATTCGTGTTCATGGAAAACAAAGATACTGGCTTACAATAAAGCTGAATTTTTTTCAGTGTGTATATGGAATGGGCTATGCATAGCAAAAAAAAATTAATAGAGAAGTAATACTTTTTATTTCTTGGTAATACTTCCAGTAATTTAAATATAAACACATGCAGTAAGAAATGCAGTTAAAAGAAATGAATATTTGGCCAGTTAGTTCAGTATTTTAATTTTAACCTTATCTTTTCACACACTGATCATCTTTGCCCCCATTTTTTTTCTGCATTGTTCTCTTCCCTACCTTCCATAGTTCCAAATTCAGTTCTTTCTTGTGCCTTCCTGCTCTCCTGCTTAGACCTCTGCCTCAGGGTACCTTTTTTGCCCCAGTACTGCGGCCTGCCAGACAACAGGATAACAAGCTGGATGCCTGCCCTAGTCCGATGATATTGAAACTCAGAATTTTTAGAAGCAAAGAGTTCTTTTTACCTATATCTAAAGAAGGCAACTGTAGTATAGTCACAGCTTGGCATGGGTTGAAACTAGGAGTCTGATAAACAAACAACATATACAGGGGAAAAGGCATAAGACATGATGGAATGGAATTCAGGTGGACTTGGAATTCAGAATCCAAGGCATAGCCCAACAAGATAAATATGGTAGAGCCGAGGCTTGAAATGTTGTCCTCAGCTTTTGTCTCAGGAAGGGGAGCCAATAAAGAAGCCAGGCTGAGCTATTGCCCACATACTCAGCTGGGGCACCAGCCTTATTAGAGTCTGCTCTCCTTCTGGCCTGCTTCTTTGGCCAGGTTTTCTGACCTGCCGAACTCACTGCAGGGAATCTTGACAATTTGCTAAATATGCTTCAGCCAGTAGGATGCTTCATAGTAGGATGGGCAATATGTGGTCCTCCGTGAACTCCAAACTCATGCTCATCATAACAGACATGGATGGTGGTGAGCGGATGAAGAGAACTCCAGTTCTAACAGCAGTTGGAGGATCAGCCATTGCACACCTGTTGTACATGATAAAACCAACTCAACCAGTGACTCCTCAAAGATCTTCCTGCCTCTCTGCTAACGTAGACAGCTGTGGTTTCAGAGCTGCATGGAGCTTTTCTATTCTCTTTCTGTGATCCTCTGACTGTTGAAGAAGGACAGCAAAAGTTCCCTCCAACTTACCACAGAAAATGGATGAAAGCTGTAATTAAGTGTTAAAATAAGGACATGATTTTTTTTTAAAAAAAGAGGAAATCTCTCAGCTGTATCCATTGCAGCATTCAATCCCCACCAGAGAGAGGTTCTAGAGCAGACATGTCAAACTCGCAACGTCACATGATGTGCATTGTATGGGGACTTTTGCCATTGCCAGCAATGGGGTGGGTGCAGCTTCCGCATGATGCGTCCGGCCTGCGGGCCAGCAGTTTGACACCCCTGTTCTAGAGCAATGATGGCAAACCTTCTAGGATCAGCATGTCAAAAATTTGAAAATGCCTAACTTTACTCTGCTGGGGTGTCACAAACACCAAACAATTGTCTGTCCCCTCCCCCACTTCCAATCAGGCCACCTTGAACAGCAAGCAGTATGGCCTGAAATAGAGGCCCTCAAGGCACAATTGCTCCCATGGCCTAGTTCTTCCTAGGATCTGCCACATACCTTTTTCAGGGGGCGTTCTCTTTCTGTCTCTGCGGCCTTTCTGAGATTGCTCCAGGTCGCACAAAGCCTTCAAAGTGACTTTGAAAGATGTTCTTCCACAGCGAAACAGCACAAAAGGATGTCCTGTTCTTGTGTGACTTCTGGGGGGTACATAAGAGCATATTCCTTTCTCACATGGCCTCCAAAAATTGTGTTGAGAACAGGCCTTGCTTTCAAGAATAGTTGTTGTCAGGTGTTCGTGAAGGCTGGTGTGTCATCCCAAATATCATAGCATGTCACCTTTGACAAGCATTTCCTAGGTTCACCATCACTGCTCTAGAGTTACCAAGACGATCAGTATGGGTACAATGTGAATGATGAATAGGTTTCTGTCAGCCGTCCAGAGTAGGCCCAGGTCAGGAAGCAGACTCCATAAGTAATCCTGGAACGCTATTGATTTAGGCTGTAGTAACAAAATCCTGAAAGCCTAACAGCATTTTCTTTCTTTCCCCCTCTTCCTCTTGAAAGATGGAGCTAGTTTGAGGATTTTTTTTAATGTTTCTTCCTGTTTTGAACTTAAGTAGAGTTTCTTTAAGGTAATCTCTTTAGTTTTTGTTTGTTTGTTTGTTTGTTTCATAATAGCCCTATGAAATGTTGTGGAGGACAACTTTCAAATGAACTACCAAAGTAATTACACTCAAGCAGACAGACTAATGTTAAGAAACTACACAACAGAGCTGAGCACACTTGAAATATTTTTTGGAAGAAGTGCATGGGGCCTTACGAAAGAACAAGCACAGCGTCTCCCTCCAGTTCATAAAAATGCACACTCTTCCCCCCACACACACACACACGTTTACAAACAAGGGTGGAAAAGGAACCATGTTAAATAATAATTTAATCTAATTATTGCAATTAAATAAGGCAGTAAAGGCAGGCTGCTTTAATTATTCAGTTCATTAAAGCAGTTGTATCTAGTTTCAGACTTGTGGGGAAGCCTGAAAAATATAGACATGCTCTAACAAATGGCGGAGAAGCACTGTACTTGCACGAGGTCAAAAAGTTTGAAACTTTTTAAGAGCATACACTCACTTTAATTACATAAAGAGTATCTGGCCTCTACTGGGAAGTGACAGCCACTTTTATTCTGTAGCTGTGCACCCCAAAAATTGTTGGGGGCCTGTGCTAATGGCTAGCGCTGGCAAGCCTGCTTTGCCATAATGATAGTGTAGGTTTTCCTCAGTCCTTGCATTGCAGCCTCGTCAGAGGTTGCAGAAAGAGGTCTGTAAGGCATGTTTTTGTTACATCTGTTATTTGGCCTCAGCTGCTGATCAGGAAATCTTTCCCATAAGATTTCCTGCCACCAATTACATCGGCAACTCAAGGAGTACGCATTTGGCCCTATGCAAGTTGATGTTTGGATACTTCTTGGAATAACCAGTGTATGTTTTTACAAGATTGGTATGATTCTTTCCTGTTTGGCCGACCTAGTTTTTAACTTAATACTTCGGATTGTGAGCATGGCAAATCACTAATTGGTTAGTTACTAAGACCGTTTTTATAAACTGAACCCAGAATACAGCTTTGGCTATTTAATACGCATCAAACTCTTGATAACCAAGTATAGAATAAATTGTATGTATATTGCATAATAAGTGAAAGACATTTGTGTTCATAAATTAAAGAAGAAATGTTTTGGGCTTTTATTTACAGCCAAACCCTTGAGCTGGCTTGATGGCTCTGAGATTAAATATACAAACTGGGCCAATGAAACTGAAAAGGCTAATGGTCAGTGCAGTGTTATCTTTTCAACCAATGGGACATGGTCCAAAGCAGACTGCAACAATGAAACAAGCAGAGTTGTTTGCAAAACTCCTGAAGGTATGTAATGATGATTTAGTTTGGTCACATGAAGATAAGCTATCTGGTCCTTTTCAGATATTTTAGACTACGGCTTGCAAATAGGATGGAATAATAATAATAATAATAATAATCATCATCATCATCATCATCATCATCATCTTTAGCTGTGACCAAAGATTATGGGAATTGCTTATTCCACAATAGAGTAATCTTTTTATGATACAGTATAATATAGTAAAAGGTTTGCTTGTTTCCTTTGACATTTATGATTGAGAGAAAGTAAAATCTTCATGTCTAGCTAGCCTCAGTATGTTAGTGGCTAAGAAGGCAGCCAGCTGTTGTGAGGAAGCCATGTATGTCAGGACACTGACTTTTCTTCAGCCATGCATTTAAATGTTAGAATAATCTTAATATTTAATTTGATTTAAAATGTAGCTTAATATTTTAATATTTATTTTGTCTATTCAATATTGTTACGTTGTGACTGACTTGGATCACCCTCTGGATAGAAAGATAGGATATAAATAAAGAGAATAATAATAACGACCATAGCCACATATGGCTTGTAGTTTCACTACTCTAGTTCAATAACTTTTCTTCTTGCTTTTTCTTGTAGTCTCTCGTCATTCAAGAGGGGCAATAGCAGTTTGTGTTATATTTATTATAGCCCTCCTTGTTGGATTAGCATACTTCCTATATAGAAAGATGCGACTACACTCTTCGGGATTGGCCTCTGTTCGCTATGAGCGGGGAATGCATGATGATGAAACTGACACCATGTTTTCTAGAAGTGATGACTGAAGACCAGTTTCTGCTTGGCCTACTGAAACCAATTTCCAAATCAGCTCCTGAAGCATCTTCCAAAGATGCTATTGACTTTCATTCTTGGGGTTTATTGACACCTTCCCTTCTTTCAAGTTTAGGGGAAAAAGGGATCTTTAACAATAATCAAACTTTGCACTTTTCGTGACCTGAGATTTGCACATGGCTTGAAGTGTGGTGCATGGAACTATCCTGACATTAGGATATCCTGTACCATTTACCCAAATGAAGTAAGAGAGCAGATGGCCAGAGAATTACTTGAAATATAATTTATTGAAAATAAAGTATATGCTAGTTTATGGTATTAAAATATTATATTTTCAAAGTTAAAGATTATGTTGAGTCAGGCTCAACTTTTGATTGCTATGTGTATTATTTACGTGGCAACAGAATGAAAAAACCTGGGATTTCTCATCCAAGCATCAGCAGGTCCAAAGTTGCTTACCATTTCTGAGATCAACCAATGTCAGTGAGATATTGCCATTCTGATCTGATCCTTTTTAGTATCTTTCAGATCTCTTGAGGCCATTCTGATTTTCAGTAAAAACTCTCAAAGATTCTTTCCATCTTTAAAACAAATTTATTAAGAATTACAGTATATTAAACAGATAAAACTACAGAGAAACCTAATAAAAATATATAAAAATAAAGAAAAAGCAAGACCAAGCAGTATAGAAAAATAATCCTCTCCCAAAAAAAAGATAGTAAACAAGGAAGCTTCTCTCTTCATCCCCAATAACCTTATTCAGATTGACAATTTATTGCTGTCTGTTAAATTAACAGCCAGATGCATCTTCATTCCATACCTCATCCCATTTCCATAAACTCATTTCTAAATCTTCAGCTTTCCTTATTAATCAACAAAAGTCGATTAAAAATTAACAAAAAATACCTAAGGACATGAGTATATAATCCCTTTTTCTAATTAGCCTAAATCCTCCTCAACCCTCTCTTAACAATTAAACATTACAAAAATAAGAATAATAAAACTGAAAGCTGTTAAACATTATCAGAAATAATAAAGCCTTATTTAGATTTCCAAAAATGGTAATGTAAATATTACAAATTAATCCATTATACCATTAATTTCCAAAAGAAAAACTATCCAGTTTGAATAACCGTTATTATCACCAAAAATAGCAACTTGTTATTTAATCATAGTCAAATAAACCACTTTTGTATTTTTTTTCCTTTTTCCTCCCAGTCATCTTGGAATCCCATAAATAAATTCTAACTCCTGTTTTCCTGTAGTCTTTTTACCTCTACTTTTGAGGTTCTTATCATAGTCCATTTGAACTTTCCATGAAGTGATTCGAATAAATCTTCTGTATTTCAATTTAAAAAGACAGTCCACACCATTTTGAACATATTTTTGTATGTGGTTGTTTTTTTAAAAAAATAATAATTGTCCAAATCCACTTGTAAATCTGGTATTTCCATCTCTCTCTCTCTCTCTCTTTTTTTTTTTTTTAGTTGTAATTTTTAGGTCCACCTTAAACTTCTTTTCAGTTGTTTTCAGAAGAGTTCATCTTCAATAACATTTTAGAGTTAAACTGTTAAGGAATTAAAGCAGCTCAAACATTTCAGAGCCTATAGATCAAAAGCTCCTTGTAAAGTAGCCATCATATACTTGTTTTGCTTTAAAACATAAATCAGATTTTTCCCACATGAGGTCTTTTTAGTTAGTTTTGAAATCTTTCTTTAAATCAGCTTAAAGCCATCGCCATTAAAACTGTTTCAAAACAACTCTAAAGTCACTCCTTCACTTTATATTGCGAAAAGTTACAAAAAAAAATAGATTTACAAAACTGAAAAAAACATAGTTTCCATTCTTTTAAACAGATTGAAAGGACATTTACCCAGCAACTTGTAGTCTTCGTAGTTCTGAAGGATTTTCAGTCTTAAAAGAGGCAGTAAATAGTCCAAAGTGATTAAAAACATGAGGTTTGGTCAAGCCTCAAGTCCTTAAAAGGTTTCATTTGGGGCTCAGAGGAGGGTACAAAACAGGAATTCCCAACTGATTGCAAGCAGCTGTGAAAACAACAGTTTCTACAGAATTCAGCTGACTGAAATTCATATGGTCCATCTCCAGATCTCTCTCTCTTCCAGAGAGAATTTTGACAGTCTAGATCTCACATCTAAGTGCCTTTTCGACTGAAATGCCCCTGCAATCCATGCAGAGTAGAGAAGATGCTGCAGGTATTGGCTTGCCTTGCTGCATCGGAAATTCCAAGGTTCTTCATCTTGATCAAAGTTACAATTTAGATTTGGATTCTTTTACTGTATTAACTTTTAAAGCTTGACTCTTACATTTTCTGTAGCTATAACAAAAGAACAGCAACAAGTTATTGTCAAATTGTATTTTTCTTCGACTTTCTCCTGAATTTGCCGTATACACAGGAACAGGTTAACCTCAGTTTAAGGGCTAAATGAAAGTTTCAGAACCCACTGTCAATTCACTGTTCAGGATTCATGAATGGGAGTGTGTTGCACAATGTAAAAGTTTTAACATTGTGTTTATTATTATTATTTATGTTAGCCTTAATATTTTTCAAAAGAGGTACTACTAAGTATTTTCTTTATTTGTTTTTGAAATACATTGACTGTAATCTAAAGTCTTATTTATGGTCAATGCTTTACTTGTACTTAAACTGGAGCATCCATGTTTTGTTCTTGCCTGATTCCATAGCACTATATTGGTGATTTCTCCTATCCATTCATACCATCAGTTTCCTGTTTCTGATTCTTTGCTGTGTGTAGCTTTCTTTGATGGTACTTGTAATATGGAACAATTCAACACAGAGTAAACATATTTAGTCAGCCCTTAGCAAACTTCATAAAAATTATGTCATTAAAAACCTTCTGATTTCAGTAGAGTTTCCAAAGATGTAGTTCAGCTGATTTTTAGTAAGAAGCCAAAGCCTTTAAGATGCCAAAACAAATTCAATTTTATGATTTGATTTGTAGCATTTCTTAAAATGTTTCCTTTAATAAAACTCATCAGACCGATAATTAACATCCACTTCTGAAAACTCAGAGGAACGCTATCAGAGATTATAGGGGGGGAAATATGTTTAGTGCTAAGTTGGCTCTTTTATTGCTAAATTAGAGCTTTTAAAAGATATTGAATATGCACCTCTGGAATTAGTGACATATATAGCTCTTTTTTTAAAAAAAAATCAGGTGTGTGTTTCCTATTTCATATACAAGAAGAAATGCACTGCACAGCATTTATTAAACAAATGCTATATATGCAGATAGGTGCCCTTCCCCTTTATGAAAATAAAGATGCTTTGCTTGCCTGGAATTCTATATTCTATGGTTCCAATTAATGGATGTGGTGGTTCTTGCCTTACCTTGCAGCAAGACATAAGCCCAAGCCTATAAGTTACTTCTTTTCAAGACGTTTTGTGTGGTCTTTATAAGCATGTGCATAAATACATCCTTTTCTCTAGGTGAACATTTGTTTCTAATTTTTTTATGTTTATGGTTTTGATATGCTTTATGTTATTATTACTGACACTGTTTTAATTCTTGATTGGGAGCAGCCCAGACTTTGTTATAAGATGGGTGGCTATATAAATGTTTTAAATAAACAAGTAAATAAGACATCTGGACAGAAAGCCAATTTTTCTACAGTTAATTGCACTGCTTTCTTTATGTTCGTTTCTGCACTTGACTTTTAACGATTGTAGGATATTTTACTATGACCTTTTCCAGGACATCACCACAGTGAGTATGAGGATCTAATAAAGACAAGAGGTAGTTTGCACTAAAGAAGTGATGTCATTTTTTCCACATCATTTGTAAAACAAAATGCCTGGATGCTTATATATGCTTTCTGTTAGTAATCAAAGGGACAAAGCCCTAACCTAAAACTAGAAATGGGAGAAATTCATTGAGGGGTGGTATGCCAGTGACCCTGTTCTTGTAGCAGTGTCTGATAGATAACGCATTATCCTGATTAGCTCAGAATGACCAGTCTATCAAATATTGAGGACATGGGGTTTGATGTAACTTTGCAACAAGAGCATTTTAGAGGGAACTACATGGAAGAAAATCCCAAACTTTTTTTCAAAAGTGCTGAAATGCCTTTGATGTAGTTCTTAGATTAACAGCCTAGTTCAGCCTGCTAAACAAGTGATAAATGGATACAGTAAGATGGGAAAAGATACCCTTTGGCTGTGTAAGGAAGCCTTTATAAAATGCCTTTATCAAAGTTTTTAGCTGATAAGTACTTTTGTATACTGTTTAATCAACTTGCCAAGGAGGTAGTTGTTAATGTCATCTCGGTCAGACCAAGTCAGCCACTAAATAGCAGGACCGAAAAAGAGTTCCCAGAACACACCCCTGTGGATCACAGAAAAGCAGGCCACTTAACCATATGTTAAAATCATACTTTCACAAGACTTGATTACCATGGTCACAAGTTGTTAGTCCGAGATAAAGAGTTTAAAAGCAAGTAGCATTTTGTGTATGTATGTGATATTCTGTTTAATAAGTTTGTACAACGCTACTGACACCAGGTTATTTTGCACTCACAGGTTATTTTAATGTGAATTTATACATGGAATAGGGCTATTCAGTCATACAGCCTAGGAATAAACATGAACAAAATATTTCACTGTTTCTATGAAGGATTTACAATCTAAAACTTATTTTGTAAATGGTTTTAATTCTGCTTGATTTTTTGTCCTATACCTGGACAAGTGAAAAAAATGTGTGAACTAATACAGATGCCTTAATGTATCTAATTAGCTCTCTTGGAGGGAGTTTGCAAAGAAGCTTACCTGTGGTGGTGATAAGAGAAACAGAAGATGTATAAAAAGCTTCAATAATTGCTAGTTTTAAAGTATAAGAAAGTTACATTGATTCAGTTCTTCCCTCCTCATTAAAATACTTTGTATGTTTCATTATTTTTTTAAAAAATGTCAGTGTTAATAAAACTGTTAAAAAAAAGAGTCATTGATGAGTTTTTATTTATAGAGGGAAGAGGACATTAAAGCTAGGGTTACCATCCGAACTGCAAAAATCTAAGTCCTCCTTAGGTGGCAGCAAAGTATGAGTTTCTCCTTTTTGTTGACTGTCATCTAGAGGTGATAAGGATTTGTGCAATCCCAATTTGGTAGCTGTCATTAAACAGATCACAAAGACAAAATGTTTACAATTTTTATTCAGAAGGTAGAACACTTGCCTACCCAAATGCTGCCTTTCCCCCTATATAAATGTTTATATTTTCAGATCAAAAGATCTAGGATATTTGATAGACATAGCTTCCTTTTTCTTTTGATATTCTAACTGAAGCAAGCATGAATGATGCTTTGAGACTATCAAGAGAAAGACAAAAAAGCAACTGATCAGGCATGAGTGAAATCAAATATAAGGGATTAAAACACCAGTAGTTCTCCCTTGTTGTGTTCACCAATAGCTGTCCAGTAACCATGTTTAGAGTGACCTTATACACTCAAATCACGTTGGGCTCTTGTGAGTATATTCAGGCTCTCTGCAGATAAAGTAACTCAGATCCACTAGCCTTACACTGTAATTGGCCAGGCAAAGCTAGGGTGAGATACCCAGAGCATAAACTGGTTATGTGATCTGGGCCTCTCCTGGGTCATGACTGCATTTATAAGGAGATGAGCCATAGTTGGGTCCATGCTGTAAGGTCAGCCATTTTGATGAAGGAAGTTTTGCGTTCTGCCTTGAAAAAGTTTGTGATGTGCCCCTTTCTCAAGATGCTGTTCTTGCACCCAACAGTGTTTGATAACTATTGACAAATAGTTGGGGATTCTTCTGTTAAAATATGCATGGGCCAGTAAAGCAAATATTCAGATATTTTAAATCCATTAAAGTGTGAGGAAGAAAGTTGGGAAAAGGGCTTGCTTTTCAACAATACATAAATGACACCATCAGTTCAGTAAATATCAGGCCATTTTAGAAAATAAATCCATTTAATTGTGTTTTAGAATTCTGTACATTAGGCAACTAGAAACTGTAGCTACTAAACTTAATTCAGTTTGAGCAGATTTTAAAATTACACTTCCCAGAGTTGATAGCATTAGCTGTCTCTTCCAATCCCATTGTACATTCATGCAGTATCTCACTGAAAGCAGCTTGGGGGGAAAAGTGTATTGCTTTCAGTCTAAAGGCAAAAGCCCTCCAGCTAATGCACATTAAAAATTCATTAGCAAGGCCACTTCACTAATGGCAGAGCAAAAAGAGAATTCCTAAGGAATGGGGGAACATGTGGATGAAGAGAAGCAAGTAATTAGGACCTGGATCCATGAAGCAAAGACATCTGTACCTAATTCATTATTCTCCCTTCACAAGAACATTCAGAGTCGACTCACCTAAGCAGAAGACCTGCAGTTGATCGATGGGATGTCCCCAAACTTGTGTGAGCCTGGCTGTGGCGCAAAGCTATAGCTACATAGTTTTCCGCATACTATCCCAAATTGAACTAAGATGGCATCGCTTTAGAATACCTACTGTGAGACTCCCAGAGAAATTGCCAAACCATAGTGACATTGAGTAGTACCATGTCAAAAGGATGATACTTTTTGTGCACATGACTTTGCTAAGAAGTACCATGTACCCAGCATCCATAGAAGTCCATGAGTAGCATGCATGTGTCAAACTGCCCCAGAAAAACAGGAAATCAAGGCAACCAGATGCTATGCAGATGTTTTGGACTGTAGCTCCCAAACCTCCAGCCTGCATGACCAAAGGTCAGGGATTCTGAAAATGGCCATCCAAAGTGTTTGCAGGACACTTAAGTAGCCCCTTTTATTTACTTACTAGATTTACAGCCTGCCTTTGCTCACAATAATATGAAGTGGGTCTGGATGAGAATGACTGTCCGTGAGCTTCCATGGCTGGAGATGGACTGGATTCTAGATTTATAATCTGATTTGTAGTATTAATGCTTGCATCATTTAAATTACTGCCAATCCCAGCATCTTTTGATCTCCCATTTATGATTGAGCACTCATCTAGGCAATTTTAGCTAAGTTGCCTTTGATTTGGGCAACTTTTCTTCTGATGGCTGGATTCCCTAAACTTCTGTGAGCCTGGCAGTGTGACAAAGCTATAAGCACACAGCTTTCTGCATACCACCTTATCCTAGGTTGAATTAAGGTAGCAAGACTACAGACCATCTAGTCATCTCTTGGAAGGCGCCAATGTAGTGTGCACTACAGAGCATCAAAAAAAAGCTCTATCTGATGCTTTTACACAACAGTTCGGAAATTTGCTAATTCTATTATACAGTAAATGGTCATCCATTTAAGTATGAGTAGGAGCAGACATGAAACACGGTATGATGCTGCCACAGTAAGCATTGTACTCTATACTTTTCTTTTTCTGTCTACTTACATGTAAACAAAATATGTTCACTGCCATAACATCCAAAATCAAGGGATCACAATATGTAAGTGGCAGAATGATGTCTTCATCAAATCCCCTACAACTTCAGGAAAAACTAGTGATTTCAAGCGTGAGGAAAAAAATGGGCACACACATTCTCTACACGTTCTAGTAGAGAGAAGTTCCCTGAGATGGGCTTCAGCACAAATCCAAAAGCTGGGAAGACTAAACCTCTGGTCCTGATGACTGACTCAGATTGGATCCTGCAACATTTTTTTCTATGTAATAGTCATGTTTGTGCCTAATTAGGAGACCAATGGAGGAATCATTAGCAGATTAAAATGTTCTGTTTCCTCTCCTGCCATGTTCTCACTTGAAAATGCCAGCATGCATTATAAACAGAAAATAAGGATCTCCCCTAACATTCCCTGCAATTATATTCTAGACTGCACAGAAATGTAGACTTCCCTGGACGTGATATCCATGGCAGATGATGCTGGGGTCATCATACATTTACAAATCCTTTTGCTAATCTTAGAGAAAATTTACATTTATTGTGTACTTCTTTGTAAATGTGGTCCAGATGAGGAAGAATTTCATTTTTAATATGATTAGACCTGGATCAGTTTCAGTATGAAATATTAAAGCACTTTCCAATGCTGTTGATTTCAGCACTGCTCATGTAAAAAATGGCAATAAAAAGTAGCTAAATTATTTGTGAACGAACTATATTCAGTTATATTCAGGAAAATGTCTCCTGCCCTCTGCTGGTCAAACTGTAGATGCCTGTTTAATTGAAGAAGCAGTAAAACCTCTCCAAATCAAATAAGATCAACCTAAGAGAAAAATACTTAATAATTTATACTTTCAAATTTAAAAAAAATGTCAACAGTGAGAGATGATGATAAATGATGATGATGAGAGAGGATAGGGAGAGAGGATAGATGTGAAAGAGGAGTACTTGGTGCTCTCTGAGCTTGGTTGCTTGTCTGCAGATGTTTTATTACCCAACCAGGTAGTGCTTTTAGTGACATTAGAACTCATGATTCCTGATTTTTAGTCCAGTGCCTTAATTACTACACTAAACTAGTTCTTGAATTCTATTTAGCACGGCACTAAAAGATGTTAATTATATCCAGTCTGCTTTCTACGATTCTGTTTTTGAACAGCAGAATTGTACCACGCATCAGAAACAACTGGAGACAGGCAATCCTTTGAATAACAGACTGGTGTCATGAAGGGCTTAACGGGATGACCAACATCTTAAATTGAACCCAGAAGCTAATTAGCAACTTCTGCAGTTCTTAAAGTTGCAGTCCTATCACAGTGCATTTAGGTTCATGTCCTTTCAGGTCAGTCCAACTAATCATCTTAGTTTTAGAGCATCCTTTCAAAAAGGAGATTTAAGAACTTACAGTGAGGTCCTATATCAGAATGTCAAACACAAGGCCCGGGGGCCGAATGCGGACTGTGAAGTGGTTTCATGTGGCCCGCGAAGCCATCCTGGAAACAGTGAGGGAACGGCCCCCAATGCCTTGGCCCTGGCCCAGGCCAGCCGGGAGCCAATGTACAATTTTGTGGTGATCATCTATGCTGAAACGCATCAGTCTTAGCTCCACAAGGCCGTCTAGAAACAGCGAGGAACCAGCCCCTGCCATGTTGGCCCCGGCCCCTGGGTGCATGCTGGGGAGGTGTCACCCTTTGTGAGGAATGAAGAAATGGACCATGCCTTGGCTCTTGCTCCGGTCCCACCTCCTTCTGCCAGAGACCCTCAGATCTGTCCCACTCCTGCCCAGGCCCCCACAGGCACCCTTGATGCAAACGACGTAGAGCTGGCCAAGCCCACCCAGTAGGCCACACCCACTCCATCCACACCCACCCAGTAGGCTGCACCCACCCTGGCCGCACCCTCCCCCCCCCCGAGGGCAACCACAATGCTGATGCGGCCCTCAATGAAATTGAGTTTGACACCCCTGTCCTATATACTCCAAAGAAATTTTTTGTCCTTGAATTCAAAGTGTTCCAGACCTAATGGGCATTAGGAGTAAAGTTTGACTTCAAGGAATTATTTGAAATAGTAAAGTGATCTGACAAGAGAACACCATCAACCCAGTTTAGACTTTTAAAAACAACAATAAAAAGAATGCTTTCCCCTTAAAGCCAGATTGATCTAGTGATTAAAGCACTAAGCTAGAAAACTGGAGATTGTTCATTGAAGTCTCACCTTAACCATGAAAGCCAGCCCACACTCTCTTGGCCTAAACCACTTCACAGGATTGTTGTTATTATGGGGAAAATTCAGGGAAGGAGTATTAGGTAAAAAATAATATTTTTATTACGGTCACAGACCAGCATTACAAATATGAAGCATCAAAAAATAAATAAAAAGACAAGATAATAAATGACATTTAGTGATGGATTGTCAGTGGGCAATCAAAGTCTGCCTAATTTGCTGAGGGTATATCCAAATTTAGCAACATTTAAAAAAAAAAAAACTACATCAGACTCATCCAATAACAGCAATTGTACATGAGATTGGTTTTCCAGGGTGTTTCATCAGGTGAGGTGTTATGAGATGGACCCCTGAGTCCTTATAGAAGGTACAGTATAGTAGGGCATGAGCTATAGTTTCGATAGTCCCTTGTCCACAGGGACAGTCTCGGCTCGTATGGAATTTTTTTTATATCGGCCCTCCAAGTGCATTACCGAGGGCTACAGTCAGTGTCCTTCAAAGTTTGGGGGAGTATTGGGTATATTAGAATTAGGTATATATTAGGTATGACCACCTTGTGTTATTTATAAAAACAATGAAGGTGGGATTAAAAACAAAATCTTTTAAAAAGGTCGATTAACTGTTTTAATTCCACCCGAAGGATTTCTGTTTCTTCAGATGAAACGCCTGTGCCGTTGAAAGTGCAGAACGACGCTCAAAAATTCAAAGAGAATTTGGGAAACTCCTGGACGCCTGCCTCACTGCTGCTTCGGCCAAAGAGAAAGCGCTATAGGCGCATTTCCTCCCGAACCTCGCAAGCGCGTGACAAGAGGCAGCAGCCTGAGGGAGAGCTCTGCTTTCTCTCCTTGGCCAGCCTTCCTCGCCCTGGCCAGGGCTCAAAGGGCACTTACTCCGGCGGTGGGCGGTCCTTGCGCGCCCCAATTCTGAACTACGCGAGTGGGCCGGGCGGAGCTCTCTGCCTGGCCATGGGTGCCCCCTCGCCCGCTTCTTACTCTGCCTGTTTTCTGAGCGGCTTCCTCCTGGCGGCCGCGTTATCTTCCTTAGGAACTGACGGTAAGAGAAGGTGGGGCAGCGCCAAAGAGCTAGTTTGTGAATCCCCCGAGGCTTTTTATAGCTGCCGCCTTTTGGAAACACGCGCCCTGTCCTCTGGCAGGCGGTGCGCTGCCTTTGCCACCCAGATTAAACTGCGCGCACGAAGTAGAAACTCTGCAGGAGTGGGAGTTTCAACGCGTTTGAAGCTTCGGGCGCTCCCTTTTCCCTTAATCTTTCTCGCTCTCTCGCTCTTTCTCTCAGGCGGGGCTAGGGAAGGTGGGGGCGGTCCTCTGTACCGTGCGGGGCTCTTGTTTTTGCTTACACCTCCTATTATAGGGCAGTCTGATAAAAGTCCGCTGCTCAAAGGTTTCCCCCTCCTTTGGCGCAGGGTCAAATGTCTGTTCTCCAAATGGGTGGGCTGCTGCGAGGCCTTTTTTAATGGTTTTTAGAAAGCTGTTTAAATGCTCCAGAACTCTGTGGGGTAGAAGAGGTAAACAGACAGACAGACAGACATTGTGTCTGATTGATGTGTTCAGACTGGAGTGAAACTAAGGATTTGCAGAGGCAAAGGAATATATGCTTCCTCCTGTTTTTCATTCACCACAAGAATCTTAATTCAATAAAATGACAGGCAGATCAATTTCCTGTTTCATCCATAAGAAGATGAGGAAATTGCATTTGGTTGGGAGGCGGCTTTGTTTGAAATCCATTTGGCTGATGTAGTTATTGAGAACACAAGCAAACCTTTCAGACAGAGGGCCTAAAATAAGTATTTATATAGCTAAATCTGCAATCAATCAATCCAATCAAAGCCTCTGTTAAATTGAGCTTGACTCCTGGTGAGTTCATGAGTCCCTCCCTGCTAACAGTACAGAAGTGAATCGCCATTATTGCCTGGAAAGTTTTTTTCAACATGGACTAGCCTGCAGCCTAGTGGTCTCCCATCTAAGTACTACTTATGCTGAACTATACTAGGTTTTCTTCTAGGTCAGCTAAGGTTGGTTAGGTCGTGTGACTAGAATAAACTCTAATTGATTAACCAGTTTCAAAATTAGAGGATGACATGGATTATGTGGAAGTGGGTGATTTAGGAAAATTGGTCAACATTTGAAAGAAAGAAAGAAAAAGGGAGAGATTTATTAGGGATTTTGTTTTTTAAAAAAACTATTCAGTTTCCACTGGAGCCAAGTTACATCCAAGATGACTTCAGCAGCAATAAGAGGAGGAGACGTTGATTTTATCCAGAAACAGTGTACTGTACAGAAATATGTATGCTAGGCTTGAGAAAGAGACAATATGGAGAAAGATTAACTTGTCAGAGTCTGCTACCGAGGAATGACAAATAAACACTTTTTCAGATCAGGTATATTTGTCCAATCAGTGCTAGAAATTATAATTTTCAGGCCTAGGACGGTCATTTCTGTTCATTATGAGTCCACCTCATTCTTTTTTTTTTTTTAACTGCCCTTACTACTCTTTATTACTATTATTGCTCTCTCACAAGACTTGGGTGGTGTATAACACAAAAAGATCACAATAAAAATTTATCAATCCACGTCCTGAAAGGGAGGGGATTGTGTTGAATAAAATGGTCCCTGATGTACTCTGGAACTGCACCACCACATTGTATAGGTATTGAACAGGACTTTGGATTTGATCCAGAAGCCCATTGGCAGACAATGCAACAATGGCAAAATATATGTTTCTCTAGAAGAGGTCTCTTCTGCTAACCTCTTGGCTATGGAATTTCCAGCAAAACTTCTTGATCTTCAATGGCAGCTCCATGTAGACCATCTTACAATAATCACTTGCATAGTGATAAGGATAATAAAGTCATAAAGTTATCACTACCAAGCCTTTTCTAAGACATTTTCTAAGCAAGAGATCTGTGTTTAAAGAGAACTTTGGCTTCTGCTGACTCCCTCTGTTTTGCAACAGATTCATATGTCCCAGTACCCAGATTGGGCTTCTCCTGTGTGAAACTGATTGCTAAACTGGGGTGTATTCTCTTGAAATGCTATCAAACAAAAACATATTTATTGAGTTACTTACCCATCCTTGAAGGCATGGTGCTAAACTCCAAGGACACCAAGTTATAAAATATGACTGCATGTTTTCTGAAGAGTTTGGTGAATCATTTTATTTTGATGACATAGAATGAATCATAAACACACATATACCTTCAGCTACCTGAAGATCCAGGGTTGTAAGATTAATCTGATATTTAGCTGGGCAGAGTATTGCTCTTTCTATTACCGTATACGCCGGCATATAAGACGACTTCCGGAAGCGCTAAACTCAGCGCCAAAGACGGGGGTCGTCTTATACGCCGAGTCGTCTTATACGACAGAAATACTGGTAGTTTCCAGCGTATAAGACGACGTTCTAGGAATGCGGCTCGGCGACAAAGACGGGGGTCGTCTTATATGCCAGGTCGCCTAATACGCCGGCATATATGGTATATATGTTTATTTTCCTTAACCTGGTCATAAGATTTCTCAGCCAGTTTCTTCTTTCCTCAGATAGAATCATCTTTGTTTCTGATATCCTCAAAGGAGTGGGGAGGGAGAGAATATTTACAAATTGCTCTTTAGGCCTCAAAGATTAGGGCTTACTATTTTTTAATTTTTAGGCTGATGTCCCTTTAATTCTGCTAAAATTAGCCTTCTAATTTTTGATGTACCCTTCTTGCCTGGTATTTTTTGTTACAGTCCCCATAATCCCGACTCTGTTGTTAGTAGCTGAAGATTGTGAGCCTTATAGTCTAAACCAGGGGTGTCAAACTGCCGGCCCGTGACGTTGCGAGTTTGACACCCCTGGTCTAAAACATGTTGAGAAAATCTAGGTGGGAAAACTCTTAGACATGCATGGTTCTTGATGGAAAAGGAGATTAAATTAACACTGAGAAGGTAATATTATAAAAATTGAAATGTATATACATTTTAAGCAATTAAAAGAAAGGAAGATACATCAGACAGGGATAAAATGATAGCCATGATCTTAACATAGGAGATGACTTTGGCTACATGGCATTCTCATCCTCCTCCTCCTCCAAAAAAAAAAAAAAAAGCATGCCCGTTCTGCCTTCTGCAAAATCATCTTGCCTGAATCCTTCTTCCCTCGTCACTCTCGGAGCAAGGTCAACTGGAAGTTTTGGATGGACAAGGCAGGAGTTTTCTGATGAGCAATGGTTCCCAAATGGCCCTTTTAGTATGGACAGGCAGCAATCAGTTAATCCTGGGTTTCCTTTTACTGTACTACCTATTTTCTATCACTAAAATTTTGCCTCTTGAACAGCAATTCCAGAATTTATTTTTTATAACTAACTGGTCCTGTTGCCTTCTTAAGCAACAGAAAAATTTTATGCTTATTATTGGGACACTAACTCTATACTCACATACCAGGGGGTCAAATATTTTTATCAAGTTACACAACTGCACAAACATTTGTAATTAGACATGCTGTTTTATTCTTCCATTATTTTTCCCTTCCCTAACAACTAATTGCTGTATTAAACCATTTCTCCTTTTACTGTAGTCTTTTATTGTAAAGGCTGGTCCAAGAACATAATAAAGCTATTTGATTTTGATTTTGATCAGTCCACCATTTACATAACATCTAAGTCTTCTGATCCTGATCTCTTATGCCTAAGCAGGACATGCAGCAAAATTTCAGCCCAATTTGTTATATCCTGGATTGTCAAGGTTTCTATTCCTATGGAACATACCTAAAAGGCAGTTATATGTGCAATGATGCAAATTTCACACACAAGATTACTGGGAGAATGGTTCTGTTGGGTGCATTCTACATAAGAATGTATGTTACACATGCAATTTAATGATATGTGAAGAACCTTACAGATTTTAACTGGCTTCCAACATCACATTAAACCCAGATTAGACATAGTGATATTATCAAGTGCTTCTGGAAATACAAAACGAGTTGAGCTTGGTTCTCAGGGACTACATATAATTTCTGGCAATAATAAGGCAATTGTATGCCTTCTTTTGGAGGGCTTTCATAACTTTCCCAGTAACCTAGGATCTGGTTTCTTAATGATTTCCCATCCAAGTACGAATCAGATTTGACCCTGCTTTATTCTTCAAGATTTGCTAAGTGATTCTGAAGATAGATCACAAGTCAGCAACCTGTGGCTCCGGAGCCGCATGCAGCTCTTTGAACCTTCCCCTGCGGCTCCCAGCCTTCTCTGTCATTTGCAGAGACAGAGACAGAGCTTCTCTCTCTCTCTCTCTCTCTCTGTTGTGTGTGTGTGTGTGTGTGTGTGTGTGTGTAAGAGAGAGAGAGAAAAAAAGAGTAGTCTCACCCTGTTCCGACTGACAAGCTTATTGGGCGGGGCTCCTCCCTTTGCTGCGTCTCTGCAGGAAGCAGGAAGGGCAGGAGAGAGCTAGCTAGCCCAGATATGCTGACTCAGGAATTCTGGGAGTTGAAGTCCATGAGCATGAGTCATAAAAGAGCCGAAGTTGCCTACCCCTGAGCTAGCCCAATAAGAATGTGTGTCAGCTTGTTGGAGAACAGCTTGAAGCCAGCTTGCCAGGTGAGCAGAAGATTGGAGAGAGGAAGAGAGGGGGGAGAGAAAGAGAGGGAGAGAGGAAGAGAAAGAGGGGGAAAGCAATAGAAAGAGGAAAGAGAAAGAGAGGGAGAAGAAAGAGAAAATGAAAGAGAGAAAGAAAAAGAGGGAGGGAGGGAGACAGAGGAGGGAGAGACAGAGAGACTCTTTTGACATCTAAAATGAAGATAACACTGCATATATCCTTTTTTACCTTTATGAGATTATATACCTATAATAAAGGTAAAAAAGGATATATACAGTGTTATCTTCATTTTAGATATCAAAAGAGTTTTGCGGCTCCCAGTGTTTTGTTTTCGGTGGGAAATGGGTCCAAGTGGCTCTTTGAGTGTTTTGGGTTGCCTACCCCTGAGACAGATGCATCTAAATGCTAGATATAATAAACAAGATAAAATAGCAAGATTAATATGATTACAAAATAGTACAGTTGATTTGAAAATCAGAATCAAAATGAATGTGAAAAGTATGATGCAATTAAACATGAGACAAAATAGCAAACAAGCACACATACATCAAAATAGCTGTAAAGAATGTTAAAAACTATGTGTATTTTATTCAAAGGGAAGAATCTCAAGAATAAACAGTTATAATTATATTGTTCTTTAAAGCTAAAAAGTAAAAGTTGCTTTGGGTTAGGGTTAGATTCATCTTTTTTGCAATCAAACCCTTCCCTTTTTTTTAGCAGCTACTTGTTTCACTAAAGAAATAAGTGCCTGAAGGTTACACTTAACCCCTCTTCATAAAAACATGGACAGCAGCCTAATTTTTAATATTGCAGTTAATCTCATTTATTTCAAATCTGATTAGGTTGTGCCCAACTTGTTTTGAATGCTATATAAACATTTGGAGAAACTCATTTCACTTCATTTGTATGTTGTGAAGCTGGGACTGACAACAGAAACAGATGGCCTCATGTTCTCTTCCTTGTGTAGCGTGTCCTTCCATTGCTTGGATTCCATTCCAAAAGAGCTGCTATGCCCTACTTCAGGGATCCTCAGAGGTTTACAGTATGGATGATGCCAGGGAGCTCTGCCAAGACAATGGTAAGACAGCTCTGCTCTGTCCAATCTCATCCCAACCTTGTGTGATGCACTGAGACTAATCAGCTGAGCCTACATGAGCAGGAATCAGGGATCCTTTCAACATCTGAATGTCTGTTTGCCATCTTGAAGAATGTTAGTACTCACAGGGGTTAACTGAGCATGTACATTACTTGCTCAGGACAGAGACCTGCGGAGTGTACAGGTGGGAAAGCTCTTGGGTTTCTATGGTTGATCTCATTCAATTTCAATCTATTGCTGGGGAATGCAGACTTTCCCAAGTGCATTGATCTAGCATTCTCTTATACTGTCAAACATTTCTAATGTTGGAGACGGAGAGAGCTCCTATTTTATGGATTCCTACTCCAGAATTTTCCAGACTGTTTATTTTAGGAAAATCTTTTGGCATTGTCTGTCATGCAGCACAAGTGTGTACGTACATGCACATGCATCCTGAAGTACTGCAGAGAGCGTTTATGTTTTCGGAAGCCAAAACCAGGTCAGTAACTGTATAATAAAAGACCTGAACTTGCCTGCTAAGTTTATGTGCACCTTTTCATATGGCCAGGATGATCAAGGCTTACAATATACCTAATGAACTGCAGCATTTAAATCCCATTCACAGGAATGGACACTCAGCCTTAATTCTTTGTCTTTATTTCTCAAATGTAGCCTCTGGAGCGGATATTATTACTATAAATAGCAAAGATGAAAATACCTTCATTCAAAGTAATTTTCACTCAAATTGGCATGGTCCAGAATACATAGCTCTTGGCATGTTTTTTGACACAGATGGTAAGTGAACAAATCCTGCTAGAAATATGCTCCACCTTCTCTCAATTTTTGAACTATATTTTGATTAAGAATGATCCTTCCTTTCTTAAGGTAAAAAGTTTTGTAGATGTAACTTCTACAAGAACTCTTTGATCCGGGTTTGGAAAATGGGCCCTATGGAATCGTGAATGCAAAGCCTAGAGGAACAACACTAGGGGTACAGAATAGATACAGGGGGTGAGGGATTGCCTCTTCAATTGGACAAACACAAGAAAAATGAAATCGGATGACAGACTTGTACCTGGAGGGGAATCTTAAGTTTTATCTGCTATTGATCAAGGATACAAATGTTTGATGCAATCCATCTGTTATAATCTTAAGCATTTCTAGCACTAGGAAAACATTTCTTACCTCCCTAAAGCTTTCTGCTGTTTCTCTTTAAGCAACAACCTACACTAAATTGAATAAATAAAACTAAAATTAAAACCACTTATTAACAAATACAATGTAAATGTTTACTTGGCTCATGTTTATGAAGCAAGCAAAAATAACTTTAACTCTACTGTGCTGCAGATGATACTTTCAAATGGTATGATGATTCCAAAGTAAATTTTACAAACTGGATAGAAGAAGAAAGTAACAATGAACTTCTAAACACTTGTGCTACTATGCATACAGCTTCAGGTGGATGGAAAAAAGTCTCCTGTGAACACATTCCACTGACTAAAATCCTGTGTGAAACTACTGGTATGTAAGAGCCATGCTACAACATTGCCTTAAAAAGTGCTGCAGTATTGAAGTTTTTCTATTATAGGCCAGGAATTTCATAGGCTGTGAAAGAGCTTTGAAGTAGATACACTTGGGCTGTTGTTTAGGTCCTCTGGAGCCCTTTATCAATCACCAATTATCATGGTCATTAAACTTAATTCCAGTGTCATCTTATTCTTGTACTGGTCATATATGCAGTATAATAATTATGATAATATTAATTAGAAGATGCAAATGAATCCTTCAAGAGAAACTGGAAACAGTACTGTATCTTGCTATTTGGCTTTTCACATAGCAGAATGCACAAGGTAGATGCAAGAAAAATTGCCTATATACTTCCCTATCAAGGAGCTTTGTCTGGTAGGGTTATTGCTAAATATCTTCCGCATTATCAGATTTAGGAAACACATTCTTTTGGTTATTCCAACAGCAAGCATATTAGGATGAGCATTGTTTTTAAGAAAGCAATTGCCAAATATTAATTCAACAAGACATTGGTTTGGATGTCTCCTGATTCCAGCACTGAAACCAAATAGACTTCAACGTGACAGACTTCACATTCTAGGTTTTCTAAAATTCTAACTGGGTCAATAATTGCTCCATAATGAAAATGAACTACCATTCCTATCTGTATTAAAATTCTTATCGGGACACCAGGTCGTATTTTTCTTATTAGCGCAATGCTGTATTTTCCTTTCTGTGGTCTGAATCATGCTCTCGGAAACTGAGTGGGGAAGAGTTCTTGCTTGGGAGATTTTAAGAGGATACTCTTCATTATTATAGTGTTCAATCTATTATTAATATATAATTCATTACAATTAAAGCAAGAGGCTATCTGTCCTTTTAGAAATTATGCAACAAACCGTATTTCATTCATTTCCTATTCACAAACACATTCCAGTCATATGGTATAAAGTATTTGGTTTACTATTCTAGAACATAAATAAACACTGGAATCAAACTGCAGTCAGTAGACCCATGGCAGATGAACAATACTGTACCTGCATTTGAATACCCATCTAATTTACACCCACAATTTCTATTCCCAAGGAAGATCCATGCACAGAAAATACTTCCTCAAATGGATTTCTTCCCCACTTTTGAATAGGAGCAGATTTTTCAGTTTTATATTGGTCACTAAGTGGCTTATTGCCAACTATTGAATAGTAATTATTCTCACTACTTCTCTGAGTTAGTAAAATGTAGATTTTTAAAAAAATATCAAAACATGTTTTCATTTTTTCCTCTGCATATAGCTAAAGTTCTTTATGAAAAAACACACTTATTTGGTGAGTAATCCACTTTGTTTTCTTTATATTGTCTAGTAATGAAACAGTGATAAGGCTATCCTTTTATTTCAGAGCAGTTTTCTTTTTCAAGGAATAACATTCAGTTACCATGGATTGCTTCCATGTGTGGCTATAACAACAGCAGGTCCAACAATGTAGTTTAGCCATGACTCATTTAACCCATCCTACTGATTTTAATAGATCTTTTCTAAGTAAGGAATTATCATTGTGTATTCTATTTGGATATGCAAGAAGCTGTATTAAAGATATCCATTCACTGTTAAATGTCATCAATTCCCCACATTTCTGTTATCATTTGCCTGGTACATAATGGAGAAATGTATTTACATCATGGGGATAGGTCCACTGCAAGAAGGACACAGAAAATCAGAGTTCTGTAAAGGCAGTAACTCTGTTAAGTCAACCATTTTTCAAGCTTATTAAAATTCTTACTAGACTAAATGTTAGGAAGAAAAGGGTAAAATTATATTTGGTGCATTCTACAAAGACATGAAAGTGAGCATCAGGAAGATAGTTTTGGGTACATCTGGAACAGCAAGATGAAACATGCTTCAGCAGTATATGTGGCTTGCCAGCATATCTAGGATAAAGTAAGGTAGTTCTCAACTTGCAACAACTGAGTGAAAAGTTTTCATTGATAAACAGCGCAGTTAAGTGAGTTTTGCCCCATTTTATGGTCTTTTTTGCCACAGTTGTAAAGTGAATCACTGCACTTGTTGAGTGAATCATGCAGTCATTAAGCAAATCTGGCTTTCCCCATTGACATTTCTGGTCAGAAGCTGGTTAGGAAGAATACAAATGGTGCTCACATGACCCTGGGATAGTGCAACTATGATAAATACATGCCAGTTGCCAAGCTCCCAAACTCTGATCAGGTGACCATGGGGATGCTGCTATGATTGTAAATGTGAAAACTGGTCATAAGTCACTTTTTTCAGTGCCATTGTTAACTTCAAATGAATGGTTGTAATCTTAGCCCTCTCGGCTAAGACATAGAAAAGGAAACTTTTTTAAGTCAAGGATTACCTGTATAGAAATTAATAAGTGTCATGGTAGCACCAAAGTATTAAGGAAACATTTCTAGATCTGTTTATGATCTCAGATAATTTCCCACCTAGAGAACTAGGGTTGTGGTCCATTGAGCTGTATCGTAAAAGTCTACAGAGATTCTCAGTCATCACAGTCATAAATAAAAAGAACTTAAAAGATTTGCTGGATAAATAAAAAGCTGCATGTAAGCCACTTCAGGGAAATGGTGCAGTAATTTCAGTTGCAAAAAAACAATATACCTGATTATGTACTTTTGTTTCAGGAACTGTTTGGACAGGCATCATAGTCATAGTATCAACAATAATTGTGGCAATCTCGGCAGCATTTCTCTGGTTTCTTTATCAAAGAAGGATATCTTCTAGACCAAGATGTGATAATTCCATCACTCAAATTCCATGTGATAACAGAACATTTTTCATAGAAGATGAATATTCTGTTTAAACTGTTTTCATTTAGATATTGTTACAGGGGCAATGGCACAAAAACAGTCTTTAAAACCACTATCCTATATTCTAATGGAATATAATCCACATGCTTGTTAAATTGTTTTTATGCATATGAAGTGATTTTCTATCTAAATGTGCATGTTTCAACGTGCTTGATAGTTTAGAAATCATTTTAATCCCAAAAGGCAAATATGCCCAAAGATCCTTTGGAAGGAAGCAGCTCCTTCTTTCAACAACACTGTGATAATTTATTTTGATGAGACATTTGCCAACAAGTCTCACAGCACTCATTTGCTTATGAAGTTCAGAATTCCAATTGTGGACTAAAAGTCTCTACAAAAACTCCTTTATCATTCCCAAAATTTTAAAATGTAAGATTGTAAAATATTATCTTTAAAAAAGGTGGAGCTACTGCCATCATGAACAATGGACATGACATTTTATTAAAAACTGACGAAATCTGCTTATTCTGCTAGTGAATGTCAGCTTTTTATATATATTAATAAAATATGAAAGAACAGCAAGGACCTTCAACACAATCTCAATCTTTTTATATATGTCTATTTTAATATTCTGTTCCATGAAATAAAAATTTGAATATCAATATTTGCATTTTTTTTAGCGCAAATAAAAGAGTAACTAAGGTTGTCCTTTCTAGAATTGCATACATAAAGCAATTCAGTGTTTACAATTAGGCTATTAATTATTGATAGGTAGATGGTGTTTGAGAATTACTGCTTATTATCACTAAATAAGTTATTGCTTAAACATTATTCAAAGCTTGCCACATGTTATATTGCAGATGGAAATCGAACTAGCATTGCTCACAATTAGGCTAACGTCTAAATACATAATTATCATTTGGATGGTTAAACATGGACACCACATCTTTACTATGCTGACCTTATAATTTAGATAATTACATGCTCTCAGTGCCAGAGAAAAACCTATATTTGTTAAACAGGTCTAATGACCCCCCCCCCATCTCTGCAACCACTTTATTTTACAATCAAGTTTCCAGTTCTAATTGTGGTCACTAAACAAGGACCACCTGTACCATCCTCTATTTACAGTTGGGCAAAGTTGCCCACCAGTGGATATCCAGATATATTCTTCTATCAATTAAGACTCACAAATTATTGAGGTAGTCCTTAGCTTACATCATAACTGGGACCAGAATTTCTGTTGCTAAGCAAGGCAATTGTTAAATGAGTCACGCCCGATTTTACCACCTTTTTTTACTAATTTGTTAAGTGAATCACTTCAGGTGTTAAGCTAACCAGGCTTCTCCCACTGACTTTGCTTGTCAGAAGCTGGCTGGGAAGGCCACCTATGGCGATTCCATGACCAAATGTCATAAGTATCTATTAGTTGCTAAATGCTCAGATTTGATTATAACTGTGAAGATGATGCAATGGTTGTAAATGCAAGGACCGGTTCTCGCTTTTTTTTAGTGCCGTTACAACTTCAAATGGTCACTAGATGAATGGCTATAAGTCAAGGACTACCTATGTTACAAAGAAATACTCAACTCTACACAGGAGTAATATGGAACAACTGGGATCTTTTAGATGCAAAGGATTCTGTGTGGACTGAAACTATAGTGGGAATTCTTAATTCTAACCGGGATCTTTTAGATGCAAAGGTTTCTGTGTGGACTGAAACTATAGTGGGAATTCTTAATTCTAAGTGGGATTATTGTGGAAGGAATAAGGCAGCAGAATGTACTTTGGATGATAGCTTTATGACTTTAGTTGGATCCGGAGCCTGGATTGCTTGGGAAACTGCCCCTTCTCCCACTCCCTCAATGAATCTCAATCAACTCATTTTGAAGTGGTCAAAGGATAAGTTAAGCAATATAAATGTATTTTATATAAATGTATCTGCCAAGGCAGTATTCTGAAGTTTAAAATGGATGCTGTTGATTTGAAGTAAATGGACTATCTTCTACAGGTAATTCTTGACTTACAACTACAATTGAGCTCAAAATTTATGTTGCTAAGTGAAACATTTGTTAAGTGAGTTTGCCCTATTTTATGACCTTTCTTGCCAGAGTTATTAAGTGAATCACTATAATTGTTAAATTAGTCAAACTGTTAAGTAAATTTGGCTTCCCCATTGACTTTGTCAGAGGGTTGCAAAAGATGATCACATGACCCTAGGACACTGCAACCGTCATAAATATGTGTCAATTGCCAAGCATCTGAATTTTGATCACATGATTATGGGATGCTACAATGGTTGTAAGTGAAAACTTAAAAAAAAAAAATCTTTTTTTAGTGCCCTTGTAACTTTCAACAGTCATTAAAATGAGCTGCTGTAAATCAAGGACTACCTGTATTCATATAATGGGGAAAGGATGCTCTCTGTAAAGAGATCATTCTCAGAGACTGCATTCCTGGAAAAAATGGCAAGTCATTTCTGAATGATTGCCAGGAAACTTGTATGGATGTAGACCTGAAATTACGAGACTAGAACTCACCTAGAAGGAGACATTAGCCTTCTGAGCCTTATGAGCAACACAGAAAACCTATCACCATTATTGCTTTGCCCCAACACATCCCATCAGCACTGACATTCTTAAAGCAGACAAAATTCCTATGTAGGTATGACAGGCTCTAAATATTATTTTAAAGAGGTAGGCAAATCATAGGATTGCAATTTTTATTTAACAAACAAGTGACAACACTAGAAAACACATTGATAACCAGTGCCTCAGAAGTGAATGTGGGTTCTAAAAAAAATGTTCGTTCAGATAAATAGCTTGGTTAAGATTCTAAACCATAAGTTTTATTCCTTCCAGGAATGCTGAAATGCTTGTTTACTGCTGTAATTCCTTATTGGAAATTGTACATAATATTATCAAGTATAATCCGTGGTTTTGAAATCAATACTTATAAAAGCCTTAATTAATACTTATTAGTAGCCCCTTGCAAGTTTATTGCTTTGAGTTAAACACTCCTCCAGAAAAACTTAGAGAAACTTAACACTAATCACAGAACCCATTCACTCCCTCATTCAATCTAGGTGTTAACACTGGAATCAAAATAATGAGACTTCCCAATAGATATATTTTTTTAAGTGTAAGTTAACAAAGAATTATGCCCTCCCCATGACTTCAAGTTGCAAACTCACTTAAGTTCCACTTAGTGCCTGCCAGCAGAAGAGCAAAACATGAGAAACATTTCCCAGAATTTATAACTGATTTCTGTAAGAAGCTTATACAAAAAGAACTCTTCCTTACAGATAAAAATCACATATTTTAGAAGAAGGCATACATGTCATACTCTGAAAGAAGAAAGATACTCTTGCAGACTGCATGAGCAATATCCAGTATCTATGGATACCAGTGTGTGCAACAGCAGATTTTCTGTTTGACTCAGCAGTTCTTCAGAAATCTAATAGAATTCAGCATGGTTTACTAAATAAATGTGCACTGGTGATACTTGTGTCAGCTGAGCATTTAGCCCTTCCACTCCATCTATGCAGCATCAAGGGTCCTATCGAGATCACCATCTTCAGAATCATCATCATCATCTGAAGCTGCTGGAAGTACAGGATATAATCAGAAACTGTTCTAGAAGTCTAAAATCAAGGACATTATTTTTAATTTGACACAGCATCTCATTTTAAAACACATTTATGTAGCTTTGAACTCGGTGCTTCATAATGGAGTGCTTCCCTAAACTAATAACTATATCCAACTTTACTTTAATATCTCTGTAACTAAAAATCAAAATGCACCTATGTATATTTATGCCATAGTATACTGCTTTTAGTAAGCACATGAATTGTAAAAGGAAATCAAAACTTGTTTCCTTAAAAAACAACTAGAGGAAGGAAAAGGATAAAATACAAATATATTATCTGTTTATATTTTAGAAAATTAAGTAAAATGTGTAAAGCAATTATCTTTAAGTACCATTTTACTAATTCTCAATGTGAGCCCACTAACAAAATTCTTGCACACCTTCTAATAACTATAACTCTATAAAAATGTTAGACACTTACTTGCCAACTGTCAGAATAATGTTCTGCCCATCATTTCAATTTAACATGTGTTAGAAACCTATAGGAATGTGTTTTTTTTTTCTTTCTTTTTTTTTACAGCTGCACAGGTTAAGAATAATAAAGGGCCAGATTTTTATCAATGCAATAAAGTGTTTCACATCATGTATAATTTTGCTTTGGATTTAATATGCAAGTACAGTGATAAGAATGGCAATAAATAACTAACTTTGGGAGGCATCTTCAATACCAAAAAGGCTAAAGAAGGGTTACTTTTCCCAGAAAAAGTATGATTAAATTACATGGTTAAGATTATTATGGAATAAATGTGTTAAGCCCTTTTAAAACAAAAATCCAGATGTACCTAGTACAAATGAATGGCCAGGTAACCCCAAAACGTCCTTAAAAGGAAGCCTAAATTTGTAAATGGAGTAAATAATACCAAAGAGATAAATGAGGTTTGTATTAAATACCTATATACAGTATGTAAGAACAGGGAACAAGGAAATGATATTTCACCAAGGAAAACTTTTATGGACACAATATACTGTTCATTCACAGAAAATGATTTTAGTTCCTTTAATCATCACCCTAACAAGAACTGCCTATGCAATGGATAGTAGAATCATGCATGTGGGGCCTTTAGGTATAGAGTTTTTTCTCCAACTGCCTGTGTCCAGTGTTAGAACTGATAGCTTTCAGGGAGACTGTGTGGTCAAGGAAGGTACTTGTAATCAAAAACATAAGAGGTGCTGCCCTGCATCATGGCCAACCAGCCATGGAGCCCCATCGGCGTGGGTGGAGACAGCCCAAGGGCGGTCGGAAGGGAGCCCTCACCTGGCCCGGGCCCTGTCTGCTCGGCATCTCTGATGGGGGCGGCGGCTGCTGTTGCTCTGAGCCTCTTGCCCCGCCGGCCACGCAGAGAAGCAGGAGGCGGTGGCAATCCCTGCATTGGCTGGCCTAGTTGGCAGCAGCTCTGGAAGTGAAGCTGTGCCACCCGTCTTTGCGTTGGTGGGGGCGGTGACTGGTGCGGTCCCAGCAACTGCTGTGCTGCGGAAGGGAGACGGCATGCTGCCGGCCGGGCCTGGCAATGCAGGGATCACTGCTGCCACCTCCTGCTTCCCTGTATGGCCGGCTGGTTGAGGGACTCAGAGCAGCAGTTGCCACCCCCATCAGAGCTGCCGAGCGGACGAGGCCCAGGCCGGGCGAGGGCCCACTTCCAGCTGTCTCAGGGACATCTCCACCCATGCCGAAGGGGCTGTGCTGAGGAAGGGAGATGGTGGTGGCTGATTCCCTCCCTGATGGCAGCTCCCCCTTCAGCCCCCTACACGGTGCCCCTTCTATGCAATCCTACCCGACTGCAATGTGGATGAGAGGCTCGGCCAGTCAGGGTGTGGCTTTCCCTGGTGGAGGCATCCCAGCTCTCCCGCCCCCCCCCCCAGCCAGACCCTCTCACCTTCCCCCAGCCTGGATCTGCTGACCCGACTCTCCTGCACCCACCCCATTCTAAGACTCCTGCAGCCCCCCCACTGTACCCTCCTGTCCTCCGCAGCTGGGATGTCCAGCAATTCCGTAACCGGGAGCTCCTACCCCACCCCGCTGGGATCTCCTGCCCCCATCCTAGCTGACCCCCTGAGCAGCTCACTCCGACCAAGGTGGAAGGAAGGTGAGGCAGAGAACCGGTTGTTTAATTATTTGAAACTCACCATTGTCCTTAAGTATATAAAAACTAATCAAGTCTAACCAGATTCTAGTAATTTCAGTGGATAGACTTTATTTCTTTCAATGATAAATGTTAAGCATATGCATATTTTGGTAAGTTTTATTTAGTTTTGCCCTTCAAACTTTCACAGAGAACAAAGTGCAGGGGACTTTGAAAAAAGTAGTTTGATTGAGTTTCCTTAGGAACCATATTTGAGTTCTTCAGGTGCCTTTACAATTTTATTCTAACTCTATCTGAAAACTGAAGATCAACTCAGATATTTTAGTACTTAATATTACATATAAGAACAGATTGTACTTTATTCCTTTTCTTAACTTAGAAGTAAAATCACCTACTTTCAATATCATCCATATGTGCCTGAAGAGTTCTTGCAAGATTAATGAACTAGAAGCAATGCAAAAAGGCAGTTTTAAAAGATGCAAATTTTCCCAGGACCTTACACCATTAAAAATCCAATACCACAATTAAAATCTTCAAGAATTCCTCATTTCTCACCTGTACGTGAAAAGTCCTCACCATCTCCAGGGACACAGTCTTATGTAAAAATATGTGAACTAGTGGATTGTAAATGCATTTAGCCCCTCTAAAGTAGAGAAAACTGTATGCAGCAATGGAAACAGCTGTGACCCAGCAGTTACATTCTTCTGTTAAGAAATGTAAAACTGCATGCAACTGGAATGTAAAAGAAAAATGGTGCATGATTTGAGCATGTTTTGAATATAAACTCTCCTGGAGGTTTTAGCCTGAGCTGACCAATGGGCAAAATCAGCAACACTGCCATTCAGTGAAACGTAGAACAATAATTAAGCTCTACCTTATAAAACAGAACTATTTAAGAACTGAGTCTAAATATTAAGGGCACTTTTTAAATGATGAAGAATTCAAGAAAGCTGTTAAACTGCTGCTATTCTAATAGATTGAAACACATTAGAAAAAAAGATTCCGTTAGTATACGCAGGAAAAGCATTCACTTTTGCGTATTTCATCATTTCTGATACAACTAAGTGCTTAATAATTTAGTTGCATATTGGGATATCCATTATTAAAAAAAAGAACAGAATATAAGTAAAAGAATATCCCCACATACATTTTCCCCCAAAATATATTTAAGATATGTAGGAGCTAGAAAATGAGAAAGATAACAAAAATAATTACAAGTAGTCCTCGACTTATAACCACAATTGAGCCCAAAATTTGCTAAGGGAGACATTTATTAAGTGAGTTTTACCTCATTTTATGACTTTTCTTGCCACAGCTGTTAAATGAATCACTATACTTGTTACGATAGCCACACGGTTGTTAAGTGAATCTGGCTTCCCCATTGACTTTGCTTGTCAGAAGGTCGCAAAAGGGGATCACATGACCCCAGGACACTGCGACCATCAGAAATATGAGTCAGTTACCAAGCGTCTCAATTTTGATCATGTGACCACGGGGATGCTACAATGGTTGTAAGTATGAAAAACGGTCATAAGTCACTTTTTCAGTCCTGCTGTAACTCTGAACGGTCACTAAACTAACTGCTGTAAATCAAGGACTACCTGTACAACTGGAGTATTTTCCCTTCAAACAAAAACTAGGATGTTCTCATTTTGGAAAACAGACTTAGAAACGTAAGACTAAAACAAATTAACGGAAGGCAGCCTTTCCTTTATTTTCAGGTCAGTAAATCAACCAATAAAATAGTTGCTCGGTTACAGTAAAATACCCCAAACATATTTTGCTTTGTTTTCTATCCCAGCATACTTTTTGAAGAAGGTGTTACCTTAGCTATGTAAAGACTCAAAGAATCCCAAAGCAAAAAGACTGCAGTGTCAAAACTGCACATGTCTAGCTGCTCTCTGGCTGCATTCCTTTTACTGTTTCAGTTTTAAATGGTTTTAAAAGGAACCCCTGACCTTGAATGTCTTTTGGGGAGCCACACAGAACATCAGGAAGAAGAGCAGAAAGCCTCTGTTTGAAATTATGCTCTTTTGGTTCTGGACAAATCATATTTGAAAGAGATGGATTGTGCTTTAATCGTAGTAACAAACTGGTTCTATTACAAAAACAAGTCACATTGCTTACCCGGATACGTGTGTTGGCCTCACTTGTAGTTCCCAGCATATCTGAAAACCGCTGTTCACACAAATGCAACAATACTACAAGGTAAAGCCCAGAACTGATAAATTCATAGTCTGCCTGGAAAGAAAAGGCATTAGTTAATCAAATATTTACGCTTTCCAAAATATATAAATACTGTATTTTCATGATTATTTGCCCTTGGCTGCAGGGGTACCATAACTTCAGACTTGGATCTGAACATTCTTGAACATTTAAAGAAATAACTTGTCAAATCACACTTCCTGATAATTCTTCATTTCAATTAACCGGCTAGCTCGCCATTGCCAGCAGAAACGGCCCAAAGAGCCATGTGACGTCCTGCCGCGAGCAGAAACGACGCAAAGCACCATGCGGCATCCTGCCGGGAGGAGCGGAAACAGCGCAATGCACCACATGGTGTCCGGCCCGAAGTGGCAGCTAGCGGCCATAGAAGAAGCCAAGCAGTGGTGCGACAGGTGTTGGGATATGGGAAGCCTGGCTGTGGTGGTCCTAAGGTAACACATTCTCCGAAATTAAGACCTAGTGCCTCTTTTAGAGGCAAAAAATATATAAGACCGGGTCTTAATTTCAGGGAAACACGGTAGTGATCAACTGTGCAAAATAGCATAGGCTCAAATTTAGTAAAGTGTCTATTACATTGCAGTCCTTTTTGGAAGGGAAAACCAATTGTCATTACCAAAGAAATCCAGCATCTTGAAAGATTTATGCATGTTCCTTAATCCCAAGGATCCTTATTTCAGCAGCATTAGCAAATAAGATAGATTTATTAAAGTTCATTCTCACTTCCCATTTATATCATTTTCAACTTCAAATCTTCCAAAACCCCAGGCAAGTGAATTTTGAGAACACATAACACAGCACAACTAAGTTATAAAATTATACATCCTTCATTCTCCATCCCTCTCTCTCTCTCTCTCTCTCTCTCTCTCTCTCTCTCTCTCTCTCTCTCTCTCTCACACACACACACATACAAGAAAAAGCCATAGAAAGTCTCCTCAATGAATGATATACAAATCAAATACAAATACCCCCTTCCAGTTCCCAGTGCTCATACCAGGAGCCAGGGTTCAGATCTTTGGAGTCCTATCACTTATTAATAGCAGAACTGTCTGTAATAAGATTTTTCTCTTCAGTGATTTATGAATGGGAGGGCAGATCTGGTATGTATTGCTGCACTTGGATAGGGGAGGAACAGGGAATTCCCCTCTTAGAAATCTGCCCATGAGAGTTTCAGGTTTTATATCAACCGCTGCCTTTGAGTGGCAGCAAGACTCTGTTGCAACAAGAGGTGCTACTCCACAGAAAACCAAAAATGATGCAGGTGGGCCAGAAGGGTCAGTTGAGTAGGCTGCTTTGTGCTGCTTCCCATGCTAATCACTAGCAACTCCACTTGGCAACACGGATCCAATTGCTCAGATCCAAGATGAATTGTTCTCTGTCAGTGGAGGCAACTGGATGTCTTATGATCTGGAATCATTAGTCTGAGTCCCAAGTAAGTACATCGGACCCTATGTATTTAGTTTCACTACGTCTCCATTTCTTGGTTCCCTGTCTTCACAGTTTATTAAGGCCTCCTGTGAGGGTTGAATCTGAGAAGTAATCAATAATTCTCTGAGTGAGGGGATGTTTCTGTCATCTCCAAAGATGCCCCTGCTTAAAAAAATCTTCACTTGATCCAACTGATTTAAACAATTATAGACCTATTCCCAACCTTCTTTTTCTTAAAAAGAAGTGGTGACCTACAAATGCAAAACACCCTAAAGGAAGCAGATTATTTAGACTCTTGCCAGTCAGAATTCAAGCTGGGCTACAGCACGGAAACGCCACTGGTTGTCCTTGTAGATGATCTTTGAAGAGACTGGGATTGGGGAGTGCAACCCTCCTGCCTTCCTTGATCAGTCAGCAGCTTTTAATACTATTGACCATGACATTTAGTTGGACTATCTCCAAGGGATTGGAATAGAAGGCCCTGTATTGGAATGGTTTGCCTCCTTCCTGCAAGCCCAGTTCCAATTATGGCAGTTGGAGAGATCTACCCAGAGACCTCTATTTTATGGAGCGCCTCTCTCCTCTCTCCATTCCTTTTTAACATCTACCTGAAGTCACTGAAGGTGATCCTCTGTGGGTTTGGTATCCATATTCTGATCATACTCAAATATATGCCTCATTCCTGATACAATACAAGTGCTGACCCGATGCCTAGAGATTATCAGGGTCTGCATGGGGATGAACAGATTTCAACTGAATCTCTCCAAAACGGAATGACTTTGAGTTTGTGGCCTGAATGATATCAAGGAAATACCAATTTGATTCTGAATAGATTGTACTCCTTTGTAATTTGGGGGTCTTCCTACACTCAAGAGTTCCTGTTTGAGAAACAAATAGCAGCTTCAGCTAGGAAGATGTTTGCAGTTACAGCTTGTGTATATAAATCCTGGATTGTGGACAGCCTGCTCCTAGCCACTCATGCCCTAGTCACTTCACATTTAAACCACTGCAATGCATTCTACATGGGACTGACTTTGAAGAATCCTAGAAGCTACAGCTGATGCAGAACACAGTGGCCCAGGCAGTGATAGGTATATATTGATATTCTTATATGACCACACAGCTTTAAAAGTTGTGCTAATTACCTAACGCAATCCAGATGCAATTCAAAGTGCTGAACTGAGGTCCTAGATGGCTCCAGCCCTGATTATCTGAAGGACCACCTTTTTCCATATTTACTTGTCTACTTCAGCCACATCATATAGATCAGGGGTGTCAAACTCAATTTAGTTGAGGGCCACATCAGCATAATGGTTGCCCTGAAAGGGCCAGAAGGGCATGGCTGGGTGGTCGCGACATACAAGCAACATCAACTATCTGTCATGAACAGATTATTTCTTCCAGCGAGTGGTTAAAAAAAAACAAAAACCTATCCTGAATCACAAGCACTGAACTGACACTTACCAAATCAGCCAAAATATACTAACTTGTTCATTTGCATGTGTTCTATGGAGTTCATGGATATCAAAATTGTCAAGATTGAGCTGAAGCTTCTCTTTGCATAATTCACAGGTAGTTACATCTTCCAATGAAGAACCTAAGGGAGGAAGTTATACTTTTTGTTTTATTTAGCGTTGGTGCTGAAAACATTAAGATACAGTCAACAATTATGTTGAGAAAAGTATATCATTAAACAGAAAACTAAATTCACTACTATATATATAACTGTGAATCAAAGAGAAATATGCAAGAGTAGAGAAATCAGGATAACCATCTAAAACTCAAGTGCCCCTGTTGATTGTTTTTACAGTTTATGTATTAAGACAATATTATTGTTATAATTAAGATCAACAAGATGAAATAAACATTTTATACCTGCCCATTCTATTGTGTTTCTATACTATGCTGTGTATTTTTCAAAAAAAGGATTTGCATTAAAATATGAATATTTCTAAACATATGTAATCTCAGTATGCATATTTCTGTGTATTACTTCCAATTAGTAAAATTCTAAATGGATTTTGAAATATTCTTGAACAGAAAATTGTGTTGAAACATGGCTGCATTTTTGACTTGCTGCTGGCTTTCCCACTGATTTCACTTGTCAGAAGTTAGCAAAGGAGGTAAAAAATGGTAACCACATGACCACAGGATGCTCTAATGTCATAATCGCAGCCAGGCGCTGAACACCTGGATCACAACCAAGGGATCATGGAAACCCTGTGATGGTCAGAAGTTAAAACATAGATTAATAGAGTTGAATGGGATCCTGGAGGTCTTCTAGTCCAACAACCTGCTCAAGCAGGAGTCCCTATACCAGGGGTAGGCAACCTTGGCTCTTTTATGACTTAGACTTCTGGGAGTTGAAGTCCGTGAGTCATAAAAGAGCCAAGGTTGCCTACCCCTGCCCTATACCATTTCAGACAAATGGTTGTCCAGTCTCTTTTTGAAAGCCTCCAGTGAAGGAGCACCCACAACTTCTGAATACAAGCTAATTGATTGCTCTAACCATTAAGAATTTGCTCCTTAGTTTAGGCTGCTTCTCTCCTTGGTTAGTTTTGCCTTGCCTTTTAGTGCTTTGGAAAATAGTTTGAACCCCTCATCTCCGCAGGAGCCCCTCAAATAGTGGAACACTGCTTAGAAAAATGTAGAAAACTTAAAAGACTGTTCCTAAGTACACTTGTTCAGCAACATCACCAGTTCAAATGATTGGTGAATGAATGATCATTAAGCAAGGATCATCTGTAATATAGCAAAACAATATTTGATTCTGTAAGAAAGCTTCCTAACCACAACTGCTACATGTTCTTCAAGCAGAAGCTGAGTTCAAAGATATATTCCCAAATTGCACATCAATCCAAAAGAGAAAATGCAATTTCATTTAAGATTAAAGATGAAACATTCCCAGCCTAGGGGGAGGGGGGTGCTTCTCTTACTGTCTTATCCATTCTCTGAATGAATCTAAGCAACTTTATCTGCTAGATGCCTTCATTATTCCCCATAAGAGTCCTGGAGAGGGAACAAGTCACTTTAAACAGGGCAGTCATCTGGGGACTTGTTAAGAGCAAAAAATAACTTGGTTTTGCTGTTCTTACTGCCATAAGGCAATTCCTAAAATGGACTCTTATTTGTATCAAAAAAGGAGAATATTTGTAGCTCGGGGTTGAAATGAGGAGTTCTTAATGCTCTGTGAGCTTGGTTGTTTTCTTGCAGACATTGATGTTGCCTAGTTTGGGTAATAAAACATCTGCAAGAAAACAACCAAGCGCCAGAGAAAACCAAGGACCCTCACTCTTACTTGTATTTAGCCAGTTTCATTCATTTTCCAACTACACTTTAACAATCTTCTTTTGTGATCAACTTCCAAATTAGTCTATTTTTCCTGAATTGTGATCTTAAAAATGAATTCTTACCTGAGTTAATCTTGGATTGTAGCCACTTTTTCATACATTCCTGGTGAACATACTGCAGACTTCCAGCGCATTTACATGGCTCAATTAAGAGATTAGTGGCAGATGTAGAGGGCATTTGACAAATCCTACATAAGTCTCCCTCCTCTTCTTCTGAGTCTTCTGAAAGAAGACTGAACAGAGGTGAGAAAGTTTACTATGTTGAATTAAACTGTTTGTATATTATGACATTAACCAGATACATCAGCATTCCCCAGATAATATTATTTGTTGCAATAAGTATAGGACTTGCCCAACAAAATTTATAATTAAAACATCATTCAAACGATAAAAATATGTTTACCTCTCTTTAATTTTCTGAAGCTTTTCTGGATCTCTTGAAGGTGATGTTTTAGATTTGTCGCTATCTTGCCCATTAGACTGACTCCAGCTTGATGGAATAATATCTACAGTTATCATAACATTGTCAGACAAGTTATTTCCCAAAGTTGGTGGCATTGCAAACCGAAAGAGAGAGCCAGGAAACATTCCTGATATTCCTGAATTTCTTCTAGGAGGCACTGACTCTGATCCTGAAGCAACAGGTATAGTACTACTGGGTACTGCAGGTATTGATGGCCTCGGCCTGAGAGATTCCCTTTGTGGTTGAAGAGGTACATCCCCAACAGATTCTCTTCTCCTAAAAAGATGCAGTGACCTAGCAGATGTTTCAGAGGTAGAGGTTCTTGCTGTTTCATCTCTTCCTTCTCTTCTCCTTCTTGAAAACAAAGGTGTACATCTGTTCCTCAAAGAAGATGACAGCCAGGAACTTGCATTTCTACCTTCAGAATTATGTCTGTAATTTCCAGGTTCTGAACCAGCACTAGGATTTGATGAAACACCTGCCAAACCCCAGCGTCTTCTAAGGAAGCTAAATCCCTGAGGACCAGAATCAGGTGTTTGAGCTTCTATACCTTCAGATGTTGTAAGTGTGTTAGAAGAAGTAGCCTGGGCAGAAACTTGAGTTCTTAGAACATTTGTATCTCTAGAACCTAATGATCTTGAAGATGTCAGAGTGTCTTGGCTAGATCTTCTTGGGAAAAAAGTAGAGGACATACTAGACGCCAAGCGAGATAGTAATTGCCTTGTTGAACGCCTTCCTTCAGTATCAGCAGAAGGTTCACTTAATGACCTTTGGGTTGGCACAACTCCTTCAGAATGGTTTGAAGTTCTGGTCCCACTTCTCGTGGTACCATGACTAAACTCTGGCTGTATATTCCTTTCAGAAATCTCTACTTCTCTTGGGACATAGTTAGATCTTGAATTCCAGCTATGATCTCTAGAGAGTAATGAAGATTCATGTTCAGAAGGCAACTGGCGGTTCATGGATGTGTTCAGCCTCAAAGAACTCAATGAGTTTTCCTTTGGTCTTGCTCCCTGTGCATATGAAGAAGCAGGTCTTTCCTGCAAATCTAAGAAGAATAAAAAAAAGAAAATTAAAATTAGACACCAGCTACAGGCTTAATCAAATTAAGGAAATGTACTTTTTAAAACAGCTCTATCTGTAGACTCCTTGGTGATCTCTGAGCTTGGTTGTCTGCCCACAGATGTTTTGTTATCCGACAAGGCAAATCTTCAGTACAAAATATACATACATATATTGTACATATATATAATTTGTATTTGGTGTATTAAAATTCACCATTTCACAAACCCTCAAACATACTATAGTATCAGCCCAGTTGGCAACATTTTTCAGTAGTTCTAGGATTGACAAACAAGGACTGGCTCAAGATCACCCAGCTACCATTTACGTCTATGGTGAGGCTACAGAAACTCAGCTTTCCCCATTCCTAGTCCAGCACCTTAACAGTTAGACAATGCTGGTTTTCAGTTGCCAAAGGGCAGAACTGCTGAATAAGCACAATTTAACATTCAACCTTTAACGCTGTGAGTTACTCAGAGCCTGTCTACTTCAGAGAAGACCTCTCTTTGCTATGAGCCTGCCCAGTTCCTTAGATCAGCATGAGATATTATTCTGAAGATGCCCCTGCTGCTGAAATCTCAGCTTTCTGGTATATGGGAAAACGCCTTTTCTGGGCTTCCCAGGCAATGAACTTGGAACATTCCACAGGGAGATGGATTTTGTCTTCATTTTTTCAGTATTTAGGAAAACCATATGTTCTTTTGCAAACATCCATTGTTAATTTATTTTGACTGCAGTAATGTTAAATTCCTGTTTTACAACTTCATCTTAGTTTCAATTGCTAAACTTTCCTAAATTTTACAGAAGCAGAGAAGCAAGGTATATTCATCAACACTTTTGTTCATATGTTATTATATTTGGTCTTTAAATAAAAATTAAAAAGAATATAGTCCTGTATTGTAGATCTCAAATATCTCACAACAGTGGAATATAGTTTTTGGGTCAAATGGAAATGAAAACCCACCCAATCCCATCCAATAAACAAATTAAATTTCAAATGTATACCCTGTCTACAGGGATAAAATCCCACATTACCATGAAATGTATTCTAGGCTGATTTTGCTCAGTAATATAAGGAATGTTTAAAAATATACCTGGTTTCTTGTATGTAATGTAATATGCTTTATTAATTCACTTTTTTCCTGTTCTTTTTTCCCTTGCTTCCTTTTATGTGGGTTTTCCCTATTTTTCTTCCTTTTTTGCACATTACAGCAATTAGAAAAAACTGGATCAGTAATTTTAAATAGCCTTAATCACACTTAAAACTAGTTTCAGCTAATCAGAAGCAGTGTAACTACCAGAACATACTTGATCTTTGAGCCAATTCAAACAGACAAAAATATATTCATTCTATGAAACCTGATGTTTTAATTGTTCTTCAAAGAATTACTGCTTTTAGCTAGCTTTATTATAGGATTGAAACACTAACAATGTATTTAGATGATTCATAAATTCATTTACAATAAAACTTTTATCTGTTATACCAAGTAAAACCCCTGAATGAAAAGATGATAGATCCAGATATTCTTCCACTGAAGGTTCAGAAGTAAAAACAATTTAGTATATAAAAAAGAGATTAAATCTTTTTTCTTTTTCCAATTTTTAAAAAACTCTTGGATTCCCCCAGTGTTACTGTAAAGTTAATTGTTGCAGGATCATCTGAATTAAACAGGTAATAATCTTAAAGAACTTGTAAAAAACTGACTATTTACAATGGACCCTGGAGGTGGAGTTCCTATGTTACAATTTCTGAACCTCTTATTTAGGAATCCTTGTGGGTTTAGGTTTTTTTTTTTTTTTAGTTTTTATTCTAGTATTTATTTCTGGCTTATTTTTTAAAAAAGTTTTCTCCATGTACATTTATTTGTTCTGGGGTGCTCTTTTTGTTGTGCTTTCCTTTTTTTTTTCATTTTAAAAAATGTGTTTATAACCTTTTTTTCTTTTTCTGCTCCTGACCCATATCAATTATTTTAAAGAATTGCCCCATTTTTCCAGATTTAAATATTTTAAGTTCAAAGATATCTAAGTTATTTTATATGCCAGGAAATTAAAAGATACATTAAACCATTTTTAAAAATCAAATTTACAGGCCATACAATCACTAAATGTTATTTGTGTAGCTCAAGATCAAGAACCGCATAACTTTTACAATTTGACAACTCTTTTTTAAAATTAAAATCATGAGACTTTTACTGCTTAGTTAACTTTTAGCATATAGCTTGCTTCGAACAGCTTTGATTGAGGTTCATATACAATGTAAAGGCCCTTCCATGGATTTTTAATTGTTTAAATTATTGGTAAAATTTGGGAATAGCTATTCCAAGGAAACTTTCTTTATATATGGATATAAATATTTCAAATGTTTTAACCCAGATAAAATTGAAACAAACAGTTTAAAATCCCATCAAGCATATAAGGAAAGAGAAATATAAAGATGCATATAACTTCAGAGATTGATGTACTTAGAGGTATTTCTATGCTAATATAATGAATGCCCATTAAGTACTATAATATTTCTAAACTGCTGGATTTTCTTTATCTAAATTATAGCTATCATATGATAATGGAAGTTTATCTTTCCTGATTCTCTGCTTTATCACTGAATACATATTTTGAGTTTAGTGTATCTATGGATGAAATGATAAGGTCAAAAATATTGTTGGCACAATTAGAAAGAATGTGACCCCGCTGACATAGTAGCAAGACAAGCAGTATTTTTCCATCTTCAGCCAAGGTGTATTATAGTTTCTGCATTAGAAGCACAATTAGAAAAAGCTAAGATGGGGTTATTTTTACTCTTATTCACATGAGAAATTTACATTCTGAAATAATTCTAATTTGAAAATTACAAGTAAATTTCTTGGATGGGAACAAATCATAAGAAAGTGGAGTATTAATACCTTAAATCTACTTACTGCCAAATAATAATTTGGGTTACTATAAGAAGCCTTTGGATTGCCTAAGATTTGAAAATGACAGAATATTCAAAACATACCCTAATTTCACTTTGTGGTCCATATGTATTAACAGAATCTAGAATTCCCGTACTGAAATGCGCTTTAGATGTTCTAAATCTACAGTATTTTATAAAATGTTAAAGAATATTGCTAAGGTAAATCCTAGTTATTTACAATTAATAAATCAATAGCAAAGAATCTTACAGAATATTATGTCCTATGTCCTTTATTATCTTACTCTGACACAACTAATATAAATATAAATCATTGCAAATGTAAGATACTTTTTCATATTTATTGGATATTTCAAAACATGTTTAAAGTGTTTGGTTGTCAACCTCACCATACTGAAAATGAGTAAGGTACACTTATTCATAATATATGACTTGGCCCACTATTGTCTTATTTTAATTTAAAATTCCTAAGTTACTACGCTATCTATATACAGTGTAAGACATAAATGTATCTCTGAATTACATACTAAAACTTGGGCCTTCTGTCTCTAAAAATATCCATTCATTGAGCAAAGGGAACTGCAAACGTATTACTTTTTTGGCATTGGAAATATACCAAAGATCTTGAATTGCTAATGTGTCTATTATCAGCTTCTGAGCTAACTCTTTACTGATATACTGTAAATGGAAAGATCAGTAGCATTTTATGTGGTTAAGGTTTAATTATGCATTAAAAAAAAGTATCTCAAGGTCTAGTATTTCAAATTGTGATATCGTATTTCAAAATCACATTGCACTCGTGTTGGGAGGACCGAGTTGCTACTGGGTTGAACGGATTAGCCGGTGACATCACTTGTTCCCCAGGGGATGCCCAGGTGGGAGCTTTCATGTCCCTGGCAAGAGCTGGAGCAAAGGACAGGAGCTCACCTGCCCCACAGCAGCACTTGAGTCTTGAACATAGGCTTGTTGTTTGTCAAGCCAGCATCCTAATCATGTGAGCCACCATGCTCCTTATATTTCAAAACAATTTTCATTTAAAAGGCATAGTAGTCTACAGTTTTCTAAACAATGAAAAAAAGTAACTAGATGCTTGCTAGTAGGACTTGACTGCCACAGTTAATGGCATTATCAACCAGCTAGCTGCATGTATGAAGCAACTAATCAATAGTCAGATATTATGAGAGCAAAATAAACATTCCATGCAAGTATATGGAATAACATGTAACTGAACTATTAGTTTTCCAATACATACATGTTGATGGAGGGAAATCACCATTCCTTTGACTACAATCCACAAAACTAACAGATGGCTCTGTCCTTTCTAGCTCTCTTCTCTCTCTCACAAGTTCAGTTGTTAATGATCCAAGTACCATAGATGAAGATCTGGGCACATCACTGTACCTCCAGGGGGAATCTAAAGACAAGTTAAAACTATTTTTATTTTCCAGCTTGTTACTTACTTTAGAAACTCTACATTTAATACCATATTGTATTCTTGAAACTGACTATTTTATTTGGGCAAGTTTCTCTTCTGATTATGATTATAATCAAGCATGAGATTATTCACCAACACAAGGTTGGGTATCACGCTATACTGATGATACCCAACTTTACATCTAGATCCTGAGCCATCTGAATTATGTTGTTAAATTGCTGTTCAGATCCTGAGGTTTCTGGCATATGGATTCTGAGAAAGAGGAGGTTTAATTCTAGAAACATAGAGTGGTTCTGTGTTCATAAGTCATTGCATTCTGGAGAAGTACCATATTTAGTTTAGACTGAAGTCATACTCCCCCTCCAATAAAACTGGTTTGTAACTTGGGAATCTTCCTGGACTTATGAGCAGGGGGCGGCTTTGGCCAAGAGGGGATTTGCATATCTCAACCTCGTGTATCATTTAGGATCCTCTTACAATAGGAGGAATTACTCAGTCATTCATGCCTTAGTCACCTCTCAATTGGATTACTGCAACAAACTCTGTATGGGACTATCCTTGAATATTTGGAACTACAGCAGATCCATAATACGGTGTTTAGAGAAGCTATAGCTATGTCTTGATAAACTTAAGCAACAACTTTGACAGCAAGTCTACTTCCCACTTGGCTTCCAGGTGCAATTCTAGGTGCTAATTATCACCTTTAAGCTCTTCATGTTTCAGCCCTGGATATCTGTGATACTACCTTTTCTAGTATTATTTACCTTCCCAATAAAATCAAGTAAGGCAAGCCCACTTCAGGGCCCTCCTATTAGATATTGCTATTTGAAGAAACTTCAAAACCATACTTTTTCAATTACTGTCCCCCTTCTCTGGAATAGCTTGACCCTGGACATCAGAAAGGGCCTATCCCTCATGGTTTTAGAAAATCAATTAAAAGGGGCGTTGTCTTACCTGAACGCCTTTTCTCAGCATGACAATGGAAAATCCACAGATGGGTTGATCTTGCCTTTCTGCCCTAGAGACTAAGCCAATCAACCTTTGCAACACCTTTCTTCCTCCGGCACGGAATCCCCAGTCACGATGAAGGTGCAGCAGTTGATGATATTTCAAGGTGGTGGTGGCTCAAATACCCTTGACACAGGACCGGATGGACCCGGGGGGGGGGGGGGAATGGATTCTCCATCGTCATGCTGAGAAAAGGCATCGAGGTAAGACAACACCCCTTCTCCAGCATGACGAATGGAGAATCCACAGATAGGACATCCAAAGCCTCACTGTCCCTATGGGCAAGAAGAAGTCTGGGTCTGTGTCCCACTATCTGTTACTACCCTTTGGAGAACTCTCCTGCCAAATGAAGCGTCTGCTGAGGCGAACTTATCTAACTTATAATGCCTCACAAATGGAGAAGGAGACAACCAAGTCACTCCTTGCATATCTCTTTGATTGACGCCTGTGTCGTCCACACCGCTGAAGTTGCTGCACTGCGAGTGGAGTGTGCGGTGATTCGTCTTGGAACTGGCAAGGAGTGCGGTACACCTCTGCTATGCAAGCCCTAATCCATCTGCCGATAGTAGAGGCACTCACTGTCATGTGTCTGATTAATGAAACACTTCAAAGAACTTTCAGGCATTTTTCAACCTAAAAAGCCTTTATTAGTGTTACGGAGCGTCAGCACAGCATGGAGATGCCAAGATCTGAATTTCTCTTCCTTTGCACATAACATTCCAGGCATTTCCCCTCCCCTATTTTGGGGTCATGATTCACATCTTCCAATTAACCTGGAGAGCAAAGATTCACTTCCATTCCCTTCCATACGCTTTTCTCTCCTCTCCCCTTCTCCTCTGAATTAACTCTAAAAGTACCATACAGTTCTGCATATTTTGTCAAAGCAAGAATATTCAATATTAGCAGCGTTCACATCCACCTTCTGACCCATTGAAGAGGGGTGGAATGAAACGAATAGGGCTTCAGATTTGCGAAAAGAGGCAGTTCGCTTAATATAGCGATGCAAGGCTTTACGAACGTCCAAGGTGTGCCATTTACGTTCCAAATCGTGGGATGGCTCAGGACAAACATCTGGCAGCACAAGCTCCTGCGCCCTGTGAAACAATAAGTTGATTTGGGGGAAGGAGGGATTTAAGTGTAGGACCACTGTCATTATGAAAAATACATAAGTCATCTCTAATTGAGAATGCTGCCAATTCCGAGATGCACCTAGCCAATGTGACGGCTACTAGGAAGGCGACCTTGAGTGTCAAGAACCGTAGAGTGGAGGTTCTGACAGGCTCAAATGGAGGTGAAGTGAGAGCCTGTAAGACCTTGGACAGGTCCCAAGAGGGATATCTGTGAACCATGGGCGGTTTGCTGTTGATTGCTCCCCTAACAAAGGGACGTACTATGGGGTGTTGAGCCAAGGGCTCTGAGTTGCCATATGTGAGCACCGTGGACAGGGCAGCAACTTGTCTGCCGATTCTGTTGGGTGCCAAACCCTTCTTAAGTCCCTCCAGTAAATAATCCAAAATTCTTGGAATAGGAATTGTAGCTGGATCTAATTGTTGTCTCCCACACCAGTTAACAGAAATTCTTCCATGTGGAATCATAGATTCTATCAGTTGCAGGCCTTCTTGAAGCCTGAATCATGGTAATCACGTCTGATGAGTAGGTCTCTTTTGTTAGGAGTCTCCTTTCAAATGCCAAGCGGTTAGCTGGAGCCACTGAGGCTCTGGGTGTTGTAGAACCCCTTGGCCGAGGGAAATTCGGTATCGGGGTATCCTCCATGGAGGAGAGGTCGAGAGACCTACAAAGTTGGCATACCACGGCTGTCTTGGCCAGTGAGGAGCAACGAATATCACCTCTGCCCGTTCCTGCAGTATCTTCCAGATAACTGCCTGGATCAGAGGGAGAGGAGGGAACGCATACAGGAGCTCTCTGGGCCATGGGTTGTGTAGGGCATCTACCCTTTCCACCCCTGGAGATGGGAACCCAGAGAAGAATCTCAGAAGCTGGGAATTCGCCGGGGTAGCGAACAAGGATGACCGAACCTCTCCGATATCTCCCTGAAAAGATCCGGGTGCAGGCGCCACTCGGAGTGGTCCACTGTGGCCCTGCTCAAGAAATTCGCTTGCCGATTCGTCTCTCCCAAGATGTGCTCCGCCTTGAGGGACAAGAGGTTGGTCTCTGCCCAGGTTCCTAATAATTGAGCCTCGGCCATGAGGGACCTGGAGTGGGTACCCCCTTGCCTGTTGATATGAGCTTTTGCCACCACATTGTCCATGAGGACTAGAACGTGTTGCCTTGCCACTGTGTTACAAAAGTGTTATAGAGCCAGATGTATAGCTCTGAGCTCCAATCAGTTTATGTTGTGCTTCTGATCTGACCAGGACCACCGACCCTGGGCCAAGTGGAATTACAGGTGCGCTCCTCAGCCGAACAAGCTGGCATCCAATGTTAGGATGAGTCGATTGGGCTCCTTGAATAAGGTTCCCCTGGCCATCGCTGGGGAGACCCACCACTGGAGGGATTTCAGTGTCTGTGACGGGACCCCTACCTTGTGGTTGGAGGAACTGGTGCCTAGTCTCTGGAATGGGAGCAAGAACCATTGGAGGGTTCTGGAGTGGAGCCGAGCCCAAGGAACTACTGCTATGCAGGAAACCATCTTTCCTAGCAGTTGAGAAAGGATTGCTAGAGTGACTACTCGCTCCCTTTGAATCTAGGGATCGGATACGGTCCCAATGTTCCTGAGACAGGTAAACCTCGCACTTCCTTGTATCTATCACCGTGCCCAGTTGAAGGAGGCGGGTGGAGGGAACTATCTGGCTTTTCTGAAAATTTATTGAAAACCTATGGTCCTGGAGGGTCTTGATGGACAATGTTGGTTCTGACTGAGCTAACTGGACTGAGGAGAATTGAATGAGGATGTCATCCAGATCAGTGGTTCTTAACCTGGGCGATATCGCCCGCCCAGGGGGCAATTTCATTTTTCAGGGGGGCGATGGAACAAAAAGGGGTGACACGGGGGTGAAGGAACGAAAAGGGAGCAATATGGGGGCGATGGAACGAGAAGTTTTGGGGACACTTTTGAGACTTTTTCGTACAGCGAATCACTGTATATCTGTCGTACATAAACATCTGATCGCCTATTAGTAGATTGAATTGTTTTTTCAAATGTTCCTCTAGCTAGCTTCAGTACAGAACTCCGTACATATGTGAATACGCATCGTTTATTTTCATGCGCGTTGCGCAGCAGCCTCTACCCATACAGTGGTGCGCCATTGGTCAGAATGGGCAGTGATGGAGGGGGGAGCGCTTCTTTTGAAACACTGTATGCTGAGTGGCTGTCCCCTGTGACGTCAGCTGTAATGTCAACGTAACTGTTGAAACTAGGTTTATTGACATCCACGTGTTTTTCTAGTGTTCCAGTGCAGTCAAAAATTTAATTTGCAGGTAGTGCCTTTCATTTTGAAGACCTCTCAACATGGCCGAGAAGAGGAAGTATCGCCAATATTCGACGGAATACCTAAAATTGGGATTCATTCCATCTCCTTCCAATATACAGCTTCTGTTTTGTCTTCTTTGTGAGAAAACATTTTCAAATGAAGCAACAAAGCCTTCCCGACTGAAAGACCATTTGATAAGAATTCATTTGGATAAAGCTGACAAACCAGCATTGTTTTTCCAATCCTTAAAGGCCAAGTTTGAGGGTTGCAGCACTGTTGGGAAGTTATTTGGAAAATCGTCACTCAACACTGACAAGGGGCTCATTTGTTCCTATCAAGTATCTTTGTTGATAGCAAAATGTGGCAAACCTCACACTATCGGAGAAACGTTGATTATACCAGCAGTGAAACAGATTGCTGCCACCATGTTGGGGCCCAGCGCAAGCACTATCACGCAATCGATTCCTTTGAGCAATGACACTGTATCAAAAAGAATTGATGAAATGGCTGATGTAGAAGAAAGGCTTATTGACATCTTGAAAAATACAGAATTTGTGATGTAGATCGACGAGTCAATGATTCGTGAAAATGAAGCCTTGTTATTGGCTTATGTCCGTTTCATCAACGGAAATGAAGAGATCAGGGAAGAAGTGTTATTTGTTCGAAATTTAGCCGACACAAAAGATTCTTCGATATTTAAAAAGATTGAAGAGTTTTTTAATGAGAAAAATATCCCTTTGACAAACGTTGTGGCATGTGCTACCGATGGAGCTGCATCCATGGTTGGACGATATCGCAGTTTTCAAGCTCATCTAAAATCGGTTGTACCTGGAGTTATGACTATCCATTGCGTCATTCATAGACAGCACCTTGTCTCAAAAAATTTGAGTGGCCGTTTGCACGAGTCTCTATGTTATGTCATTAATGCTGTGAATAAAATTAAACCGAATGCCTTGAACAACCAACTTTTTCACAAGCTTTGTGAAGAAAATGATGAGTTTGAATGTCCTCCTTTTGCACACCGAAGTAAGGTGGCTTTCAAAAGGAGAGTGTTTGCAACGATTCCACGAACTTTTTGACACAGTTGTTGAATTTCTTGAATCCACTGACTCAAGTCTAGGAGTTCTCTTAAAGTTCGACGTCTGGATGTAGCTTATCTCGCTGATGTTTTTGACAAGCTGAATGAAGTGAACGTAAAGCTGCAAGGAGATAAAATCAATTTTCTTAAGGCCAAGGGAGTAATCTGCTCATTTATTTCCAAATTGGACCTCCTTGCAAGCAATATGAGACGCCAGGAGCTGTATCAGTTCCCAAACCTTGGTAATGAACTTGAACTCCAAGGAGAAGATTTGGACGTTTTTTGCTGCCACATGAAGCAACTAAAAGAAGATATGGAAACCAGATTCTATGATCTGATAAATCTGGAAGTGCCCACTTGGGCGCTAAATCCTTTCACAGCAGACTTTGCACTTCATCCCAAACTGCAAGAGCCACTGACAGATCTGAAATACGACTGTGAAGCCCAGTCACATTTTCAGAGTTACGGCTATGAAGCTTTTTGGGTGAAAATGAGGAACACTTCCCCAATATTGTGGGAGGAAGTTAAGTTGCTTCTTTTAGCCTTTCCTTCCACTTATTTAGTGGAGAGGGGCTTCAGCGACGTCCAACAGATCCTTTCTAAGTCAAGGAACATGTTGAAGATCTCTGAGCACGGTGACTTAAGAATGCAATTAACAAAAATGGTTCCAGACATCAAGAAATTGGCATCAGCTCACCAAGCACAAGGCAGCCATTAATGTTCTTTTTTTTTCTTTTTGTGCACATACATTTTTTTCGTTAATAATTGTCTGAGCTTTTATCGTTTTATTTGCTTGCATTAGATTTCATGTTCCAATTTTTGGCTTCGGCTTCATTTTCAAATTTTTGTTCTGCTCTGTAAAACATTTTGTGTGTCTCTTTGTATTGTACTTTTTTAGCGTGCACTCCAGTTCGATATTATATTTTCTTTGTGTCTTTTTAATCCTTTTTACAGTGTGCATGACTATATATACTTTCCTCGAATCTTAATTTGGGTTCAGAGTTTAGTTCCTGCATTGCGGTTTGCTCTTTTTATATTTCTTTTTCGTCTTAAATTTCACTTGTAATTCAATCATTAAATGTTACTGTTTTTCTTTTTGGGCATTTCATTTTCTTGCAATTGAATTTTGTTTTCAGTGGTCATTACATTTAAGTGTCTTGAATAAAAAAGATAATAATGAAATACATGAATCACAAAATTTGGGAATAAAGTGACAGGTGGCACCAAAGTTTTTCACACAGTTGAGCTATGAGAAAAAGACTGGAAATAAATTATTTGCATCGATTATGTCCTGATGACAATTTTAAAGAAAACAGAAAAAGTGTTTGCATAAATTGAAGAATTATTTCCTATGTTGTGATTGAGAGGTTATGTTGAGGGAGGGGGGCGATGACAACTTCCTCATTCGCTCAAGGGGGAGATTCGTTCAAAAAGGTTAAGAACCACTGATCCAGATAATACTGGAGATGCATCCGTACCTCTTCTGGTGGGACCCTAGCCTGCAATTGGCAAAGCCAGAGGAGTGAAATTCTGGCGAAAAAGGAAGTTGAAGTAGCTGCCTTTACTGCCCATGCTGAGGCTTGGTAGGTCCTGTAGAAATTAAGCTCCGCATTCTTATCCTCTGACTTTAGAACCCCCGCTATATCTCCAGACACAGTGAAGGAGGGAACCAATGATGCTAAGGGCTCATCTACAGTGGGGACTGCTAGCACCTCCGACAGTGCTGGAGCCATATTAAATAACTTTTTATCAGTTCCCCCCCCCCCAGCGATGGAAAAGTGCCTGGTGTTCCCCATTGTCTTTGGACTACATTGAGGAAAAGGAGAGGACAGGGAATGTCCTGTTGGGTAAACGTTGGTTCTGAAAAGACCTTACCAGTAAGTCCCTGGCTGGTGGAAGGTTTAGCCTGAGGGACACTTTCAGGACCAAGTTGAGCAGTGCTCCTGGCCTTGTGAAGTAAGGATTTAAAGAGGGCCAGATTAAACAGACCTATGAAAGGAGGGGGATCATCTTCTGACATCCCCTGCTCTTTCTGTTCGTCGTCCCCTATGAATGACCTTCTATTCCTGGAGGAACTGGAAAGGAAAACTGGCCCTTGGTATGCGGCTACTTCCGCCTGGGAGAGATACGATACATTGCTATGAGATGAGATCCCTGATGCTATTGACTCGGGTTGAGCTCTCTGGTGTAGGGTCAAAGATACATCTTGGGCAATAGCCTGAGAAATCAGAAGGTGTATTAGTTCTGATAGTTCTGTCTCCTGAGCCTCTGGAGGGCGAAGCCCTGCCACTGTAGGAGTGAATGGCCCCAGAGGTCTAGCTGTACCCGGAGCAGGGATATGAAGGCCAATCCCCTCATTGGAATGGAACCTCATTGGAACCATCTCCACCTATTCTGCCATGGGAAAAATGAACTGACCTGTTTCCCCTTCTGGAGACCAGGCACTTGGAGCAGAAGAGGTTGAAGAAGCTTGTTGAAAGCCAAAAACCGATGCTTCCATGGGAACAGAAATAATCTGACCAACCTTTGCATCATTCTTTTGCCTTGCAGCTTTGGAGAACTGTTTTTCCAATGCCTGGTGCATTCTGCTTGCTTCTTTCTCAGAAGCTTTGGTAGACCTTTTGCCAGAGATAGCTTTGGATCTGAGTTTCTTAGCAGTCTCCTGCTTGGCTGATCTGGATTTCTTGTGCCTGGATGAACTGCTGGAGGCAACCTGAGATATCTGAACTTCTGTGGTTTATCTGCCATTGCAAAATCAGAGATATCACAGAAATGGCAATCTCAATGTGTTTGCAACAGAGAGGTGATCCCAATCACAAGGAGCCAAGTTGTGGCTACAAGTGATGGCGGCGCAACCAACCTAATGGGATAGCCAGCACACTCACAATCCTGGCAGTGACGACAAAACCAACTTAATGGGGTAGTCAGCACACTTATGTTCCTGTTAGTGGCGGCAAGACCAACTTAATGTGGTAGCCAGCACACTTATAAGCAGCGTAGGAAGAGGCACTGAAAATGGCAGCAGTTAAAGCGGGCACTCAGCCACGCCCTGAAATCTTTGGAAATTGCATCCAGACACAGTAAAGGAGGCTGTTGTTGTTGCCTCTAATTGTAATAGCCTTGGTATGCGGCAAGCTGCCAAGGAGCCTGGAGAAGCAGCACCCTCGAAATACTGCTCCTTAATTCTGGCCTTCTGAATGGCCTGAGAGTGTTTGTAAGGCTTTTAAGATGGTGGCCGCAAGGAAGCGACCTCCTACTCCGTCGTTATGTCCGAATTAATAAATGCGGTCAGCTGCTTCTATGGCTGACTAATAAGATTGCTGATTGAATTCTGGCCAAAATTGACTCTATTTGAGTCTAAACAGCCCTCGCTGGAAGGGAGGGTCCCCTACCCCCCCACACACTTAGAAACAATAAAAGCGGCGCTCAAAATGGTGACCACTGCACTTCTGCCCTGTCTGGAAGCTATAAATAGCTCGAGGCTTCAGCCGAAGCCCACAAAACTGCTTTCACACTCAGCAGTTTGAAAAGCAGCGCTGATATCAGCGCAGAGAAGGAAAAGGAAGGGTACAACCTGGGAAAATCCACAGTTTTGTCTTTCTGCTTGAAACAAGAGCCAATCTTCACCACGTCTCTCTTGGGCTAAGACTAAGTCATGACTGGGGATTCCTAGCCGGAGGAAGAGAGGTGTGGCAAAGGTTGATTGACTAAGTCTCTAGGGCAGAAAGGCAAGATCAACCCATCTGTCGATTCTCCATTCGTCATGTTGAAGAACATAGCTGTGCCATCAGGCCACAAGTACCGTAAATGCCGGCGTATAAGGCGACTTCCGCGAGCGCCGAAATCGGCGCCAAAGACGGGGGTCGTCTTATACGCCGAGTCGTCTTATACGCCAGAAATACTGGTAGTTTCCGGCGTATAAGACGACGTTCTAGGAATGCGGCCCAGCTATAAAGACGGGGGTCGTCTTATACGCCGGGTCGCCTTGTACGCCGGCATTTACGGTAACAAAAATACCATTATTACTCTGATAAGGAATGGTGTTTTAATTTTGACTGAGTATGGCATTCTTGTTTTTTACACCTTCTACTTATTTTTCCTTTGGAGAAACAAAAGTGGCAGTTTGGAGTGTTAATAAGCCTTATCGATACACTTTCTTTACTATTTAACATGCAATTTACCTGAAACTGTGTTTAAACCACTACTTCTCATACTAGAGGTAGATGTATAAGAAAGTTTAGGTCTTTTTGAATCAGTATCTTGTTGTTGGTTATGCAGTCTTGAAGAATATGCTCCCTGAGTTCTATCAGATTCACCCAACCAAGATGATGCAGGAATTGATGATGATGATGTAACCTACAAATTGGGATTTGAGAAGGTTAATAATTTACTGCTAAATGGCTTGTTCAATAATAGTAAACAAGATTAAACCAAAACTACTATAGTGAAAAGGCTTGGGTAAAACAACACCAGTAAATGAGAGTAATTTTAAAAGAATAGTCTAATAGGCTATTAGTCAAAAATTACAATAAAGTATTATTCCCTTTTTAAAAGAACAAATTGCATTACACCAGAGATAAAATATAAATGCATCCTAGTCCTGGAAACAAGGTAAAATTTGTTATTTCTGGAACAGTTCTATCAAAATAATTCAGTATTATAAACTCTAATTATGGCATTTGCTTAATATTTGGAAAACCTGAAATGTAAATCAATGTTTGCTTCATATGAATATTTGCAAGCTCTTTTTTTTACTCAAACAGACTGAATGTAAAATCCATTTAAATATGTACAATCCTTAATAGCTGTTATCAATCTTCCACTATCTATTTTGATGTTAACACAAAAATTTATCTTCCACACTCAGGCAGCTTCTTAATTTAACTGAGTTGTACATTAGGGCAGCCTTGAAAACAGTTGAGAAACTTCAATTAGTATAGAACGTATAGCACATTTCTCAGTTGGAATTGCATATGAAATTTATCAATACCTGGTCTTTTTAAAATCTGAACTGGCTGCCAATTTTATTTCAGGCCAAATCTACCTTGACCTTCAAAATTCTAACAGTACAATTCTAGTCATATCTACATCTAACTCAAATAATTCCCACTATCTTACAAAAGTAACACAAGAATGTAACCTATATAAGCTTGTCCCCAAATCTTTGTCCATATGCTGCCCTATCCCAATTCCATTAAAATAATCTATCAGATGAAATCAAGGTACCAATACTAGTGACAATAAATTAATCCAATAAAGCAGAGAGATTTTAGTGATTGATTTAGGATACTTTGCCATGAGTGTTTTCAATCTATGATTTTATGTTTACTATATCTTTTTATTTTTACAAGCAGTAGTATTAAGCAAATTACACAGTTTAGCACTGTTTATTTTTCATAATAAATTCTATCACAGTGTAGGAATGCAAGTCGTAAATAACATTACTATTTTAAACTTAAATATTTCTTTTGAAACAGTTGTTGGGTACTTCCAAATCATATTTATATGCAACTGAATGCTTTCAGTTCAAAGAAAACAATATACTGCATAAATTTGTTCTTCTAGTTGATTCTGTCCTTATTTTTTTAATCATATAGTAAAATTATTAATAAAGAGCCAGTTTGGTATAGTGGTAAAGGCATCAGGTAGAAAATGGGAGAGACAAAACCCACTGGATGATCTTGGGCCAGTCCCTTTCTCTCAGCCCTAGGAAAAAGGCAATGGCAAACCACTTTTAAAAAAAACCTGTCAAGAAAACTGTGAGAACTTGTCCAGGAAGTATCCAAGAATTGAGCACAAGTGAAGGGAAGGGGGAAAAAATCATTAATAAAGCCAAAAAGGTGATATTAGGTCTATTAGACTGTTATCCAAGTAAATTCCACAGGCAAAGAGATCTTTTGAACCTTCTAATCTCCCAAAATATTATTGTTCTTTTACTTTAACAACAATGGGCTATTAGTAGCTGTCTGAACATCTAAAAAACTAAAACTAAAAATAATTTATTTATGTTTTTTAATTTACAAAATTCAGAGACTATCCGACTCCAATACAACTCTGCATAGCCTACAGGGAGAAAACAGTAAGAGAGAACCAATACACAGAAAATATAACCAACATTCCATAAAAATCTTACAGTACTTAAGGGCCCGAGAGAACAGTTAGCTTTTCAAAGATTTCTGCAAGATCATTAAAATGAGAGTCCCAGAGATCTCTGGGGAATAATGTTCCAAAGAATAGGTACAATACAGAAAATGCATGCTTCCTAGGTCTCGATAGATCAATTGAAGGGCCCCAAAACACACCGAGTCTGCCTTCTTCCCAGCAAAGGGAAGCTATAAAAAAAAACCCTCTCTAAATTGCTACTAGATAGCAATTTAAACTATTAGAAATATTACTAAGAAATAGAAGTTACGTGGAACTATTTAAACTCAAGGCAAGATTAGAAGGACCAAGAAAAATATCTGCTGGAATTACCCCAAACTTGGCAGACTTGCAAAATACAGCTCACAGGCCACTGCAAATGACCTGCTGAAAAGATTAGATCATTATAGCATACAACAATAATCCTAGAGAATTCTCAGAAGAAAACCCTTTCTTCATCACACACTACTGCTTGACATCTGTAAAAAAAACAAACTTGATCAGGGTCTAAAATTGTGAAATAAAATAAAATAATGAGACTGAAACCTCTTCAACATCAAAATACATTTGTGGGAAAAAATATGAAGCATAAGGAATACCGTTCCAACTATTAAGTGGTCTATGTATATGCATGCAACAATGCATAGACAATATTGGGACAGATTCAATGAAATACTGATATATCCTAGAAGCTAATTTCCCACAATCAGTGAAAAACTGATGCTGAAAAGATCTAGGATTGAGGTTTATCTCTAATCAACCATAAAATACTTACAGAAAAAATGTATTATTGAAATCTATGGAAGAAACCTCAAAAATGCACTGCATGCAACAATTTTCTTAGCTAAACAAGTTCCATAAGGAGCATTGTGGAAAAAATTCCAAAAGTAAGAACTCTTAGTTGGCTAAAGCAAGTATTTGGAAACTGATGCCAAATAAGGTGTTACAAAGTACAGGTAGTCCTTGATTTATGGCCATTCTTTTAAAAACAGTTTGAAGTTACATAGCCTTGCACTTACTATTTTCTCATGTTATCAAAATTGGCCAGGGGAAGCTGTTCCACTTAACAGTCATGTGATTCATTTAACAACCATGATGATTTGTTTAATGACCATGGCAAAAGGGCCATAAGATTGGACGCAACTCACTTAATGATTGCACTGCTTTGTGACAGAAGTTCCCAATTGGGATTGTAAGTCAAGGACTACTTTTACTGATTGAAGGGGTGTCCAAAATTCTGCACTGGTCATATCCAATTTTCTTATTATGAATTGGTAAACAACTGCATATAAAGCATGAATTCCAATTTGTAGAAAGATGTTGCATTTAACTTTTAAACAAGAAAAAAGCATTAAGATAGAAATTAAACATTTCTGGAAAACAATGACAGAAGATCACAAATGCTTTTTTTTTCAAATACAATTTCTCTTTGCCCTCTCCCTGTAAGATTAAACTATATTTGTGAAATTTCATTTTAGTCTCTGATATTAAAGTAGACAATTTATTTGAAAATTAAAAATTAGATTCATAATTTGAGTTGGACAATATTTTAAAGAAGCATATCCAAAATGTTCCATTCTGGCAAATTCCATTTTTTTTTCTTTCAAAAAAGAATGTATATAGGAGAGACTCCTCCGCAAATGACTGTCATAGGGTGAGAGTTTTCTTTCTCTTCCCCACAATCTGCTGAATATGCTGCCAGAGCGGTTTTTTGGGCAGCCTTACTCCCTGGATTTGATGGGGGCACTTACCGAGTTTCCTCGAAAATAAGACCAGGTGTTATATTTATTAATTTTTTGCTCCCAAAAATAGGGCTTATTTTCGGGGGAACACGGTGATCAGCCCAGCCGGGTGCCCCACCTCCTGGCATGCACACAAGAGGCAGCGAATGCATGGGGGTCAATGGTGTCTGGCAGCAGTCACAGCCATCCAGCCGCTTGGCACAGCACAAATAAGTCCGAATGTGGAAGCAAGAGGTAGGGGGAGGCAGGTGATCTGTATGTGTTGTGCGGCCATCTGGCTTGCGGGAGGCTTGCATGGAAGCACTGGCAGTAGGCGGAGGCAAAGGAAGGGGAAGGGGGGAGGCAGGTGATCCGGATGTGCTATGTGGCTGCCTGGCTCACAGAGGCTTACGCGGTGGCACCAGCAGCAGGTGGAGGCAGAGGCACCGTGGGAAGCAGGCAATCCTAACGTGCATCTGCGGGCAAGCCGAGAGACGGTGGGATGGAGTGGGTGGCGCGTCAGGCTTGCCTGTCTCCCCCCCCTCCCTGCAAGCCAGGGAGCAGTGCAGCGCGTCCAGATCACCTGCCTCCCCCAGGTGCCTCTGCCTCCGCCTGCTATTGCTGACGCACGAGCCTCCCATGAACCAGGTAGCTGCACAGTGCATCTGGATCGCCTGTCTTCCCCCAGCTCTGCCTCCACGCTCAAACTTACCTGCACTACGTGGGCTGCAGCTCCTGCGCACTTGCCACCTCCTATGCTGACCATGCCCATCCCCCAGCTTATTTTTGGAGTAGGGCTTATATTAGGCGCACCCTAAAAAAACAGGCTAGGGCTTATTTTCTGGGTGGGTCTTATTTTCAGAAAAACACAGCAGGAAAGACTCAAGACAACTTTGGACAGCTGTGCACCCACCCAGGAGGAGGAATCTTGAAGACTGCAACTCTTTGTGAGGGAGTAGCTGAAAAGTCAAGGGCCTTTTATACTTCTTCCAACCCGTAGACTTATTTGTAAACAAGCTAGGACTTTTAACTTTCACTTTCTGAGCTTTTGCTTTTTATTTTTAAATGTTAATTGACTGGTTGGATGCTGATTTATTTCAACCCCTGCTGGATTCTTTCTTTTCTCCATTTTGTTTTACTTCTTTATTTGACTCTTCTTATTAATTTCTGCCTTCTGCCTTCCATATGGAAAAACGCATGGGACTTTGGATTTGTACTTTATTAACTTGAAAAAACATTTTGGATCAAATGGCCAAAAAATATCTTCCCTGACTTTTTCACTGCCACCCTGGTTTCAGCCAACAACAGATCAGATTATAGAGGAGGAGGAGGCTGACACCCAAGAAGAAAACAGACTCTGGCTAACAAAGTGCAATCCTTTGATTATTATTTTTTTCAGAAAGGTTTGATGAACTTATAAACTTTGCACAAAACAATTAAAAAAAACAGAGATTACATTTTTAAGCCTTTAATAAGAATTTCTTTTTTAAAGCAGTAGATTAGTAGTTGGGAAGAAATATGGAATATGATATAGAAATAATACAGATGGTGGAGAACATTGAGAAGAAGAAATGTGATTTCCCAGCCATAAACTGTCCAGGAAGAAATATAGACGCTGAAATTTTAGAGCCTGGGCATCAAGCAGAAATTGTAGAGCCAACTCCATACACTTCCTGGAAGGTTAACACTGTACTTTTATATAATAGCAGAGAACTCTCTAGGCTGACAAGTAGCAAATGATTTTTCTTTAAGTGGTTTGATGGAGAGTGGAAAACGGATTTAATACATCTAATTGAGGAACAATTTTATCTGGAAGTCTGGCTTTGGAGACTGGACCTATTATATTTAATCAATCAGCAACTAATAAGAAATAGTATAAAGAAACAAACTTGGATATTTGATCCAGGACCAATTAAGGTTAATATTTGGGATGATAAGGTATTGAGGTCGTGGTAAATTTTCTACAAGTTAATTACATTAACAGCATGTTAACAGAGGATTTTGGAACTTCAACTTTTTCTCCTATTACTGTTCACAATTTTTTAACTTTTATATCCTTACATAATATGTTTTTTTCTGCTAACTACTTTGTTATTAATATGGCTTACCAATGACAAGCTAACAATTTGTAAGTAGATTTAGTAGTTTACATTTAAAATTCTTTTGGCCTGTTTTGCAAGGGGTGGGAAACCAAAATTGTTGTATTATACAAATTAGCATTCAATTAGGGAGGATGTTATGTGTATACGTGTTGTTGTTTTTTAAAGACACTTTTTTTGTTAATGTCTTTTTTGTTGTTTTTTGTTTTTTTCTAAATATTTTGGTGTTTTATATTTTAATCTTTTATCAATAAACTATTTTTTTTAAAAAAAGAATGTGTGTGTGTGTGTGTGTGTGAAGATAAAATTTTATCTTCAACTGATTAACTATGCAAATCTTACCAATCTATTTCTGCTTCCCAAAAATCTTCCAGACCATGGACGATCAAGTGTTCCTGAGTAGTGAGTTGGAGAAGAAGCTGGAAGCTTCCATGAACTTTCATAAGCTTCTCGTTCTTCAACTGACCAGTCTCTACTGGAACTATGCAACCTACCAGATTCCTACAAAACAATATATTTATTACTTAATGCCCTGCTCGAGCCACCATTCCACACAAGAAAATAAAATCTATAACATCTGCACTTTTTAATTAATCACATTTAAATATTTTCTAGAAGAGTCAACTGTTCCTACCCCATCTATAAAAATAAGTTTACCTCATCCTAAGTGAGTAAGGTTTACTTTGTTAAAAAAAATCAGCTTCCATTATTTTCTAAGCAGGATCAAACATTACTATTCTCCTCTCATTGAAGAGGATTATTGAGATTCTGCTACACTGGCAACATTTGAAACAAAAGCAAGTCACTTTAAAACAATAGTTGTAAATTACTGTTTTACACAATTATACTGAAAAAAAACTGAAAAATGGTACAAATACTTGGTAAATGCCTTGTTTTAAATTTCTTACAGAGAAATACTAAATTTGAAAACAGTTGTGAAGTTTTTCTATTTCAAGGCACTGAATCTAGCTGACTCTCTAAAATGCAAATTAACTCAGACAAATAATAATTCATATACTGCTTTTAACCAAAACCAAATCATGAGAGAGCATTTAACATCAAGAAGAGAGCATTTAAGAGAGCATTTAACATCAAAAAAACTAACCTAGTTTTGACACAATAAAGTACTAAACAGAGAAAAGCAGAGTTGAAAAGGAAAAAACAGAATTGTATAGATATTTCTAAAATAGAAATGATTTCTTATTAGTTTATAATCAATTAATTCTTTATCAGCAAATCCTTTTTTCAGGGATAAAGCAACATATGCTATAGGGTGAATTGTGGTAATAGCCACAGATAAGTAGCCGAATACATGCAGAATTCCCAGACTCAACACTCATTTTCAGTCATGTTAGAAAACTTTTGCTTGAAAAGCTACTTTTCAAAAACAATACTTTTCTAGGTGACTATACTTAGCAAAGTGATAGAAAGAGAAGGGATGGGGGAATGTATCTTCATGTTTATTATAGGAAATAAAGTTATGTACTTCCATGAATTCAAATTGAAAGTAATGCAATATACCTTTCTGAGTAGAGGCTGAATCATTCAATACCAGAATTCAAGAAGGTAATATTTCAAATCAGATTTATAAATAATCATGTTCATAATATGATCATGAACATGAAGAAAAAAAAAGTGTATTTGGGGATAGTTCTGAAGAGGGCTAAAGTAATTCTGCTTCAAGGCAAAAGCCTCACTAGATTTTTAGCTGGGGTAAAAGTTCTGCTCCTCTCCCAAAAACAGATTAGATTGAAACTCAGTGTATTTTCTTCACACTGTTCATTGAAAATTGAAGGTATTCCTATATGCAAAGGCCATTCTTTCCAAAGCAAGAAGATTGATTTAATCAATTATTAAAATCACCTAAGTTGCATTATATTCATTTCTAAACATGTCTAAACAGTACCTCCTTTTTATATCTGTATTATTTCATTATATATCCCTCCTTTCTTCTTGGCATTCAAGGCAACATAAGAGTCTAATTTTATTGTTACCATTTTCTGAAGTAGGTTAGGCTGAGATAAGAAAATAATCCCAAATCTTAAGATTTGGTGGAATATTCAAAAGATTTTTAAGAGAAAGAAAAAGTTTACGCAATAATTTTGTTGGGTATTATTGTAGATTTCGATTTTAAAGAAATCAATTTGAAGTTGAATTTTATAACAGCTGCAAGATTATTAGTGGGGCAATATTGGAAGAAAAACTCACTGCCTACTTTGGAAGAATGGATACTTAAGGTGTCTAATTTAGCAGAAATGGTGAAAATCTCCGCTTATTTGAAGGACCATTCACAAGAAAGATACATTATGGTTTGGAGAAGATGGATTGATTATATTCAAAAGAAATATGAAACTGAAAAGTATTACCTTGCTTTTGAGTAGATTTTAGATAATTATTAATAGTTTTAATTATATTATTTTTGTTTTGATTGGTTAATGTTTTGAGAAGGACTTAAAGTGTGTTATGGTTTTGATTGATAGTATAGTTGGTTTATGTTAGTTAGATTATGTTTGTTTATTTGTTACCGTAATCAGCTCTGAGAAGTGGGGGAGGGGGGGAGGGGTGGGAGGGGTTATATTGTAATAAATTTGTAAAACTTTTAATTAAAAAAAAAGAAGAAAATAATCCCAAATCATCTAAAGAATTCTATAATTGTATCGGAATTTGACATGGTCTCCTCAAACTCATAATACAATATATTAATTTCAATTATATTTTTATTTTCCCATACATTTTATAATTTTAGATTTTTTCAAGCCATTCTGTCATTGTAGCTACTATGTTTTATTACTTTTGTTGTTTAATTCTATTGTTCTACTGATTTCACACAATGATTTTTTACTGCTTTGTATTTTAACCTGCCTAGGAACATTCAATAATTTACATATGGATCTACATTTCTATTGTTGTTTTTTTTCAGAATACCTACAGGAAAACTTCAAGAACTCTGGTGAGAGAATCAGTTCTAGTAAATTGTCACACAGCACTAAAACAAATTCCACTTATGCAATACCCATATGCCAGTTGCCTAATATTTGTGATCAGTTTTTTTAAAAAGCAATTTTATCAGGTACTTTTAGCAGAATCTTTATTCACTAGTTCGGTACTGTTCTACCTATGCTACACATGGAAGAGCCAAAGTTCTAACATATAAAAAGAGTGCAATTAATACTTTTTTCTAATTTAAAAAATATGAAAAAGGAGTCCAAGTCAGTGACACATTGAAAAAGATAGAAAGTACATGCTGAGAAAATATAGGCCTCGGATTAGAGCAGCAATTGGGATTGGAATTGCTAAGTGATACGGCTAAAGCACAATGCTACAATGACCGCACATATGACCACATCACTTAGTGACAGCAATCTCAGCAGTCTTGGTTGCCATTATAACTCCAGGACTGCAGGCAGGTGCTATGGGGTAAAGGTGGATAAATGTTGCAGGTGGGTGGATGCTGCAGAGAGCATGAGCAGGTGAATGGGCAAAAAACTGGCAGCAGTGACTTGCAGGAGCAACTTGTGATCTCCTGTTGGCTTCCCAACTGATGTAGTGGGAAACCAGAAGGGAAGGTTGCAAATGGCAATCACAAGACACTGCAACCATCATAAATATAAGCCAGATGTGAAGCACCCAAATCACAGTCATGTGACTGGGGACACTGCAGCGACTTGAACATCAAGAACCAGTCATTAAATCTCCCTCTTTCAGCACCATCATAACTTTGAACAGTAATCCAAGGACTACCTGTAGTTCTAAAGTTCACAATGCAGCCTAGATAATTTTTCATGAGACCTTAAACTGCTCTTGATTCTAGTAAAAGAATGCTTTTTTTCTGTGTAAATAAGTCATTCAGCATTCTTAAAACTGCAAGTCTCTATGTAATATGTTAAAACAAAAAAGAAATGGAAAACAGTAAGTTTGTCAAGAGGGAAAGAGAATGGAGTATCACAAAGCAATCTCAGCTATTGCTGTGAAAGATTTTTTAAACAGAAAAAAATAAGGAAACAAAATTTTTAAATTAGTCAGCATCTTTTATATAAACAAGTTGTCGATTAACTTCAAACAATGTGAACTCATAAACCAGAGAAAGATGGAAAATATACCATCATAAAAATTACCTGGCGTCCAGAATCCAGTCTTATTGAAGACTCTCTCGTACGGTATGAATCAGTTAAAGTTGTTCCACCACTTCCAGCTCCTATCCTAGCACTTCGAGAACCAGATGGCTGAACAGATAGCCTCCGTGGAATTCTTGATGGCTTTGATTCCATTTTGTGTGCACTATATAAAAATAAATATTCAACTTTTCTAGTTAGATAATGAACTGTACAAAATATAGGAAGAAAAGCTACAGATTTATAATTCAGATAGTAATCAGTGGTTAATTTTGCCCCTGTATTTGTATATTAAACTCTGATCAATATTTTAAATACTACAAATGAGATATAAGCATCAAAAAGATAAATTTTATAAATTGATACTTTATTAAATGTGAGGATGTAGATGATGATGCAATAGCATATATCATTCAAAACACATCTACATGAAGCTGCTGGGTGATGTCATCCTACAGGCTGGGAATGACATGTTAAGTATGCTGATGATACTTAGTTTTACATGCCAGGTCACCTGAGAGATGCCATGGAGGTTCAATCTCAGTGCCTAGAGGCTGTGAGAGGACCTGGATAGGACACAACAAACTTCAATTCAACAAAACAAAATCAAGTGGCTTTGAGTTTTTTGATCTGGTTCTGGGGTTTTGCCATCTTTGGGTTTTGCCATCTTTGGTTCTGATGATGTGGCACTGTCTCAGACAGACCAAAAGCACAATCTGGAGTCTTCCTGAACTTATAGCTCTTGCTTGAGAAGCAGGTGGCAGCTGTGGCTAGGAAGGCCTTTGCATAGGATGTCATCAATTCCACCTAAAATCTAGTATCACTTTCTAGGGACCACTAACATGTAAATTCTGCAAACCCAAAATCCATAAAATCTAAAGACAGAACATCAATTGGCTAAACATTTCTGAAATGTGCATTGTATGATAGTAATGCACATGTTGATAAAAGCACAGAAACGCCATATTGGTACATGTATGATTTAGGCTTTATAACCAAGTTGGACAAAGGTCACCATTAAACATCACTATTCAATTTAGTATTTTAATCTTTACACAATCATGTAATCTAACAAATTTGTAGTACAGCATTAAGATACTCTTAAAAATTTAGTTTAGTAGATATTATTATACCTTATTTTATAATTCAAATTACCCCCCTCCCCAAAAAAACAAACTGTGGAATATAAAGAACATGCAATGTATCGAACATTGGTTTAGAAACAACTATTTAGACACATGGCCTAGAAATAAACATAAGTCTTACAGGCAAATTCAAGTTTATCTTATTTTAATGCATACAATTTATCTCTGTGTTCAATATTATTTTACATGAGAACTTGTTCTGTCAATCTCAGATTTTCTACTGTATTATATATATAGATTGATTTTGGAATATTAAAAAAAATGAAAAATACAACTTAGATCATGGGATGGTTAGCTAAAAATACATTCTTACTAATATGGGAAGCATACCTATATATTAGTTATCTGTACATCTTAAACCCTTAGGACCTTAGTAGATATCATTATCCAAAACATTGCATTTTTTAAAAATCCAACATTAGCCAATTATATTGATAGAGAGGAGAAATAACACTGAAGTACTATATATTGTTTCATTTCTGCAGAGGTGTAAGCTAGCAAATCCAATATCAAACTAGACCTAAAATAGCCAACATAATTATTTTGAAGGTTGCTACTCTTCTCATAACCTGGATTCATATATAATCAAAGTTGTGCATATTGTCCTACTTTTGACTGTTTTGACCACAGCAAAATCAAAACTAAAAGAAGAGAAATTAAATTCTTATTAATAAACAAGAGTACATATCTAGCTGAACAATCCAATCTTCCTTTCTACTCACAAAGGACATGGTATGTAACAGAAAGTTTATTTATAACTATTTTATTGGTGCAGCTTAAAACGATAGTTCTCTCCTTACAATGTCAATTTCAAAAAATTGTGGTAATACTGAATAATAGAAAGAAGTATAGGTTTATTTGCAAAATGGTCCATGAGAGTATCTGGGCATTTACCAGCCTTAGTTCATAAAAAATAAAATATTCCAGAACATTTCAAACATGATTCAAGATCAGTTACAGAATTTTAAATACTATATCTCCAGGCCATTTTAAAATGAACCAGACAAGTCTTACTGCATTGTTGTGTCAGTGTTTCTCAACCTTGACAATTTTAATAAAGTACCAATGCTGGCTGTGGAATTCTGGGAGTTGAAGTCCACATGCCTTAAAATTGTCAAGGTTGAGAAACACTGTTCTAAGTACTAGTTTTAAGTGGGAAAACTGCATTAAACAAAAGGAGATGCCTTCAACATGTGTATTTCAGTAATAGGAGGACTCATGACTGATGCTGTGCTTACAACATTCCAATTAGAGGAAGGAAGGGAGAAGCAATTTACTATTTCCTTAACTGTTGCAGAAAATCAGAGTTTGGTAACATTTTTTAGATTTAACAATTTTATTAAAACACACACTTTCATGAAATGTAACTCACTTTAACAGATACATGGAACATTTAAATTAAAATGGGACAGGGAGGAGAACAGGTTAGTACATATGAAAGTGTTTACAAATATCTAATGAATTAGCTATTATGTGTTAAAATTATTGTGCTTATTGAGACTCTGAGATAGGCTGAAGGGTATCTCTTTGAAACAGATGAAGAGGAAGGATGCATGCAAATGCAAAGACAGAAGGAACCAGCAAACATAGCATCTTATTCAATCCACAGAGCTAAACTATATCAATCCTGCTGACAGAAATCCAATTTAGGGCAAGTTAGCACATTTGTTATTCAATGGATAAACATCCAGCCTATATGTTCTCCATCTATTTTATAGCCTTTTCACTGTAAAAACCATAGCTAGAGAATTCTTATTTATAGAAGCTACACAAGATTGCTTTTATTTCTTTATATGTGCTCAAATTAGAAGTTTTGTGTTTTTTATTAGTCTGGGCCTCATGCTAGAGGCCTCAAGATTGCTTCCTTTGCTTATATGGCTTACATATTATATTTGCTAGCGACCAGTAGGAGGCACTACACAACTGGTTTTGCCCTTATTGGGAGTTTCCAGATGTAGGAAACCTCAATACTGGATGTTAAAGAATTAAAATCTATCTAGTATGGAGGATAAAATACTTATCCCTGAAGAGACCCAATAAAAACAAAACTGGCCATGTAGTGCCTCCTACTGGTCAATAATTAATATAAAATTTAATACTTATATGGTCATAGGGTTCCAACTAAATACAATACTTTTCACTGGAGGGAAATCATTACCTAGTTAATGAAGACAAATGAACAAGTAGTCCTCTAACAAGTCAAATACACTCAAAACTGCGATCCTGCATAATTGCTGAGGATTTTTTTAACCACCTTTTCTAAATAGTCATTTAAACCAACCCATCTATTTGAATACAAAATTCAAATTAAGGTTAGCAAATTAAGGTTAGCAGCAAGGCAGAAGCAGCAAACAGAACTGCTATTGTTACCAGATGATAAAAAAGCAATCCTAAAAAGCAGAAAAAGAGACTGTAAGGATTAGTCATAACTTGAATGCGAAGCTGACTTAAGTACTCTATAAACACCCCAATGACCTCATGCTGGATACAGCCTTAGACCAGGAAAATCCGAGTTCCAATTTTAATTTATCCCATGAATGTATAGAGAAGGTTCCTGACCTCTCTCAAACTGGACTATCGCTGGATAAGAAACCGCATTTCCTTCCAAACCCCTTCTGCGCCAACCAATAGTAAAAACAGCTGGAGGTTTCTGTTTTCCGGACTCGATTGCACAACGGAGCCCCATATCGAGGAGGGTGTCTTCGTCTACGCGGACGCGCCCAGGGCAGACGCGCAGGTCTGGAGCCCGTTTGCCGAGTCAGAGTTCTCTTTCCGAACCGTACAAGGCAAACGGGAAGGAGAGGAAACTGGGCCAAGAACTTCGCCTCCCAAGCCCACAAAATGGAGACTCCTCAGCTCCAAACCATGTCACTTCCCTTGCACAATCCCCGCGAAGCCAGGGCCTCGCCTGCCTCTCAGCTTCGCTTTCTCTCCTCCGCAAGACATCACCTGCTTTGCCTTGGCCGCCGTCTCCACCAGCGCCCCTTGCCGCTTTCACGGGCTCCCCCAGCCGCTCGCCGAGCCGTCAATGGCGGCCGCGGACTACTGTACTGCCCTGAGGAGGAAGCTACCTCAGCGCCGCCTGCCAATCACCGTGGAGTCAACCGACACCCGCCCCTTCAACTCTCGCGAGAACAACGGCTATCTAGCCCGAAGTTTACTGAGGGCGGTCTGGCTCTCGGGCTTTCCCCAAGGCGTCGAGGGAACAGCCGCTCACCCGGAGATTGCTGGGAAAGCGGAAATGGCGGAGTTGCGTTGGTGCTTTGAGCTCACTTTGCGCTCGTCTTCGGTGGCGTACGTCATACGTCACTGGGCGGCATTACATATTGTGCCGTGGATGGGCGTTTCGGAGCTGTGAGAGGGAAAGGGGGTGGTATCGGGAGAAGACGGGAAGAAATCCCGTTGTAAAATGTAGGGATCTTATTCATGCACACTCACACCAGACAAGAGGAACCGGATTTCGCCAAAGAAGAAATTGCAAAAGAGTTAGCCAGCTTTGTTCACTTTATGAGCCAGTCAGCTTTGTTCACTTTATTTATTCTATGTAAATGTTGATGTGCAACTCAACAATCCCAAAAGCAGGCTGCTAATTTAAATTGGCTGCTCTGAAAGCCCGGCCTTCTTTCTCATTAAGGAGGCTAGCTAGCTAGTGTTTCGGTTTAAAGCAGGGGTCTTCAAACTTGGCCCTTTTATGACTTGTGAATTTCAACTCCCAGAATTCTTCAGCCAGTGTGCTGGGCTGAGGAATTCTGGGAGTTGAAGTCCATAAGTCATAAAAGGGCCAAGTTTGAAGATTCCTGGTTTAAAATAAAAAAAAACAATGAAAGTGCATTCCCTTGACATTATTTCTCCCCTCGTGAAGTGTCACCTGCCACTGGGAAAAACAATCATCATTTTCTTTAATTTGCAGTAGATGAAGCCAGGTAAGCATAGTTCGATATTTTGAATGGCAGGATTAGCTGCCTATCAAATTATCCACCTAAACAAGTTTCAGGCATGAACGTGCCCTATGCCTGTGACTAGTATGTTGAACTATTTTTGAATTGGATCAAGTACTTTCAAAAGAATAATAAACCAGCATTCAAAATACCTGGGATGACAGGTTGCAGATATAGAAGAGAAGTAGAGAATAAACCAAGAGAAAACTCTTGGTAAATCTGAACTAGCTACACAAATCCCAGAAAAATACATGTTTGAATAAAGGAGGCATCAACGGGATGCAATAAAGTGCTTCAAAGCAGGAATGGACACACTTTTGGAGCCATAATTCAAATGCATTTTTCCCCAGAATTACACTGTGAGCATAGGAGAGGAGGCAGTGTTTTAATGAGATGCTGACAGATGTGTAGCACATGCTACACCTGCTCCAAAGCATCTTTTCAGCTTCAAATCTGAAATGTTACATATCCCTTGGTAAGGCTATTAAACCTGGCATATGTATATCATTTCCTGTATGTATAGTATTGCATAAAGCTGAGATATAAGCAGGATTACTTATGCCTTTATCCTATCCAGCAAGAAAGATCTTCTGAGATTCTCATCTATGAACAGAAAATGGTTTTCAACCATGGATGTTTAACATCTATTTTTAAAATTCCTCAAACTTTAATATAGTTCTTGACTTATGACCACAATTGACTCCAAAATTTATGTTGTTAAGTGAGATTTGTTAAATGACTTTTGTCCCACTTTATGACCTTTCTTGCCACAGTGGTTAAGTGAATCTTTACAGTTAATAAGTTACTAACCTGATTGTTAAAGTGAATCTGACTACCCCATTGACTTTGCTCTTCAGAAGTTCGCAGAAGGTGATCACATGACCCTGGGACACTGCAGTGGTCATAAATATGAACCAGTTGCCAAGCATCTGAATTTTGATCATATGATCATGGGAATGCTGCTAAGGTCATAACTCTGAAAAGCGGTCAAAAGTCATTTTTTTTCAGTGCCACTGTAAACTTGAATAGTCACTAAATGAACTGTTGTAAGTCAAGGACTACCTGTACTTGTTCCTCAGTAACAGGCATGTCAAACTCGCGACATCACGTGACATCGCACAACGTATCAGTCCGGTTTTGCCATTGCCAGCAATGAGGTGTGCACGGCTTCCACGTGATGCATCCGGCCCATGGGCCGGCAGTTTGACACCCCTGCTCAATAAGGGGTGGAATCATGAGGAATAGGTTATCTAGACATAAAGCTTCCCTGTAACTACTATAAATAAAAATAAGTTATATATTTCCTTTGTCCTGAATTGGACTGTTGAAATGAAGGTATCTTGAAGAAAACCAGTAACAGAGCTTACTAAGCTTATTGTAATACAGTGCTGAAAGTATATTTGTGGACTACACATGCTCACAGGAGTATCTGTTACTTAATTCTAAATCTAGGCTTATTTCCTCAGGCTTCTATTTACCTGCCTTTAGCTGCTGTATCTTCATACCTTTTAACTTCAGCAAACAGTTTAGAACCTCAGCAGATGGTTAACTCTAAAAGATTCTAGAACTTCACTTTCCTTTCCGATAAACTGAAAAGACTTCTGTTCCAACAACTGTAGAAAATCATCAAAGAAATCCCTCTCTTGTCCTCTGCGGGGTATAGGGAGTACAGAGAGTATGTAGATCAGGGGTGTCAAACTCAAGTTCATTGAGGGCCGCATCAGCATTGCAGTTGCCCTCGGGGCCAGGTGGATGTGGCCAGGGTGGGTGCGGCCTACTGGGTGGGCGTGGATGGAGTGGGTATGGCCTACTGGGTGGGCGTGGCCAGCTCTACATTGTTCCTGTCAAGGGTGCCTGTGGGGGCCTGGGCAGGAGTGAGATAGATCTGAGGGCCTCTGGCAGAAGGGGGTGGGACCAGGGCAAGTGCCAAGGCATGGTCCACTGGAGAAGCCTCACTGTTCCTCTCAGGCCATGCAGGGGGGTGGCTTATGGAGACTGAATACGTTTCAGCATAGATGGCCACCACAAAATTGTACATTGGCTCCCTCCTGGCCGGCCTGGGCCAGGCCAAGGCAGCGGGGGCCGATCCCTCACTGTTTCCAGGATGGCTTTGGGGGCCACATGAAACCACTTCGCGGGCTGCATCCGGCCCCCGGGCCTTGTGTTTGACATGTCTGATGTAGAGAGTTAAGATCCTTTACCAAATCAACAAGGCAAAAAATATGGCTTAAGGCTTAAGTCATGCAGCAGGTATGCAAAAATGTCAGGCAAGCACTTTCCTAATTCACAGCAGTATAAGAGGGAAGGAGGTTAAAGCATACTAAGACTTGCACATTTCTTTTACCATAATGAATCTTAATAAAAAATAGTTTTAATCTTAATGTGGAGTTGATTTATTGGTCTGATCTACAGTCTAGGACTAACATCTTATCACCAAGATGAAATCAGAAATTTTTGCTTCTGCTTTTAAAGCAACCTCAAGATGCACTATTGAATAAAGCCAAGAATATTAAATAAAACTGTGTGATAATTTATGGTTGTAACTTGTTCACTAATTATATTGATTTGGATCCAAACAGATATTTTGAAAGATGTTGGTTAAATTCCATGATCCCTTGACTGCTTGTTTCTCCGATCCCAGTCCCATGCAAATGATCCCTTCAGGGCTGAGGAACCATGCCAAGTGAAATGGGTCATGACGTGGATTAGGGCAAAAGGAGGCGATCACAGGACCACCTATGGATTCATGTTCAGATTTAATCATGAAAATACTTCCATCTATTTTTTTGATAGTCACATTCCTAGCCTTTCCTACCGCAATCCATGCCACTCAGCCAGACCCTGATACTCTTGAAATAGTAATTTCCAGTCTCCTTGGGGGCTACTTTGGAGAAAAAGTGTGAGGTCATTCATTTATTTTATTCTCAGTTCACTCAATAATACAATCTCTCTAAGCAGCTTTTAAATTTAAAGAATTAAAACTCAATTAAAAAGTAAAACAACTACATAGCTAAGTGAAATTTGGGGGAAAGGTGTATAAAAACTGCCATCTCATGACAGTGCAGATAAATAAAATTATCTAAACCACTGAAATAAAAAAAATGGGGAAAACAAAAAGAGAAATATCTCTGCCTATGTCTTTACATGAAAGTGCACGCATTGTTCCAGAAAATAGCACTGCTAATAATAAATTCCTCAGGAACCATCTGGTACAGGTAGTCCTTGATTTATGACCATAATTGAGCCTGAAATTTCCATTGCTAAGCAAGGTAGTTGTTTTCTTCCATTCTACTACCTTTCTTGTCATAATTGTTAAGTGAATCACTGCAATTGTTAAGTTAGTAATACCGTTGTTATGTGAACCTGGCTTCCCCATTGACTATGTGTCAGAAGATTGTAATGACCTTGAGACACTGCAACTGTTGTAAATACATGCCATTTGCCAAGCATCTGAATTTTGATCACATGACTATGGGGTTGCTGCAACAATCATAAGTGTGAAAAATAGTCGTAAGTCACTTTTGTCAGTGCCTTTATAACTTTAAACAGTTACTAAATGAATGGTTGTAACTCAAGGACTATCTGTAATGACTTTAGTTTTCATTTCCAGTGGTACCCTCCTGAAGCACGATATACGGAATGCATCCTAAATGTAGAACATCTGAATCAGATTGTATAAAATTGGATATTTTCTCATTACAGAATTCTCATTACTGAAAACCTACTCTATATATAACAGTAATCAGCCATATTTTCTCTAGTTCTCCTTTTACCAAACTAGAATTTCAGTTCCATGGCAACTGATTCAACAGAAAATCTGAGTCAATACAAAGTCATTTCAAGGCTCCTAATCAAGGTAACAAAGTGCTCTATTAAGTATATCACAACACTGAATTTGAATTCACATCTTTGAGACACTGGTTTAGTAACATTTTAAAGCCATTATAATTCAAAATATATCCCAATCTATCCCTGATCACTTGCTGCTTTTC